CGAAGAAATCGTGAAAGAGCAAAAAGTCGGCCGAGGAAAACAGTACTTGGTCAAATGGAAGGGATGGCCGCACAGCGAGAACACCTGGGAACCATCACGTCACCTTACCCACGCAAAGGACGTCCTGAGAGACTGGCAGAGGAAACAATCCAACCCAGACACACGCATTCGCCTCCTACCAACTCTCGAAGCTGGACACTGGGACTATCTTATTCATCGCTATAAACCCAGGGATGAGCGCCTCCCATATCCCCAACGACAACTCTTCGACCCTTACGAGAACGTCTTCACGCCCATTGGCCTAGTCGATGAGGACATCGACCCTAGAGAGGGGGTAATGTCATAGTTCGGCCACTTTTTCATCTTATCTTCGATGATCTTATCTTATCTTGGCACGGCTTATCTTATCACGGATCATGGCATCCGACGGTCCGGACTAGGTGTTCCAGGGATTATCTTCATTGATTCGAGGCTGCGCGACATATGCTCCAGAAGGTTCTATTATAACCCATGACCAGTGCTCCATGCGGTACATAGTGTGACAATCAACCCAAAAACAAAGTCGAAAAGAGAAGTGAATTCGAAGACTGGAGAATACAACCAGGTAGCTACAGTATTGATACCCAAATCCAGTCTGAGTCATATCTACAACTAATGAGTCATAAGACTATGTACCGCATGGAACGCTGGTCATGGGTTGTAGTAGAACCTTCCGGAGCATATGTCGCGCAGCCTCGAATCGATGAAGATAATCCCTGGAACACCTAGTCCGGACCGTCGGATGCCATGATCCGTGATAAGATAAGCCGTGCCAAGATAAGATAAGATCATCGAAGATAAGATGAAAAAGTGGCCGAACTATGACATTACCCCCTCTCTAGGGTCGATGTCCTCATCGACTAGGCCAATGGGCGTGAAGACGTTCTCGTAAGGGTCGAAGAGTTGTCGTTGGGGATATGGGAGGCGCTCATCCCTGGGTTTATAGCGATGAATAAGATAGTCCCAGTGTCCAGCTTCGAGAGTTGGTAGGAGGCGAATGCGTGTGTCTGGGTTGGATTGTTTCCTCTGCCAGTCTCTCAGGACGTCCTTTGCGTGGGTAAGGTGACGTGATGGTTCCCAGGTGTTCTCGCTGTGCGGCCATCCCTTCCATTTGACCAAGTACTGTTTTCCTCGGCCGACTTTTTGCTCTTTCACGATTTCTTCGACTTCCCACTCCTCTGCTCCTCCGATCATCTTGGCTATGGGTCTCTTCTCTTGGCAATGGGGGGGTGGTTCGTGATAGGGTGTCAACAGTGATTCGTTGAACACGGGGTGTCTTCGGTCCGTATCCGGCAGATTCAGCTTCCATGCGGCCGCTCCAACCTTCTCCAATATCTCATATGGTCCCAATCTCTTGTCGCTCATCTTCTTTGATGGTCTATCCGTCTCGATATTTTCCCCTTCTATGTACACCTTCATCCCAACCTTCAACTCCAGAACTTCTTTTCTTTGTTTATCGTAGTATTTTTTCATTTTTTCTTTTGCTTTTTCCAATGCTGCTTTTGCTTCGTCTTGTATTTCTTTGATTCTTTTTACAAATTCCTTTGCCGACTTGTTCCTTGATTCCATCCGCTGCTCCACTCCCTTCCATGGGTGATATCCGTGATTTGCATAGAACGGCGACATCTTGGTAGACGTGTTCATTTTGTCATTGTATGCGAACTCCGCCATTCCCAGCCACTCCGACCAATCCGTCTGATGGTAGTTGACGTAAATGCGGAGATAGTGTTCAATCTCCTGATTCATGCGTTCGGTTTGTCCATCCGTGATTGGGTGATATGCGGTCCCCGGGTTCATTTCCACGCCCAACATCCGATTCGTCTCTTTCATGAAGCCCTTGATGTAACGCGAGTCCCTGTCGGTGATGATCTTGCGAGGGATCCCATGGTAGCGGAAGACTCGGTCCCTGGTTAACCGTGCGACTCCTTCACTGCTGATGTCAGTACTAATTGGTTCGACATGGATCATTTTGGTGAAGGTGTCACACCACACATGAATTGCGTCATACCCATTACTGACCGGCAGGGGTCCGATTTGATCCATCGAGATGATTTCCCACGGCGCATTTGGAACTGCATGCGGGTGTAGAGTCCCTGTCCTCGCTCTCCTGGTCTTGGTCCGTTGGCACGCCTCGCACGTTTGGATGTATTTCCGAATTTGGTTTCCCATCCTGGGCCACCAGTAGTTCCTTTCCACCATCTCCTGCGTTCGGTTGATCCCTGCATGTCCGACCAGGGGTGTGTCGTGGTGTGATCCGATGATCTTGTCCCGCAGCTCCTCATCCCTTGGCACATAGAGCTTCTCGTGATACGTGATGAGCCCATCTTCCTTCTTCCATCCGACGAGTGACTTCTCCAAGGCCGCCTTGACGCTTCCATCAATTGATCGAATGGCCTTGATTTCATCGATTAGCTGTTGATCCTGCCCTTCAAATGTGACTTCTTGTGATCGGAAGAACTCAGGCTTCAGTAGTGTGACGTCCTTGTTGTCGTTCTTGCCCTGATCGTGATCCGCTCGTCGAGACAGGAGATCCGCCTTGCGGTTGAGTGCGCTGGGTCGGTGTCGTAAGGTGAAATCAAACTCCGCCAGCTCCGTGATCCATCGTGCTTGTCGTCGATTGAGCTTCTGCGGCTTTCGGAAGTACTCGAGATTCTGATGATCAGTGAAGATCTCGAATGTTTTCGTGGCTCCCAGGAGCAGCTGCCTCCATTCATCGAGTGATAACATGATCGCGAACATTTCCTTGTCGTAGATCTCGTAATTTCACTCGGTTTCGGTCAATGCGTGTGAAATAAATGCGATTGGGCGCCAAATGCCGTCTTGGTTTTGGCTCAACACTGCTCCTGTTGCCCCTTCCGAAGCATCGGCTTCCAGACAATATTGGCCAGTGTCATTTGGCAGTGCTAGGACCGCATCCTCTGCGATTCTCTTCTTCAACCCATCAAATGCTGCACGCTCATCTGCACCCCATGCCCATCCTGCCTTCCCTGTCAACCGTGTCAATGGTTTGGCAATCTCCGCATATCCCCGAACAAAGCATCGATAGAAGTTGGTGAACCCTAGGAAGGCTTGTACTTGTTTGACGCTCTTTGGTTCTGGCCATTCCATCACGCCCTTGATCTTGACTGGGTCCATCCGCATCGAATTGTGTCCAATAATCACACCCAAATATTCGATTTCTGTGCGTTCGAACTCGCACTTTTCGGGTTTCAGGTACAACTTGTGTTTTTGGAGCAATTCGAGTACTCGTTTCGTGATCCGCCGATGTTCGTCCAAGTTCTCTGTGAAGATCAGTATATCATCAAGATAGACTACCACGTGGCCCTCGTTGATCAGTTCTCGGAGTATGTCATTCATCATGTTTTGGAAGGTTGCCGGGGAGTTTGTGAGACCGAAGAACATGACCAAGGGCTCATACAGTCCGCGGTTCGTGCGGAACGCAGCCTTCCACTCGTCGCCCTCTTTGATCCGTACGTTATTGTATCCCCACCGGATGTCAAGCTTGGTGAAGAACTTTGCACCGCATAGATTATGGACCAGTTCGGAGATCAGCGGCAGCGGGTACCGATTTCGGATTGTCATTTCGTTCAGCTTCCGATAATCTTGGATGGGGCGTAGCGAGCCATCCTTCTTTTTGACAAAGAAGAACGCTGATGCCATGGGTGATTTGGAAGGCCTGATCCGTCCGCTGGCCAGGTTCTCTTGTAAGAACTCGTCGAGTTTGACCTGTTCGTTTCGTGATAACGGGTACACCTTGCAGTCCACTGCCTTGGAACCAGGTTTGAGCTCGATTGCATGGTCCCATGCCCGTCGGTCTGGTAGCGAGTCGAACGATTCCTTGGCGAATACTTTGACAAATTCCCGATACTGATCCGGAATCTTCCCCTCGGTCATTCTCTCCTTCTCTTTTTCCGCTTCTTCTGCGAATTTCTGTGCCGGCGTTTCCTTCAACCGTAGATCCACCTCCTTCCCAAAGTCGATCAACAGGATTGACTCTCCCTCTTCCAGATCCGGTGCACCTGCGTCCAGGTCAATTGCATCCATGTCGATCATTGCTTGATGCTCCTCGTGACCCCTCATGTGACACCGCTCTGGGCATCGACTGAACCTCATCGTCTGCTCCTGCCAATCCACCTCGGGGTTTTGTTCCGTCAGCCTATCAAGACCAATGAAGATCCGAGCTTTCCCTAAACACGTCAGAAGGAACGTGCGTGTCTCCACGTGAGGACCGATTCTCATCCTTAGGTCGACGTAATGCGTGATCCGACCGCTGATGTTCTCGGTGTTGTCGGCGTTACGAGCCACAATGGGTTGGGGAAGTTCTTGGATATCCAGCTTCTCTGCCCGCGCGTAGTCGGTATCAATGCAGCAGGTGCTACAGCCACTATCGAGTAGCGCCTTGACTCCGCGCGTCTTTCCTGAGTCCAGGCCCGTGATCTGTACATACACATCCATTGAATGTCTCTTCCTTTCGGCCTGGTAGTTGCGCAGTTCCTGTGCCAGTCTGCTGGGTTGCGGGCCCTTCTGTCTCTCGGCTGCCCATTTCCTTTGAACGGCATCTGGCACCCTCGTGCGTTTGGGTGCTTCTGGAACCCTGATTTCGGCAGATTCCTTGGGTGCTTCCTCCTTTTTCAAGGATTGAGCCTCCGGAGCAATGCTCCCCTTTTCGGTCTTTGTTGACGTGGTTCCTTCTCCACGAGCCATAAATACGTAGGAGTCCAAAATTAATTTATCCGCAGCTTTCTGATCCTTTTTACTCTGTGAATACTCTCTATTTAAAGCTATTTTCTTTTGACATTTCTTTTCCATATCAGCAACAAGAAAATCATGAATATTAGTACGTAGGGAGTCTGAGATCGTGTATGCATGAGGAGAATCGTTCATATCTCTAATCGAAACAAGTATAGAAAAACGTCCATAGTCCGGAAGCTCCACCTCCTTGGCTAGAGGAGTGGAGCACTTCAAAAACCCTTCTCGCGCAGCTTCTCAGCGATCTCCTTGAGGAACTCGTTGTCCTTGTCCCCGTTCTCGATTTCTTCCAGCATCGTGGCCCGATTGAAGGAGGTGCGCTTCTTCCTTGGCTCCGGACAGTTCCGCGCAATGTGCCCAGGCTGCTGACAGTTGTAGCAGATGATATTGCGGCCGCGGGTGTGGGTGCGATCGATTTCCATCGGAACTGGTTTGTTGGCAGCGGGTCGGGCTGGGGCGGGTGCAGGTGTCATTGGGGCTACCTGCGGGCGCAATTGGGGAGGCGGTCGTGGTGCGGATTGCGCATGCGATGCTTTGCGCAGCTGATCGCGTAGAGTGTTCGCCTCGATGTTGACACACCAGTTCTTGAAGGCACCATATGCCTTGGGCAGGGGGACGCCAGTGTTGTAGAGGCGGCTTGCAATTTCGCTGCTGAGTCCGCGCTCCAGGAACTCGATGAGGATATTGTCCTGTTCCCCCTTCTTGTACTCGCCCTTGCTGTCAGTGGAGGTGACCACATTGTATCTCGCGTCTGCAGCCAGCATTCCAAAGTCGGAGATGTAGTCCGCAAAGGACCGTCTGCCCTGGCGAAGGGCCATGAGTCGGGCGGCAGCGACTTGCTCCGCGTTGGAATCCCCAAAGGCCCTCTGAAGCTCCTCCAAGAAGCTTGTCGCAGTGACTCCCGCCTTTAGTCCTTGGAAGCCCTCGAAATTGTGCTGCTTCCAGTTCATCGCCCATCTTGAGGCGGCGCAGCTTGTGCCGCTCTCATTGCGGAGGTAGGACAGGACGAAGAGGATTTTCGTCTCGTCCAGCGAGAACTCTGACCGATAGGCACCGATGTAAGTGGTGCACGCATCCACAAAGCCCAGGTACTTGGACTTGTCGCCATCGAAGTAGGGGGGATTGGCGGCAAGGGTGATGCGGTGATGTCCTGACATGGTAGGAGCAGGTGCGGTAGGTGGGGGCGAGGGTGGTTGTCTGGAGGGTAACTCGCCAAGGTCGGGGAACTCGTCTTCAGGCGGCAGGAGGGCGAGGTAGGGGTTGGAGGGCCCGGGTTGGTTTTGATGCGCCAGATCGGGCAACGATGGTATGATGGGGGGAGGGGATGGACTCCCAGATGACGATGGGAATCGGTACGAAATGGTGGATTCGTGTGCTGTACAAGCACTCGAGGAAAGGTTCTTTTGCTAGCAAAAAGATCCTGGGCCTAGCTCTTCACGTGCCCAATGATCCCGAGGTGCGTTTTCCCAAAGGTCTCCGCAGCACTCCTTGTAGCTACCGTAAGGCTTGGGTCGGGCTCAACGTTACCCGTGGCCTGGTGCTGTTTGCTCGATATGAACCTTTCACTGCGATCGCAGCGAGCGACTAGATGATTCGGTAAAAGGGTAAGTGGGGTGATAAGGATGAAGAGGATATAGCGGGTGTAGCGGTGCGGTGATGCAGGGTAGGAGGTAAGAGGTACGAGGGTATGAGGGGAGTCTTCGAATTATGTGACAATCAACCCAAAAACAAAGTCGAAAAGAGAAGTGAATTCGAAGACTGGAGAATACAACCAGGTAGCTACAGTATTTATACCCAAATCCAGTCTGAGTCATATCTACAACTAATGAGTCATAAGACTATGTACCGCATGGAACGCTGGTCATGGGTTGTAGTAGAACCTTCCGGAGCATATGTCGCGCAGCCTCGAATCGATAGAGATAACCCCTGGAACCCCTAGCCCGGACCGTCTGATGCCGTGATCCGTGATAAGATAAGTCGTGCCAAGATAAGATAAGATCGTCGATGATAAGATGAAAAAGTGGTCGAACTATGACACATAGCCTTATGACTCATTAGTTGTAGATATGACTCAGACTGGATTTGGGTATAAATACTGTAGCTACTTGGTTGTATTCTTCAGTCTTCGAATTCACTTCTCTTTTCGACTTTGTTTTTGGGTTGATTGTCACATCGTTCCATCTTCAGTCCGACCAGAAGCTCCGTGCTTCTGTTGAACTTGGTAACAAGCGTCGTGCAGATGAGGTGCGCCGAATCGGTTCCTTTGAGATCGTGCAATCGGGGGTCTCTGATATTTTGAAACAGCATTGCGGCAACCCATCCATCACGTAGGGAATATTTGTCAGGCGAAGGCATTGTCGAGTTCAATGGGGAGAATCCGAGGGTGCCAATGTTTGCCACAAATCCAGATGGTTCGGCCACTGTCCCAAACAGGTACCCTTCTACTCCTCTTCCCCGTGCCATGCTGATTCTCACTTCCTTAAAATTTGCCAAGTTTGCACCATCTGTCATGAGCTTCTGCTCGTCGGGGAGAACTGGAGTGGCAGGAAGATTGGTTTTCATCCTGCTTTAGGGGTAATCTCTTGCGGTACTCAATGCGTCTCTTGAGTCTGCAAGTTAATCTGTTTTTGTGCTGCCAATTGTTGGACGTCTCGTGCAATAGCATCTGACTGCGAATCTGTAGACGAATTGTACATAGTTAGTCCTCAGCCACACCAGATAGTGGTAAGAGTCATTACACCTGTAGACAAATTGTACGTAGTTAGTCTACAGGGTAAAGTAAGTAAGGTGAATGAATAGGTAAGAATAATCACGTACCCTCAGCCGCACCAGATAGTGGTAAGACTGAGGGCCACAAAACAATCGGAGAAAATGTATAGCTACACTCGATCGTCCAAATAAAGGTCAAACACTGCTGAGCACCGTGTGATGACATCATCCTTTAACAACTTGGTTGTATTCTCCAGTCTTCAAATTCACTTCTCTTTTCAACTTTGTTTTTGGGTTGATTGTCACAACTGGCAAACCTGACAAGGGAGAGTCCAAAGAGAAACCAAGTTGGGGACTCTCCTTGTCAGGGCCCACAGAACAATGAGAAGCACAGAACAATAAAGGGCTGGATTGAGGAGAACAATGGGAGCTGGACCACCAGAACAATAGGGGCCTGGGCCAGAGGGTCACATGGACTTGCTTGGCAGGGAATTCCGGACCGGAGCACATGACACTTGACAGGTGACATGGTGCAATCACATGCAAGATCCCATGATGATCGGACAAAAGCAGGGGTTCCCCTGACACAGTTATCAGCAAGTTTGAATCTGAGCATGCGTGCAATGAGTATTGTCATGCATTTGGAATGATGCTGTTCATTGCTCCCATGGATAACAACACTTGAGAGCCACCACTTTTATCCTCATCTATGTAACATTTACTTACCCTACTTATGTTACCTATGTTGCCATGTACTATGAATACTATGCTTTACAACTCCGGGGTCCATCTCTAGTGCAAGACCAATCATCAATCAATCAATCGGACATGATCTCCAAGTCTTGCTTCAAATTGTGATGCTCCGAGCCTCCATACAATTCAGCTGGGCAACAATGATTTTCAAGAGAAGATACCCCTCCTGCCCAGACACAAGGAGATTTTATGAAAGGATTGTTACATTGGTGCAATCCAGCTCTGATCCCACTTGAATGATTGAAAATGCACATAATGAGCACCTCAATAGCCTTATCAACAAAGACCCATAATTGCATTGCTGATCCATTGTTCTCATACACCGGTGGTGAAACGGTATCATGCTTGCCTTCCATGTGTGTGAAGTTCATGTTAGCAAGCGGCACGGGTTCGACTCCCGTCCGGTGTACGTTTTGCATATCTTTGCTACGCACTACCATCTATCCCTTTTCCAGCCTTGTTGTACACCGTAACCATCGCATCTCATCTCTTGTCAGCTATCTATGATCAAGGTTTGTCCCAATCACCAAATTAACGTCATCGCGCTCTCTTGTCTCGCATTTTCTCCACTTGGACAGTCTTTTTTCTTCAGGTATCACATTCCAGTCTTCCGTTGAGATCCAAACAATATAGATAATTGGTATAACCCTAAACCCCTTTAATACGTCGCCGCGTTCAAGTTGTTGAGGAAGGACGGGTCCTTGACCTGCACATTCGCTGCGCCGAAATCGGTATTCGTCAACGCCGCCTGTGCCGCGGCAGGGAGATCCTCCCATGCAATCAGGGGCTGGGTACCGCCGACGGTGGAGGTGAGCATCATCGAGTGGTCGAGCGGCCACGTGCTGGAGTACTCGATGAGCGGGCTGCTGCCGCTGAGCGAGAAGCCGTTTGTGCTGCAGTCCCAGCCGCCGTGTGCGGAGGGGCAGACGGCGATGATGTTGTCGGGGCTCGTGCTTGTGGCATCGCGCAGGTAGACGATCGTGCCCTCCCAGTCGTGCCGGTGGCCGATGCCGGTCGAGGGCTCGTCCTTCGGGAAGTACCACGAGTAGAGCAGGCCGTATACGCCGGCTGAGTTTAATCCGCCGCGCACGTAGATCTGGCCCGTGCTCTTTGAGCAGTTGCTCGACGAGCCACCACTCGGCTTGAGACCGCCGCTGGAATTCGTATCGCGTTAGTTGGGAGATTCCGCAACGGAGCGAGTGGAGATCACACACCTGGTGTTTCCCTGCGCATCGACAGCGGGGAACGGCACACATCCGTTGTTCACAAACAGGTGCGGCTGGTACGCGAGGTAGACCTGGCCAGTCGTGCCGCTGGGCACGGTCTGCGGGAAGCCGACGACGGCGTCGTGGGCGATCACCGCGCGCGACTCGAGCGGGGCGGCGCGCACAGCCGCGATGCTGAGCAGTCCGCAAGCAACTGCGGACTTGAGGAACGAGAGGAAGTGGGCCATCGCGGTCAGCTGGGGAACTAGGGGAGGAGGGAAGTAAGGAGTGTGGGGGGGGGGGGGCGGATGGGAGAGAACTCCGAGCCGCTTCGCTGCCTTTTGTGCACGTATGAGTATCGGTGGTGTGACAGATCGTCGGCGTCGCGCACGAGGTCCCATATTTGACGAAGACTTCTTTGATAGTTTCCTTGCGCACCAATGCTTCCGAAGTGCATCGCCACAGGCGGATCAACGCCGATCCAGAGTTCATGCAATCTAGGCCTATCTAGGCGCATTGTGTAGACAGCTGGACAGGCATCTCTCGCCTCGGGGCCCGTCCCCATAGAGGATGTGGAAGTTGTCCTTTCTGTAAGTTATAAAGGTTTGCCGCACTCGAGCACCGAAAGAATTCGGCAGCTGATAATCCAATTTAGACGCTGATTTTAGGCACGCCACGCATGGCTGACAGCCTGACAGCGCACGTGGCTCTGCTCGCTTCTCCAGAACGTGCTCATACTTAGTCTAAATTAGTCCCATAACGTTCGCGGGATAGGCGCTGGCATTGGTGTTGGGGTCGCTCGTCAGATGTCCCATGACAAAGATGGGGCTATGTAGACTATCCGGTAAACTTCCTGAGTCGTTCATTTTCTGGGGTCGACTGCTTAGGAACGTGCAGTCTAGTCCAACAATGGATTATCTGACACTCCCCGGCTCATGAGACTAGCCATTCGTCCGATCTGGACCCAGTGTACCCTGTCTGCGACCCGCAAGTATGCATAGATAATATGTTGTTTCATTTCCGCTGGAGTCGATTAGACTAGACGGACCAAGGGTTCCCATCTCTCTTTCAACATAAGCATCGCAGGGTCCGACTATTGACACCCGAAACTTGAGACTGCTGAGCAGGCGCAGCGGCCGCGCCTGGTTCAAACAGAATCCCAGAGAACCTGAGAATCCGGCTCGCGTCCGTCAAATCAAGCAGCAGAAGTTTCGAGGATCTTCTCGTCTGGGTGCATGGTGAGATAGTGTGTCAGTTACTTTGTTGATGCGATAACCGACTGCTGATTGGTGAACGAGTAGCTGGGTCATCCAAAGCCGAGCGTCTCATGATAAACCAATGTCTGCCGGGTGCCCGCCGGCGGAGAACACGTCGTAAGATGGGTGCTGGCTCGCACTGCATCAACCATCATGCTGGGATCAGTCGGCTTAGGATGTGGTTCCGAGCTAGATACTTAGAGAGTCGCTGAAATATTGTCGCTGTCGACGAAAGGTCTTCTCAGAAGCAGAGCTGCAATGCACTGACACAGAGGCGGCAAAAAGAGGACTCGTTCCACCTCCAGGAGGCAGTTCGAACGAGCCGTGATATCGTGAATTGCACCTGACCCCGTGTTCATATGACAGAGAAGGACTCCGGCGCGCTGGGGAAGGAGATTGGGACGAACCACAGATCAGGCTGGGGCACATCGTACACACCTGATTAATCTCCCCCATGATAAGCGTCGTTCGGCTCAACTATGTAGATCCCCGTCCTTGATTCGGCAGGTCCCGATGCCAAACGCCGCGATCATGATTCAGAAGTGTGTGCACGGCAAGGTACCGACAAGACGAGCTACGAGTCAGTCAGAGCATAGCGTGAAGGAGAGAACCAACGGCCTCTCTATATAGCAAAATGCGACGCTTTCCGGTTCCAAAATGTCCCGGATTGAGTTGTCCGTGGATAAGACATCTTTCCGCGTGGAAAGCCTTGGGATCTGGGCCGTCAGGCGCTAGTGCTGAGGCAAAGCCAGCAATCAACCTCCTCGTCGCGCAGTACTGCCGAGCAATGTCAAGCGGAGAGGTAAGGCAGCCAAGGCCGGCCAGCCATCTTGGGCAACACATCTGAATCCGCTATTTAGATCCTTCTCTGCGCGTTCCCGCAATCCCGGAAAGCTGAGCATCGCCAGGAGGAAAGTGCCGAGCGAAGTCGCCCAGCGACGGAGGGTGTCTCAACCGATGCATTGGCGCACGTGTCGTCGATGTCGGACGTGCTGCGGAAGACAATTTATTCGGCCGTAGCCGCCGCACCCGTCTCGGGTCCCAGTCCACAGCGCGTGGGTCTACTTCTTCGCGAAGAGGGTGAGTCTGACGATGAGTGACATGCGGACTCTGGACAAACGATACGTGGGGCAAATCGTGGTTGATGGCTTTCCAACGTTCAGCCTCGGTCTCGAAGCCCTGCATCCGGCATGCAGCTCGCAATGTGTTTCAAGATCAAGGATATGTGCGGAAGTAGGCTGGGTGCGGTTGGAGGTAAACACACATCAGAGAAGAGAAGCTAGTGCCCTCACGACGAGAAACAGGTTCGAATTCCATAGTCACTTCTTTCGCCAGTCATGTGCACCGGTCGTTGTGAGCGTCCGTGTCGATCCCGTAATACATAGATGTCCATCATCGCCGCTCGTCAGTGACGCAGCTGATCGCTGTGAGCAGGCATCATCCGCAGTCAAGGCAGCCGACAGAAGACACAGCGCACGTGATATCCAAGCAACCCACGTGACATGCCTTGATCCATCAGACCTCTATGTAACTAACACTAGGGTGATCTGCGACTGACGGCCGAGATAAATCCACACATGCGCCGGAGCTGGAATCCCTTCGTATCCCAGCAAAACGGACCCGGATGGCGGGCATGGACGAGTGCACAGCGATGGGCTTGCCGAGCACATCCGAGTCTATTGGAACGCGTAACCGCGGGCGGCGATTGAGTGGTGAATGCAAGCCCAACTGATGATGTTCCTTGCTCTGGTGCGCAAACGTTTCCCACACGCGGCGGTCGGACGGCATTTTGGGCAAAGTACCGAAAATAAGACGCCGAGGAGGGCCAAGCGGGGTTCTGAGTGCCGCATGCGTGCGGGGGCGTGGCCAGAAGACGGATAGTGCCCCGATGGCCAGTGCGGCATCGGGTCACAGGCTTGGTGGACATTGTGGTTGGTTGGATGCAAGGCAACCGGTGTTGAATGGGGGATCAGGGCCGTGCAAGTAGCTAGGTGAACTCGCGATTTTTTTTTGTCAGGGTGCAGGCAGAGTCAAACAGACAGCAGTTGGATCGAGTACATTCAGCTAGCTGGGTTTAGAAAAGGTGGATCCCCTTTCGCATTTGCTGAAATTGGCGCAGATTTGGCAGCAAAACATTGGCTCTACCGAATTTTGACTCCATTCCCAGAGCGCTTGGGCTCTTCAGAGCACAACTTAACCCTGTTTACTGGACGGAAGAAGTCAAAATTCGACACTGAGTAGCCGTGGGTCCGATTACTTACAATTCTAGCTGAATTTCAGATGCAGATGCGTGAGAGGGATGGACTAGGACAACCGAATAGCAGCTTTTGACTGCGACGTCAGATACTGAATGTTAGACAAGCCACAGACAATCCCGCCGCATACACCAGTCGGAAGCCGAACTCGTGCCGCTTTCTCCAACCTGACCCACATTGCGGATTACAAACATAGCACCGTTTCACGTTGAGCGTACTTCCCCAGCATCAGGCGCTGCCGTTCCCGTTGGGAATCGACTCTCGCGGGCGGCGCTGCCAAATGCTGTCGAAGCTCAATTGGCAACGGATCAGTTGTACTAGATAGTAGGGCTGGAACACTTCCATTATGACGAGCAGGGCTGGGCGTGATTAGCTTAACAAGAGCCGGCAGTGCACCCGATTGGGGGAATGAGAACGAGCAGAGGCGATCCTCGCTATGCTTGAGATAAGAATAGTATCACATGGATGATGTATTGTAGAGCGGAGAGGAGAAATAACGAGAGACGGTCAGACGTAGCGATGAAGAAGAAGAAAGGCCAGTCAGATGAACTGATCGGAAGAGTCCGCGGAACAGTATTTAGCAACACGCTTTCTGTACGCACGATCATGATGCCTGACTCGATCACAGACAGCGGCCAAAACCTGCTGTGCTAACCCAACGGGCAAGGCGTCCTAATCCAGCAGGGTCAGAACCGATCTGACGACTGTCCCGGGAAGCGAGGCACCACTCTGATAATAGCACCTCGCAGAAACGGGCGACATGCCACTTTGGGACCGTGCGCAGTCAACCCGGCCCCGAGTCATCCTGCTGCTGCTTCTGCTGCTTCCCAACCACTCGCCCAGCTACGATGACGACCTCACCCGTGTACGCCTACTTCGTGCTCGCCATCGGGGCGCTGTTCGTCTACTGGCGGCGCCTCCGCGCGCACGCGACGCTCAGACCCCCGCCTGGGCCCCCCGGGCTCCCTATCCTGGGCAACCTGCTCGACATGCCGTCCGACCCTCGCGTGTGGGAAACGTTTGCGCGCTGGGGCAAGGAGTACCGTGAGTCGGGCTCGTATCGACCACTCAATCAGCGCCCAGGGTCACGCATTCAACAGAGTCGGATGTGGTGTCCGTGAACGTGCTCGGCAAGCCTATCGTCGTGCTCTCGTCCATGGGTGCCATTCATGATCTGCTGGATCGGCGCGGGGCGATCTACTCCGGAAGGTGGGTGATGCTCGCGCCATACGGGTCGTTTACCTAGATGCGAGCAGGGGCCGACTGACGATGTTGAACGAGTTGATGGGCTGGGACTTCAGCTTCGGTTCGTCCGTCGGTCCTGGTCGCATATGGGAAGTGATCTGACCGCCTTATCCGGCCAGGTCTGATGAATTACGGTGCGCGGTGCCTGAGTTTCACTATCTGACTGCGCTTACGTTCGAATCGCAGGAAGCAGCGTGTATGGCGTTCAATTGTATTGGTGTTGAGTCCGGCCTCTGAGTACCTCATGTCCAGGCGGCGTTACCGACGCATTTCGCTCGAGCAGCTACACCCCGCTGCGATCAAACGGTTCTACCCTCAAGAGCAGACATATGTCTTGCGCCTCCTGCGCAGATTCGTGGAAGATCCGGCACCGGTGGATATAACGGCCCACTTCAGATGGTGCGCAGCCGGCTGTATTACGGATCATATTTGTTCACAGCACCAGGTTCGTGGGAGCAGTGATGATGAACATCATCTATGGCATAGACACGGACGCGCCCGATGACCAGTGCATCCGGCTCGCCAAAGAAGCAATGCACGCGATGGCCCTCGCCCTGGAGCCGGGGGCCTTCCTCGTTGTGCGTGCTTCTCCGACCCCGGCGTAAATTCATCCGACGTATCGTGCGTACAGGACACGTTCCCGATCCTCAAACACGTTCCGAGCTGGATGCCCGGCGCCGGATTCAAGACCAAGGCGCGCCACTGGAAAAACATCAACCACGACTTGCAGCACGTGCCGTTTTCTGAGAGCCTCAAGGACATGGTGCGTGCTCCTTAATTTCCACTGTCCCATCCACGGAACAAGTAAACGCGCATGCAAAGGAACGCGGCGCAGGCGCGGCCGAGTCGTTCGTCTCGCACAGCATGTCGTCCGAGAGTCATCCGCCCGCCAATGCATCGGAAGTTCGCCCACTCGCGACCGCACTGTTCGTCGCTGCGGCTGACACATCTGTCTCCGCGCTTGGAACTTTCATCCTGGCCATGCTCAGCAATCCAGGCTCGCAAGAATGCGCCAAGAAAGAGTTAGATGGCGTCCTGGGTGCGGGTGTTCTCCCCACGATGGCTGACCGGCCGCAGCTGCCGTACATCTCGGCTATCGTCAAAGAAGTCCTGCGCTGGAAAGTGGTCACACCTCTTGGTGCGTGGATCATCCGTATACTATCTGGTTGTTGATACTTGATCTGCCTTTTCCAGGTGTTCCGCATCACGTTGGTGTCGCGGATGAATACGAGGGCTACGGCATTTCCCCGAATTCGACCGTGATCCCGAACATCTGGTGCGTCGTTGCGGTTTCAACGTCCCTTGGTAGCTCATAACGCCAAGGGCTTTGCTGCATGATGAGGTTGGGTTTATACTCCATCCCACGTCGCACTGCAACTGACATTTCACAGGAGATGTATAAAGACCCAGAGGCTTTCCAACCGGAGAGATTCCTGATCGACGGGAAACTCAACCCGGACATTCTAGATCCGGAGACCATCACATTCGGATTCGGGAGAAGGTCCGTCGTCCCTCTCGCTACACTGATCGACGAATGACTCTCGTCAGAATCTGCCCCGGCCGGCACCTTGCCGTGGACACCCTCTGGATCACTATCGCGAGCATCCTCGCGACGTTCGAGATCGAGAAGACCATAGACGAGAGCGGGGATCCGGTCGAGCCGAGCTACGCGTATCACTGGGGATTAGTTAGGTAAGCTGGGCGTCGAATTTCCGGGCAGTACGTGGCGTCGTCGTTTTAATTATTTTCTCCAGCGCCCCGGATCCTTTTTCTTGCCAGATGAAGCTGAGGTCGGAAGCCACTTTACGGTCGATTTGAGACGCGTTTGACCGCCGAAAGAAATCTAGACGTCACCGCTTCCCATGTACGATCAGTGAATGAGACGACCTTTTCGGTCTAGGACTCAGATTGTTCATCCCTTCGGCCGATCGGAGTAGGTATCGATTTCTCGCCGTGCCCCTCACTAAACTATCCGTCTCTGGAAGTCTCTCAGAGCAAATGTGAGTGGACAGAATTTATGAGATCTTGGATTACGGCGTGAAAGAACCACTGCCGCCTCGATACCAGTCTAACTGATCGCGAGCGGATAATTGCTGCGGTGCGAGCAAGTTTCAGCTCAAGTCAACTGATTGGAGCCAGGATGAGTTGGTTCTGCAGCAGTCGCCGAACCGTGCTTCTCCGTGCGGTATTGGTCGAGTGCTGGGCCCGGAGACTGCCAATCCCTGCTTATTTATGTGCGGTAACTCACATCTTTGTACTCAAATTTCTTGAAGATGGATGCTCAAGTTGCCAAATTTTCGTATTCCAAATCCTTTTCTGTTTGACTCTCAAATGGTATATGACGGCAGCAAGCCCCATCTTCAATATCGTTGCAAAATCTGTCCCAGAACCGCTCAGTAAGCCTGTGCGTTAGTCTTCAAGTCATATTGCACTTGTATATCGGTGAAGTACATCGACGTAACTTTTCATGAAGTCAAATAATGCAGACAAGTTTGCTTGGTCTATGTGAGTTTAGAGTGAGATTTTGCCAATAATCCCGGGGCTTTCTAACCTCACGAAGTCTCAGTGAGTCAGCGTACGTCAAAATGCAACTTCAACAGCATCTTCACGAATACATCAGTCTGGGGTGTGGCATCAGTTGATGCCATCAAGTCACACCTGGCTGCATCAACCGTGACCCCATCGCACGATTCGCACTCAGGCTGTACTTGGATTGGCAGCAGCCAATCTCTAGACGCTGGAGTCGATGCGAGAACCGATGCCCTCTTATAGAGGCGCCACACATCACATAATACCCTCTTAATCTACAATCAAAGAAGATCCGGCGATATCCCTTCTGACCATACCATACAGTATGTCACCATCCAAAAAGGTCGTCGTCGTAGGCGGGCACGGCAAGGTGAGCACCGTCATATCCGAAATCTTTTCGGACTTGTGCTGACACCGTGTCTCAAGGTCGCACTCCGCCTCACCGCGCTCCTCACCGCAGCCGCGCACAGCGTCACATCGATCATCCGCACCGCGGCCCACGCAGGCGCCGTCCAAGCCGCAGGCGCGACGCCGCGCGTCCTCTCGCTCGAGGACTCCCCCACGGCCGACTTCACGGACGCGTTCCGTGGCGCCGACGTGGTGTACTTCAGTGCGGGCGCGGGCGGGAGGGGCGGCGAGGCGCGCACGAAGGCGGTCGACTTCGACGGGGCGGTGAAGGTCTTTGACGCGCTTGAGGCGGGGGAGGAGCCCCGCCCGCGGCTCGTCCTGGTATCATGCATGGACGTCCGGGACCCGGAAAAGGTGCCGGCGCACTACGTTCGTCACGCATCCTACGCGTCCGCCCCCACAGCTGAAGAGTTCTGACAGACTCAAGAGGACCTCGCTGTCTCGCGCCAGATCCAGGCGAGCATCAGTGTGTATCTCAAGTGGAAGTACGAAGCCGACAAAGATCTCGCGCGACGCACCGCGTTCCGGTGGACCATGCTGCGCCCTGGTGGACTCACAGATGAGCCCGGCACGGGCACGGCTTCGATTGGCCGCACGCATCTGACGACCAGGATCTCGGTGCGTTCCTATCTCTGCGTGTACACTAGCTCGCACTCATGAGTCTCCTGCGTATAGCGCGATGACGTCGCGATGGCTCTGTTTCTGCTCCTCGATCGCGAAGGCGCTGCCGGTCTAGGAATCGACTTCGTCGGCGGTGAAACCCCGATTGCGGAAGGCTTGGACGCGGTCATTCGGAAGGGCGAGTCCGACTTTCTGGGCTGAGGAGGCATAAAACACGTCGAGGATGGTATCACAATAATCTGTATGACTGTGTAACATATCTGCACTACGATGAGCCAAGCTTCATACACGATGTGACAGCAGCGCACCTGCCAGGGCTTCAAGGAGCAGTAGCGGCCGCGGGTCTCGACTCCTCGGGCGGCGGAGCTATCTTCATCCCCTCTGACGGTTTCGGTTCGTCTTTCGTCGCACTCGCCGCTGCCGGCGCATCCGCCACAGCGTTTGCGCGCCTGTCCCACTTGTCCTCGTTGAATGAGTTGTTGAAGCACGACCCACAGCACCCCGCGACGTGGTTCCCGCCCCCGCTCCCGTACTGCTTCGTGTTGCAGAACGGCTGCAAGATCGAGAATATGACGGCAGCTGAGACGGTTCCCCGTGAGCGCGCTGGGACAGGAGGTCCGAGGGCGACTTACAGCAAAGTCCACCGATGCCCGCGCCGGCTTCGGCTCCTGCGTCGTTGCTCATCGTGTACGGTGTGTTGAGTGGGAGGGGGGTACGATGATCCTTGGCTCAGGCTAGGAGGTCGAGGGTAATTATAGACGCGTACGAAGGGCGGTGATAAAGCAGTGCATCGTTCTTTTCTGCGGCCCCCGTTTAGCCTTGAGGATGATCGTATTTGCTGTGCATTGATCGGGAGCGAAGAACCTCTACCGGGAACTGAGATATGCTCCGCCCGCTTCGTTGTTACTACGAAAATTAAGTGAGCTTTCAATGCCGTTGCCTCCTGCTCCCTCGGTACATACCAGGTGTGCTAAGCCCAAGCGTTCGACCTTCGCGCGTGAGTGCTGAATGCAAAGGTTGCGACGGAAGCCACGCCAGGTCCTCAGAAAAGGCTCAAACGAATCAGACCACAGCGCATCGTCAGTGCTGTAGAACTGCTGTCACACCGGGGGATCATTGAAAAAAGGTGCCCCAATCAAAGATTTATATTTTAAGTATTGTAGCACAAAAACTATGCTACGATAGGTCACCCAATACTTTTAATATAATCAACCATCATTGGTTACCTGTTATATCAGCTATTGCATCCCAAAACGGGACCTACAATTGATTGCATATTGGGTCCAATCAAGACCACATTTTTTCTTGTCCTATTTTGTAAGATATCAGGGCTCATTTATATTCAAGGTATGGTGGCATGATTTATTGGACTCAATCTCTCACAAAATGGGGTCTAGATCAATGGCTCAGACATCTGAGCTATTACAGCCCAAGAACAGTCTACCCAGATATCTCTGATATTGGTGCACATTGCCGCCGACTGATAGAAAAAAATTACCCCAATATCAGAGATATCTGGGTAGACTGTTCTTGGGCTGTAATAGCTCAGATGTCTGAGCCATTGATCTAGACCCCATTTTGTGAGAGATTGAGTCCAATAAATCATGCCACCATACCTTGAATATAAATGAGCCCTGATATCTTACAAAATAGGACAAGAAAAAATGTGGTCTTGATTGGACCCAATATGCAATCAATTGTAGGTCCCGTTTTGGGATGCAATAGCTGATATAACAGGTAACCAATGATGGTTGATTATATTAAAAGTATTGGGTGACCTATCGTAGCATAGTTTTTGTGCTACAATACTTAAAATATAAATCTTCGATTGGGGCACCTTTTTTTAATGATCCCCCAGTGTGTGTAGCTCTCCCTCGGATCAGGGGCGGACCTTGTTAGTTGGGGGCTGTGCACTGAAATGCGAGTTGTTCGTTTTCTTTGGCGGGTTTGACTACTTCCCGTGCGCGTAATGAATGGCATTGAGGCAAATTTGATTCATACTACGCCAACATCATCGAGTTCTTCTCTTGTTGCCATTCCCATAGTAAAGTTTGCCCCTGGTTCTTCTTTCTTTCTTCCTCACCCCTTCCATTCGAACTGATCGTTTTTTCTCGATGAATTGTGTCCTGAGAAGATTCTGTGTCTGGGCATGACTGGCAAAGACGAGTCACCGCACACGCATGCTCTGAGCTTGGTACTGGTCTCCATTTCCGGACAACCATCTGACCGCCGAGGTCCTATCGTCCTCACAGGTGACAGACAGGCTGTGCTGGTCTCAGCCGATTCTTTTTCTGACATCTCCACTCTGAATAACATCGGTCCTAAACTACTACATAGTACATATGCTTCTGTCAAATAGGTATGGGATGTTTCACACCAATTGCCGAATCATTTCTGCTGAGGTAAAATGTTGGAGATTAGATTAGATTGACATCTTGGCCGCTTGGGCCTCGGTTATTGATTACTAAAATTATTGCACATTCATGGAACTCATTAGATACAGGTAGAATACGCTAGATATTTTAGTCAGTAGTCTATAACCTTTACAATTGATCCTGCTAGAGCATCAGTTTGGTCTCAGCAGCCTTCTGCCCCAACAGTGCTTATTGCAAACTCTCTCACCCTCTTGATCTTATCCCCGCGCTCCCACTTAGCTCCGACATAAGACATACCCGGAATCACATATTCCTGAAAGACCCTTTGCTCGAAGCAAAGCAGACATGAATTGACACCACATTCATCCGAAATGAAGCGATTCATGAGAAAATCTGTTCTCCTAAATTGTTCAACTCACGTAGGAAACAGATTTACTTGTCCGACAATGTCCGTCGAGAAGATATCCGGCACGAAAGGAATTCCATATGAAGTATCTCTTAGAAAGTTAAAACCTCGTTTATTGGCTCTAAAAAAACTAGATATGCCCGCAGTTCATGGACACTGCATTCTGCAGCATGTATTAAGGCTCCGGGTCAGTGAAAGCGCACAGATCAAGCGCTATGTTGTGCAGAGGTGACTTGAGAACATCCGTCTCTCGCAAGCTAGCAAGTACGCTTGGATCGATCTCGGCCTGGGATTAGGAAACTCTCCAATTTTTGTAAAACCTATTTAGGATATACGTTCTAGGCAGCCCTAATTAGCGCGCAAGCTTCTATAGATTGAATGTTCTTGCTCATGCGCTGATTCTACCGGATATTGCTCGGAGTCAGTAGGATGCGGTGGACTCGGTGATGTTCCAAATCTGGCGGGTCCGCGGGAATACAGTGAATGAGTTGGGGGAGGGGCATAGAAAATTCCGCGCAAAACATTGCATATATAATGCTCACCATATCCGGCCCGTCTATCGCCGGGCTGGCGGTTCCGCACCGCTCGGTGCAATCCCTGGCAGTGTTCTCAGCGTGCTGCGGAGCGAAGAAGAACAAGAGCCCGCAGCCCCGGTGCGACTGAAGCCGAAGCCGCACAAAAAGGTCGCAACCGTGGCCAGCGCCCGCAAACGCTCACGCGCTGAGGATCCGCAAGATGAGGATCTCCCAGCTCAGAAACGGCCAAAGCGGCAGCAGCGCAAGAGGGCTACCGCGCCGGCCAGCAAGACGCCAAGCGCCGCCTCAAAAGAAGGCTCGAGTGACTTCGGAAAGAAAAAAGAGGGTTTAGTTGATGACTATATACTACTGCGCATGCGCGATAACAAAGGGAGGGAGGTGTAGCGCGTCAGTCCCGACGTGATCGATAGCCCCGTGGGTGGTGGAAGTGATTGAGGAGATAGCCGTTGAGCACTGGCACCAGTAACGTTGACTTTGATTGAGCGCGAGGATGCGCAGTGAGCTGCAGCGGCGGAAACGAGCCGAAGCACGAGCATGACATTTCTGACAACGAAGGTGATGCACAAGCTAAGCCCACCACGCCAAGCCACGCAGACCAAGCCCCATCAACCAAATTCAAACTCCGACGTGCGGGGCAAGCCACTCACGCAAAGCCAGTATGTGAAGTCTGTCCGCGCAAAAATCATACAAAACCATTAAGTAGCGATTTTCCGATCAAATAAACACATTTACACCCACTTATTGACACCCCCATGTTGTCTTCCCTTCTCAAACTCCGATACTACGCGGCGAGCCGCTTCGATAAGCCAGCAAGCCAAGTTTTGCAAGCATGAATAGGTGGAGAACGTGGGTCAGTTATATCGGGACATCTACCGTGGTAAGTGAAACTCAGCTGACTCGATTCACGACCACGCTGCACCTACGGGCTTCGAATCCGTGATCTAGCGTCGTGGTGGAAATGCACCTAGTCGGTGCCAGAGACCCCCCGGTCTAGGCGCGGCTTACACATACCTATCTGTCAATGGGGCGGCACAGGCCCGCTCGAACAACGCGACGGACGTAACCGCGAGACGCTCTTGCCTCGTTCTGTCGCCATCTGCGGTCTTAGCGAAGCCTTGCCGGAAATAACCCTCGGCGACTTGTCGCCTCAGCTGTGCGGGAGCTGGGCGGCGTCTGCTGCGGCTGCAAATATGGCTCGCTGGTTTCCATGACTGGGTACACATTCCTCGATCTCGCTCGTTGGTTTCTTTTGCGCTTCGATAGCTACTGTCCTGACTCTGATGGGCTAAGGTATAAGAAGCAAATCCATGGGAGGGAGAGCATATCTCAACTTTTCTCTTTCTCCTCATTCTACTCATCAACTCTTTTCTCAAACTTTCTCATGAGCAACTTGGATTCGACAACGGTCGCCATCTATGGCCTTGTGGCCGTCCTCCCGGTTGCGAGTCTCCTCCTATTCCAGAAGGTCAATGAGAAGGTGCATCGTCCAATGTTATCACGAATCTCCCACCGATTTCCGTTGTCCAGAACCCCGTCCCAGCAGTCATCGGCTCGGAGGGCTTGATCGCCTCATTCAAGGCAGTGCGCTACTTCGTCGACGAGCCGCTCAAGGTCGTGCAGCAGGGTTACGACCAGTTCAAGGGCGGTGTGTTCAGAGTCCCCCGTCGCTGGCGCTGGGACTACATCGTCTCGGGCAACCAGCGCATCAAGGAAGTCGGCTCAGCTCCGGAGGATGTTCTGTCCTTCATTGATGGAGCGGGAGAGGTGTGTCTCGCTTAGGTCGCAGCGGTCTCTGAGAGTCGTTCTGATCCGCTTGCCCAGGTCATCCAGGCGAAGTACACGCAGGGCCATGAGCTGTCGGACAACCCGTATCATATCGCGGTCGTCCGGACGAGTCTGACGCGCAATCTGGGGAAGATCTTCCCTGAAGTGAGGGACGAGATCGAGTGCGCGTTCGACGAGGTCTTCGCGCTGCCCGAAGACGGTGAATTTCGTGTCGTGGTTCCACTGCTTCGCAATCTGATCAAGCCGCAGACTGGAAACTTGTTCCTGTTCTTCCGTCCATCATGAAAGTGATCGCGCGGACCAGCAATCGTCTCTTTGTGGGACTCCCCCTGTGTAAGAGATTGATCATCGTGGCTTGTCTCCTAGTTCTGAGCCATGTACACAGGCAGAAATGAAGACTTCCTTCGCTTGAACGTGCTCAACACAATAGAGGTCGTTGAGCGTGGCCAGAAGCTGGCTGCCTACCCGGACTTCCTCAAACCGTCAGTCCGAGCGTGTCTCTTTTCTCCTCCCCGTTCACATCTTTCCTCAGGCTCGTCGCGCCGTTCATCATCACGAGGCAGAAGCGCATGCGCGAGATGTTAGGCTTTGTGGGCGACATGATCAAAGACCGCATCGCCAAGGATGATGCGCTTGGTACCAACTATGAAGGCAGACCTGTACGCACCCTCGCTCCGAGTATCTTCCGTGGGCTGAACTCGGATAGAACGACATGATCTCCTGGCTTCTCGAACTTGCCGACGCCGAAGGCAGAACCCCTGATCGTATCGCAGGACGCATCCTGTCGCTCAATATGGCTGCTATCCACACAACGTCAATGGTATGGGTTACCCCACATCTCCGAGGACACCTCTCTGACGGAACTCTGTATCAGGCTCTCACACACGCCATCTTCTATATCACCACCTACCCGGAATACCTCGAGCCTATTCGTGAAGAGGTGGAGAATGTCGTTCGGGCGGAGGGCTGGACCAAATCAGCGCTGAACAGCATGCACAAGCTGGACAGCTTCGTCAGAGAGACACAGCGGATGGAGGGCAACGGACCAGGTACTTCCTACGCTCCCTGGGACGCGAGAGCCGTCTTGATGATTGATTGTCTACAGTGACCATGGCTCGCAAAGTCATCGGAAAGGACGGTTTCACGTTCTCGGACGGAATCAATGTGCCTCGCGGATCATTCATTTACGTTTCTGCGAAGCCCATCCACTACGATGCTAGTAAGCGGCTTTCTCAGCTTCCTTTTTGCTCTTCGCTGACCGGAATCAGACCTGCATGAAAACCCAAGGGTCTTCAAAGGGTTCCGCTACGCGCAACTTCGCGACGAAAAAGCCGACAAGCACACCGTCGAGGAGGGCATCTTCAACAGCCACATGGTCACGACCAGCATGGAACATCTGTCCTTCGGGCACGGAAAGCACGCCTGCCCCGGTCGCTTCTTCGCGGCCACTGAGATCAAAGCGATGTTGGCGCATCTGATCGTCAACTTCGATATGAAAGCCGAGGTGCCCGGTGTCCACCCCCCCAGTGATGAGCATGGGATGGTTGCGGTGCCGAATCAGAAGGCGGGAATCTTCGTCCGCAGACGCCAAGTGTGATCTCTAGCCTCCACACCACTGTTTATAGCATCACAACATCACACTCTCTTTTACATTTTACATCCCATTTCTTAGACATTCCTCTTTAACTTGTCACTGATGTCGATGATGCAATCCGATTGACTGTGCTCAACTTCATCATGTGGAAGTCCGTGTGTCAGATACCTCCAGATACAAGCTGATTTTCCCAGCGAGATACTTCTGCATAAGGAGATCTACTAACGCATTCAATCCGGCACTCTCGTTGGGAAAAGCGAACCTCACCTGGGACCTCGTTATTCCTCTCATCCCGCGCTGTGAATGACGGAGGGTGCGCGTACGCGCGGCTCCATGACCTTTTCGAGCGAGGCCAGCAAGCGCATTGAAGGTTGTTGGCATCGATGCTCATTGCTCATGACCTAGACAAGCTTGGCCCTCGCCTCCATGTCCTCCCGGTCCGGGAAAAAGTGTGCCGCCGTGCCGTTGCCGTTGCCGTGCTTGGCGTCGACGTACTACGCGCAACTGCGCCGCTTTCCAAGAACTTGATTCCATGGCGCTCGCTGATTTTGGCTGAAATCAGCTCGAGGTGCATGCCAACTCGTAAGTAGGTAACTGTTGAGCTTCAGAACCATTCAGCGGACTGGATAAGGATGGGGACGATTTGGGCTTGACAAGCCGGAGTTCAGTATGGACAGTCAAGGCAGCAGTCAATCATTTCACGTATCAATCAACATTCGTGGGTACGTTCTGCAAGACAAAGCTACGACTTCACCGACTCATCGACGCTTGATTCCTCAGGTACATCAGCATCAGCCGGAATGCCAACAGGTTCCACTCCCCGCAGAAAGACGATGGCCAACACGGAGCCTGCACGCGGATGAATCAAAGAAGAGAGATGATCAAAGAAACGTACACCCTATTGCCATGCCGAAAGCGGTCCATTGCGCCGCGTGATATGCTTCAAGCGGGGCGCCCATTCCCGCGCTTCGGCCTCCACTCACAGATGTCAGCACAATGGTCGATATCGCCAGTCCAAATGCGGTTCCCAGCTGTCAATCGGTCTCAGTCATCGATAGGCAGACCAGGAGAGTTGATGCACCTGCATCAGTGTCTGGAAGATCCCGCCGGACAGGCTCTGTTCGTGCGGGAGCGAGATCTTGGCGATGAACAGGGTCCCCGCAGCGAAGACGAAGTCACCGCCGAACACAGAGACGATTGGCGATGGGAAGCCGTAGGCCCAGTACGGTGCGCCCGGATGGATTAGCGCCATCAGTAAGCCTGCGATTCCAGTGAACGTCGTGCCGAAGACTACATGCGCATTCGTGAACGATCGACGAGAATGAATGGGTTCGAGCGTACCGACGAGGTAGACCAGATCGATCCGGCTGACGAGAAACACTACGAAAAAATTGCACAGGAATCCAGCGATGCTCATCGGCAACATCCGCAGTGCAGTCAAGATCGGAGTGAACTTCACGTAGTCTTCGTAATAGACCTAACGAAGCGCGCTTCAATGCACGCGCTCACTTGAAGACTCGACATGCACACACCTGGGACCAGAAGAACCACGTCAAGAATCCGGCCCATTCAAAGAACGCGATGACTTGCATAACAGCGAATTTGCCGTTCGCGCGGGACCACAACGAGAGCTTCATCAACGGCGGAGGCAGACTCGTGCTCCGCTCGGAGTTCTGCTCCAGATAGTGCTGCCATGCGAGAAAGAGACCAATGGCCAAGAGCCCGACGAATAGAAGTGCGAGGATGTCTACGGTGCGATGTGAGCCGGCATAGCTGATGGACAAGACGGTCCCAAGACACGCACACGGAGTCTTCCAGCCCTGTGACGCGAGCTGACCTTGCCCGAGGACGAACAACAAGAGTACGAGCCCCGTCGTCACTAGAAACGCGCCGATCCAGTCTACCCGTTTATCCATTTCTAGACTCGGGATGTCGTCGTCGATAGCGAGCAGTCCGCCTAGAGCACAAAGGGCGGAAAGCCCGGCGAGAAAATAGAACGGAGCGCGCCAAGATGCGCTGCAGATTCCACATGTAAGTGCTCGAGCATTCGGAGTAAAACAGACTGCGTACGGTGTCTTCTGGGCGAGCAACGCGCTGATCTGCGTACCGACAGCGCCACTCATAGGCGCCCCGGCCGAAAAAGTAGCGAAGGCAATGTTGCGTGCACCTGATTCGGGGAAACCATGTGCCAGGATGCCCACCTGCCCTTGTCAATCGGGTAAACGGTGAGCCTGCCGGAAGAGACACGACGTACGCAGGCGGGAAGGAAGGCCGCAGGGCCAATTCCCTGCAGGCCCCGGAGGATGTAGAGCGTGGTCGAATCCCGCGCAAAGCCGCATCCAAGGGAGAATACGGCGAGCCAGGAGGTGCCGATGACGAAGAATCGCTTCCGGCCCCAGAGATCGGCAAGTCGACCTAGGAGTAGCAGGAGGCATCCCTGCACGCCGAATGGGTCATCGAGACAGAAGCCGACGGGAAGACATACAGAGGACAGAGAGAACGCGGAGACCAGCCATTGGAGCTGGCTCTCGGGTATGTGCAGATCTCGCGCAATAACCGGGAGGAACGAAGACACAGCAGAGGAAGAGGCAAGCTGGTGTGGCACAGCGAAGGGACATCAGTATAAAGTATGCGGAGACGGATGCTTAGGGCACCGCATACATTCGTAATCATCGCAAGGGTGCATGTTGCGACCAAGAGCACCGACTTCCACGTCGACCGCCGTGGGGGAGACACCGGTGGAAAAGCATCGAATTCCAGCTCCTGGATATCGGCCATGTAAGTCGAGGGGCGGAGTGGGGGGCAATCAGAGCGCTCGCTTACGATGCACCGTCCTTTAGCTGGATCAAGGGCTCACCGCCGGCATATTCACGGGAGAAGATCACAGCGAAAGCATGCAGTCGATTTGAGAAGCGAGAGAACAGGAATGGAATCCAGAGGGAAGATTCCGGAGAGTGCCATGTTCCTGGTGAGTTCGCGGCTCAGAAGAAGTCCCGAGCGACTCGCGACGACATGATGACACGAGCAACTCTCATCTTCGATCACGCTCGAGGTTCTATGGTGGGTCGGTCCGAATGCTCAGAGGGAGAATTTGCTCGAGTTATCAGCGAGTGTGGAAGCGAGCCTGACGCTGAGATGGTTATCAATGAGACGAGCGAGTGGTGACGGTGACTGCCTGTGACTGCACGTTCTCCCATCGTTCGGATCACGGCAGATGGCACAGCCACAACAAATGAAACAATGTTCCACAGTCCCGGGTAGCACATGCAGTTGCGATGCCTATCGAATGTCTCGCAGGTCAGGATTGAAAATATCACCCCGTCTCTGGAAGGATTGTTTTGGCCGCTCAATACTGAAATGTCCTGGCCTTACCGCACATGTACAGATGCTTCCCGCTTCTCGGGCATGAAAGATTGTGCATATAGCATGACCAAGATATGCATACATTTGCTGGAACATGGAAACACAGTATCTAAAGTTTAAATGGTTCTGAGCAGGTACTTGTTTGTTTTTATAGTGCTAATGCATATTGTTACACATCTGATTGCATCACCCTACTGCTCAACTTAAATTACGCCTAAATCAGATGAAGCCATTTGCCGTAGGCGCATGCCACATAATCAAGTCAAGAGCTCGCCGAGGCATATGCGTGGAGATCCGGAAGGATCACAGTGAGAGTATGCGGTCCATTTCGGAATCGTGGGAAAACGTGATGTCGCTGTTGAGTCCGCGGCTCGGTACAAGTCTCGCGTGATCAGGGACGGCCTGGTGACACTACAAACTCCCATCTTCGAATCCTGCTCAAAAATGGATGTGTTTCAAGACAAGCAGGCGCGCGGCCGCTGCTGCACGAACACGCTGTGTTCCATGCATGGAGAGTCAGATGTTCAGAGAGTGCGAGAGGCCGTCGAGACGGATCTTCATAGGCGAGAGTTGCATAGACAGTACTCAGGCCAGCAGTCAAGGTGAGGGCCTGTGAGTATCACTTGCATTTTAGGACAGGGAATAGGCCGAGGCTCAAGAATTTAACCGGGTTCTCTCGTCTCGCGGGGATCTCATAAGCTCGCTAAACGTCTCGTGCTGTCGCACGCGGCCGGGACGGCGATACAGTGAGTTGGTCTCGATGATTAGAGAAGAATCAGCCGAAATTATCAGAGACTGTCTCTGGTCTCCCCAGGGCAGACTAGGCGCAAGGCGTTACAGTGCTCGAACATTTGATCGGGTTTCTGCGCTCTAATATACTGTATAGGGAATTCAACCAGAATAAATTTTGGTACTTTTGGTTGGAAAAAAGAAATCTTTCCCATTTTGGTGACATATCTAAATACTTTTTTTACTGCGAGCGAAGCGAGCAATCATCAATTAAGAGTGCAGAGGCATACAAACGGGAAAAAACTCTACGCACGATTTGATGGCATGTTGAGCGCAGTGGCAACGCTCTCAAACGCGTTCATTTCTGCATGGTATCCAATGGAACTAGCTGTGGCAATGTAGTACTACACCTTCGATCTGATTCTCGAGTTTGAGCGGTATAAATTGAGGAACGAGGTGCGTGTAGATATCCCTAATATGTTTGGAATTGGCCTGAGTGAGGATCGAAGCGAGCACTCGGCACCTGTGCGCTGCTCTATCTTTTCTCCGTCACATACACTGTGTTTCACACCGATGAAGTCCAATACCCGGAACTTTACGTCAGCTTCGTTTGAGAGCACTTGTATCCGAACACATATGTTCCCTGGAGTTCCACATTATTGTGTTGAGCGCAGCGAATCGGATTAAATCATGGACATCAGTCACAACTGAAAGAGGAGTGTCTAATCATAAGAAAGATTATGTAAAGGAGAGTGTGACGTTCTTACGTTCTAGACATTCGCGTGGAGACCATACAGTAAATCACAGCTGGCGTTTACGAACAAAGATCCCCGCCTTCTGATTCGGCACCGCAACCATCCCATGCTCATCACTGGGGGGGTGGACACCAGGCACCTCGGCTTTGATATCAAAGTTGACGAGAATGTGTGCCAACATCGCTTTGATCTCAGTCGCCGCGAAGAACCGCCCAGGGCAGGCGTGCTTTCCGTGCCCGAAGGTGAGGTGTTCCATGCTCGTCGTAATCATGTGGCTGTTGAAGATGCCTTCCTCGACGGTGTGCTTGTCGGCCTTTTCGTCGCGGAGTTGCGAGTACCGGAACCCGTTGAAGACCCTGGGGTTTTCGTGCAAGTCTGTGATTTGGTAAACGACGGGAAAAGGGAAGACAGAGAAAGCCGCTTACTGGCATCGTAGTGGATGGGTTTGGCAGAAACGTAAATGAATGATCCGCGAGGCACATTGATTCCGTCGGAGAACGTGAATCCGTCCTTTCCGATGACTTTACGAGCCATGGTCACTGTAGACGATCATCAAAATCCCTCTCGGGTCTAGGTCAGCGCAAGAAGTACCTGCTCCGTTGCCCTCCATGCGTTGTGTCTCTCTGACGAAGCTGTCCAGCTTGTGCATGCTATTCAACGCTGACTTGGTCCAGCCTTCCGCCCGGATGACGTTCTCGACTTCTTCACGGATAGGCTCGAGGTATTCCGGGTAGGTGGTGATATAGAAGATAGCGTGCGTGAGAGCCTGTAGCAGTCGCGTAAGAGGGAGGTGTCCTCGGAGATGCGGGGTAACTCATACCATTGACGTTGTGTGGATCGCAGCCATGTTGAGTGACAAGATGCGTCCCGCGATACGGTCAGGGGTTCTACCCTCGGCGTCGGCAAGTTCGAGAAGCCAGGAGATGATATCGTTCTACCCGAAGTCAGCGCCAAAAGGGTACTCGAACCAGAGTGCTCACAGGTCTGCCTTCATAATTAGGACCAAGCGCATTGTCCTTCGCGATGCGGTCTTCGATCGTACCCCCCAAAATTCCCAGCATCTCGCGCATGCGCTTCTGTCTCGTGACGATGAATGGCGCGACGAGCCTAAGAAAAATACGTAAATGGGGAGGAGAGAAGGGTGCACTTGAGCTGACGGTTTGATCAAGTCCGGGTAGGCGGCCAGCTGCTGACCGCGTTCGACGACCTCGATCGTATTGATGACATTCAAGCGGAGATATTCTTCATTTCTGCCTGAGTAAATGGGTCAGACCAGGATACGGGCCACGAAGACCGGTCCCTCACACAAGGGAAGTCCGACGAAGAGACGGTTGCTGGTCCGCGCGATCACTTTCATGATGGACGGAAGAACAGGAATAAGTTTCCAGTCTGCGGCTTGATCAGAGAGCGAAGCAGTGGAAACCACGACACCAATTCACCGTCTTCAGGGAGCGCAAATACGTCGTCGAACGCGCACTCAATCTCGTCCCTCACTTCAGGGAAAATCCTGCCCAGATTGCGGGTCAGACTCGTGCGGACGGTCGCGATGTGATACGGGTTGTCCAACAACTCGTGGCCCTGCGTGTATCTCGCTTGGATGACCTGGGAAATATTCAGAACGGGCCGAAAAGACCGGTGCGACCTGATGAGAGAACACACCTCCCCCCCTCCATCAATGGCGGATAGGACGTCGTCCTGAGCCGAGCTGACTTCCTTGATGCGCTGGTTGCCCGAGACGATGTAGTCCCAGCGCCATCGACGAGGGATTCGGAACACGCCGCCGTTGTACTCGTCGTAACCCTGCTGCACGACCTTCATCGGCTCCTCGATAAAGTAGCGCGCAGCCTTGAGAGACGCGATCCAGCCCTCTGAACCAATAACAGCGGGGACGGGATTCTGCACAATCAGAATCGGCGGCAAATTCGCGATAGCAATGGACAATGCACCTTCTCATTGAGCTTCTGGACCAGGAGGAGACTCGCCACCGGCATCACGGCCACGAGCGCATAGACCGTAACTGTTGTTGAAATCAAGTTGCCCATGAAGGTGTTCAAAAAAAGAGTTGATGAGTAGAATGAGGACAAAGAGAAAAATTCAGATATACTCTCCCTCCCCTAAATTTGGTTCTTATACCGTGGCCTTGACATACCGCATCGAACAGCAGCATGTACTGCCCATCTCTAGCAGTAGTTGAGCGACGAGTGGTATCGCGTGGCTCCCATCGTGGGATACTGGCGGGCCTATACACGGCCCATTGACAGATTTGTATACATGTAAGCCTGGCCATGCGCCGAGTATCCCGGGCACAGACATGGCACTGTTCCACAAACATTGCAATATGCAGATTTGACGCCGGAAATCTTCTGTGGCTCGGTGTAGCCACCGTATGCCTCTTGATCTTGGTGACTACCACCCTCACCCAGAGAACATCCGAGCTGATGGTGCATCCAAGGGGAGGGGAGAAATCGACCAAATTTACCCGGATGATACTTGGGAGCCCTCTGCATTGCTAGACATCCTCCGTGAAATAGCTCCGCCGATGCAGCCCAAGAATTACCGGCAAGTTCAGAAAATGTTTCCGAGTCATCCGGGCCGCATCTCACCCAATGAGTGATGCCCGTGATGGCATCAATTGACCCTCGCTCATTTCCCCCGAGGGTTCGTGCGGGACATAAACAGATTCCGTGGATCCGTCTCCAATTTTTGAATTCGGAGACTACAGAGTTGGGCGATCTCCTAAGAAACAGTCATCAGTTGATATAAATAATACTTTCAACATGCTGAGCTTTGAATACAATAACATAGGCTTTTCGGATTGCTCTGAGCTCAAGGCTAGAAGGTCTTGGTGTGGAACAACAGTCTCATCATTTCCATGAATTAATTGAACCACGGCAGTTGATGGACAAATGGTAGGGTGCTGTGTCAAGGTTGGAATCAGGAAGGTTTGAAGTATCCTGTTGTATCCTTTGAGCTGTACAGCTGGTCGGGTTGTGCTCCAAGACACTGAATAAGGAATTACTCTACTGATCCGAAACATTCGTTACAGTACAAGATTTTAAGACAAGGCCCAGCACGACATCAGAACAGAGGAGCCCCTTCGCCGAGGAGTTGGAAAAGTCTGGCAGATCAAACTGCGTCAATAATCTGGCATACATTTCAGTTGAGCGGCCCGATCGAAAGGCTATAAAGCACAGACCTTGAGCTCCGAAGCGCTGGGAATGCCATCATCTTCTATTTCCGAAGTGCTCAGAACCAACTGTCATCCCAGTTAGTCTTGAGAATGACACAATGAAGCACTCACTACTCACGGAATGACCGCCCGCCGATACTGAGCTATCGAATTTAGAGTTTGTCGCGAACACAGGACCGGCGCCGACGGTGGGAGCCATCGTGGCGCTGATGGGCGACAGACTGATGGTCGTGTTTCTATTCGTGGCATGCGGGATTTGCGAGCGAACGGTGTCGCGGTAGTTGAGCGTCGCGAGCAGACTGTTCGTATACAGCTTGCCGGATACCACATTGAAAGCGATGTGTATAAGATTTTTCGGCATCGTCAGGAACTTTGGGGCGGTCTTCAGTGGAAGGGAGGATCCCGATGAAGAAAGGCGACGTACGCAGACCATGTCAACAAGGACAACGATCCTGCGGGCCTGTTAGCGAACGATTCGTGATTTCGAATCTGAAGCCCCGCACGCAGTAAGAGTCCCCGTGTTCATTGCGTAGAGGATCAGCTTATTCACCACGGAGTCAGTGCTGCAGCGTAGAAAGATTCAGCCGCGGTGTTCCGCGCGATGAAGAGAGGCGAAGACACGCACACCTCCATCCCAGTCCGACTGCGAAGCAGATACCACGACAAGGACACTGCGATGATCAAATCTGCCACAGCCGCGCACCCGAGTCCGACACTAGCAGTCGTTTGGAACTTATAAAAGAGTTCGACCTTGACGAGCTGAAACCTTTTGACCTTTGTTAGTCTGGATTTTAAACGGAAACACAGGTAGGACTCGCGTTCGAACCTTCACCTCTGCACAGCCTGAATCAGAAAGATCCAACAACGACGCTCGTGGACCGCGCACCCAATTCCAACCCATAGTAGCAGAGGGACAGTGCAATGATCACGCCTGTTAATAAGTAATTCTTTTTGCTGACTATGCAAACAGTTCAATTCCCGGAAAGTGAGAATGAAAATAAACGAACGAATCCAGACACGACGAGCGAGGAAACTGCGGCCCGCGCGTCAGCATGATCGCTCAGCAAGGATGCAGCGGCTGACAGTTGAACAATGATGACGATAGTGTTTGTGACCAGAATCCCGATCTACAAAGGAGAATCAGCGTTACTAGACTCGCGGTAGGATGAATTCACGACTCACATTGTAAGTCCAGGTGGTATCCGCAAGGATGGCGGGGTTCGCATAGTTGGTAATAACCCTATGACCAAGTCCATATCAGGCTAACGAAGTACGAACAGTTCGTCGAAGCATACCAGAAGTACAAGAAGGATCCAATCAGAGCGAGCTGCAAAGTTTCCAGAACCCTGAGAACTGATAGTCAACTCTCAGTGTGCAAGCTGCGGTGTTCGACTCCAACCAAAGACCGCCAACCAAAGTCTTGATCCACAAAGGGTCCTTGACAAAGATATGGTAGTAGCGGTAGCTCTGTATTGACATGACACCGTACAATCTGAGCACCACAGACGTCAGAGGGCATTAGAATCCAGGCTGATCTACGGAGAACGCACCCCCAAGCTAGCATGTACGCGACGCACAGTGCACCAAGCCTAGTGTCGTATTCTCCCATCGCACTTCGAATTGTCTGTTCTGGAGGAAGAAGATTGGCCAAGGAGCGGCTGAAGACCTGGGATCCGGGAGTAATACTATAAGTAGCCGGAGTTCCTTGGTCTCACTGTTCACAGCCTGATTGACATCATTGGCCGGCCAGCTTCGCTGCTTCCTGTCTCTGTTCATCACTAAGTGGCGCGTGCAGTTCAGGAGCTCGGCACGACATCGCGTTTGAGTCAGCCATACTCATGTGTATACTTTCTATCTATGAATCTGTGGACAACAAGAATATTTCAAATCTCAGACACGTGGTATGTCCCAGCCGGCTGGAAATCATCCTCGGAACCATCAATTCCCAGCCTCGAGAAACACCGTGTTATAGCCGCTGACCTCGCCGCGCTTCTCGTCATGATGCGGATTGAGGAATCGAGAGGTGTCCTATGAGAAGGGGCGATTAGAGCGTGCTAGTCGAAGCAGGGAGAACTGGCGACCTCATTCAGACAGTCAGCACTGCGGCCAAGCCATGTCTGTGTCCTTGAGCAGTTCAGCATTGAAAGCTCAGACGATGCGCACGGACTGCGATCCCGATCGTCTCCTTTGCTGTGCACTTACGGCGACACGCTCACCTGCGGAAAGATGAATCCCCGCATCGGACGGGTAGCTGTGGCTTGTGAAGTATCTTCCCAATCCAGATCCGTAGCACCTCTTGGCGGGAGCAAACACAGGTTCTTCTCGGGTCACCTGAGCACAGAAATCATGATGGATCGAGGGTGTACGATTCGGGGGACTCCTTTTCATGGCGATTCTGCGGACCAGGATCATCAGCGCTGGATATACATGGGATGGCAGTCGCACTAAATCCCAGCCCAGGGAAAAACCATCGCGCCTTTTCTGATCTGAGCCGATCACGCTGATTATCACCCGGGCGTAGCCTTGATGATCATGATGCGCATCTATGACGTACAGCGATCCGCCGCGCGCCCATCTGAAAGCTCTTTGACAAACGCGACACAGTATGGACTAGTATGGAGCACCCCTGAAAGCTCTGAATTCAATCACCGTCTATGCGTTGACCGTTTCAGAGTAAGAGAGGGAATTCATTAGATCAGTTCCTCCTTCGTGACTGATGGCAAATACTGAGGCCTCTGCGAACTCCCAAGACTGGTTCTTCGATGAAAAAAAAACCATATGAAAAGCCAGAATAGACATAAATCCTCAACACAATTCATCTGGCACTCGGGTGATCTCAATTCACTGAAAACGCTCAAAGACGGCATTTCAATAGAGGTCGGAATCGCCCATCCCTCATCGCCGGAGATCGTCATCATATGCTCGCGCCCTTGGCGTCATCCACTGTTGACGGTGCCATGTGGCCCTGATCGCCATTCGCCGAGGTGCGACCAGGGATATCTGCTTGGCGAGACGCACCGCCTTTTGCTCTTGCTTCCAGGGCCGTTTCCGGATCGCGCTTGGTCTTGTTGAGGCGAGAAGGCCTCATCGCCATGAAAAGTTCCGCTAAGGGCGATCTGAGACATGGCTCGTTGCCTGCACGGAGGAAAAGCACACACTCAAGCACCCAGCTGCAGCTACTCCACAATCAACGCTCATGTTGTTGAGTGATACAATAGGGAAGACACGGGAAAGAGATCGAGGGCTAGGAAAGTTGAGGGGGGTTGGTGAGGGGTGCACCTGGGCCTGTAGGTCGCCTAGGTTTATATCATGAGACTGCCCCGGGGATGGCTACAAGCCTTGAGGTGACTGCAAGCATAATTCAATCGCGCCACATATCAATGATGAGACGTCAGCGAGAAAGGGCGCATGACGTCCATGGTGAACGCCACTGAGCTGGTGAGCCACACCCTTAAATGTGTTTGTGAAGCACATGGGAAGCACATGGAAAGTAGATCGCGTTAGCATCTGGACTTGTTGGTGTGATCTTCAGGTAAATTTCCGGGCCAACGGACTCGAGATGGTTCGAGACCGTTTATGTATCCACGTATCAGTAGCAGATGGGATACACGGACAAAGCAGGTTCAGTCACCGAACGAGGCAGGATACCATGGCTGCTATGAGTGGCTTGGGTTAGGATGATATGTAACGGCCAAACGAGGTTACATTTGCTGTGCTTTACAGCTTTGAATGTGATTGTACGGTTCTGGCTGCACGTGGTGAGAATGAGGTAACATATATCTGCACTTACTCAGACTCTAGCTACTTTTTCCTTGCATGTCTGAGGCGCAAGTACGGAAAGGGGATAAATATCCAGAAAGCGCTAAAGCAAGAGGATCGCAGTAGTCATTGACGACCCGCGAGACCAGATAGCAGACAGTAGGAGAGAGACTTAGTGAGTTATCCGATCACAGCTACTCAGTGAAGACAGTCTACGAGCTGTCTATGTGTCGGATAGTCTTGCTGTATTCCATGACATACTTCTCCTTCATTTCAGGAGAGTTCAACGCAGCGTCCGCATCGACTTGGTTCTGGAAGTCAGCGAATATTAATGGCGCATCCTTCCGAGTTCGGACTGAGCAGAAGAGGCAGAGATAGTCAGGGACAGAACAGAGCGACAAAGCGGCAAGACGGACCAAATCGCAATCTAGGCCCTCCGAACTTCGCGAACGACTCGCGGACGTCCTGTCGTCGCAAGCCCGCCATCGGGACAGCCGGACCCTCCTTCATGACGACGAACAGTGTCAGATTGGGTCCCTCCAACCTGGTCTTCGCGTACCCCACATCAAACTTACCTTTCAGCCCTGGCTCACGCAGCACCGCGTCCGCAGCAGCCTGCGTCTCGTACTCCACGAAGAAGTAGTATGACTCGCCCTCGGCTACCAACGCAGACAGACACGCGGGGTTCAGTCAGTCTATCATTCAGTAGACAGAAACAGACCACTCACGCGCTGATACCGTGTTTGGTCCGAACCGTGCGAAGAGCGCTCGCTCCTCGGCGACAGTCATTCCGAGGGAACCCGCCTCGCGCGAAACGTGCAGCCGAGGACTAGGCTGGGTCATCGGTGCATCCCTCCGGACCGGCGCGAAAGTCTCGCGAAGGGCAGGGGAATTGAGCGCAGCCTCCGCGTCTGCCTTGTTCTGGAACTCCACGAATGCGCGCGCCGGGCGGTCGGGGCTCTGGCTGACCACTGCACACGGGTTTAGAGGATGGGAGTCGGCGCGAGGACGGCACGCACCTATCTTGACGAAGTTCTGTCCGAACGGGCCGAAGGCTTCTTTTGATGCTCTTCTCGAGCTCAGTGGGGCTCGCATCGGTCCCCCTGCGTAGATGCAAACGGGCTCCGCCAGCATTTTGGTCGAAGCGGAAGGGTGTAGTGGAGAAAAAGGCTGCTAAGCGAGAGGAGGAGGGAGAGGCGGTTCTCAGTGACGGGCGCGCACTGACAGAGAGGAGTGTGCGGCGAAGTGCAGTCAACATTGGTCGGATGTCTAGAAGCAAGGGGAGTGATTTTTCGGCGAAGAGACAGACACGTGAGTGACACGGTCGGCACGGAGCACGTGATGATTTGCGCTTTTGATGAGAAGTTGATGAACCTCGTTCTTACTGAGCTCAGCTCGACCCTGCTTGAACCACATTCAAGACTCGAAACTCGGGACCTCAAGGCAAGTCGGTGTAATACGTCGAACATTTACCGCACGACATAGCTTCGCCACCGAAAGGAATATTGACTGACTGGTGGCGAATATTGTATGATTGAGTATCCAATTGATGGCGTCGAGGGCGTTGGTGTCTACTGACGAGATTCGTCCATATCGATGAATTTTCAAAACCAAATTACTGCATAAACCCCGCCAAAGCAAAAGTACCACTTCTGAACCTATGACAGGCTATTTTTATCAGCGGATTTCTTCATGTAGTAAGTACTCGAAGGTGTAAGAGTTTGCAGAGGATGTTAGCCGGATTTGCCCACAAAGACCCCCGGCTCCTGCAGATCACATGCTCAATTGATGCGGCACGAGTTCGATTCTCACAGTGCATTTTATTTAACTGGTTGCATATATTATTGTGCGGCGTCCCTAGTTATTGTGTAGCGTTCCGGGGAGGTCTGAGAAAACTCCAAGATTTATTGTCAGATGCTTTATGGTCTAGTAGTTATGGGTGCGTATTTTTCAATTGAATGGTCTTTGGTTCAAGGCTGAGTGAGTGGATTTTTGTTCTGGGATTTGCTTCGGCTGAGCGAATCGACGTCCTCCGACATCATCAGGTCTCACTGATACCTATTATAAACATCTTTTTCTTGCTCACGGCCCCCATCTCCTAATGATGATATTCGGGCTTGGGACTTTGATGATGAAGGTGGAACTGGAGAGTGAGTCAGTCAATTTCATTCGGTTTGGACACAGTCACTTATGTAATCTCATTCAAGTTCTATTTCTCCAAGGAGCGCAAAGCAAACCTTAAGCGCTGCTTCGAAGCACTCTGAGTCTTGGATACCATGTCAAGCTTGAATGGTATGGCACCTGGCCTGGCTAAGGCTCTGGAGCCTGCTTTATCCTTGATTGAGCAAGCAGGTGGCCACATTCACATTCACAAAGAGAAAAGGAAAAGTCAATGCATTTATAAAGATACAAATATCTATACAATGTTCATGGATTGAACATATTTATCCCGCTTGTTTGAGGTGCGCGCCACGCGGCCTGAATCGAACCCGCCGCCGATCAATGTGGCACGTGATCTGCAGGAGCCGGGGGTCCTTGTAGGCCTGTGCCGCGCGCAAGATGCTCCGGGAATGGGGCAACCAGCGATGGCTTCGGATGCCGCTGCCTCTGACAGCGTTTCATGCATCTTTTACGATGAAAACGGACTTACTGCTGGTGATAACACCTCTATGCCATTATTGCCATAGTATCAATACATAGTTTTGGAATGAAATTGGCGGATCTCTCGAGCCATGTCACCATCACATCACGACCGGCACGTGCCGGTGTCAATCAGTGCCGACGTCAAGAAAAAACTCCGCCCTCATGCAGCTCACGACCTCTCACCACCCACACCACACACCTCTCTACCCACCGCCGTCCAGTCCACCACTCCAACCATGTCCATGTTCGCCGCCCTCTTCCGCAAACAAGCCGTCGCTGTCCCCCGCTTCTCCGCCCCCATATCGTCTCGGTTCTTCTCAGCGACAGCACGCGCGTCGGAGCAACACGCGCGCAGCCCACGCCTGTTCGTTGGCCTGCGTATCGTCGGACGGACCTACCCCCAGAAAGATATTGTTGCAGACTTCGCGCCTTTTGGACCGAACACTGTCGAGCAGGGTGCGTCTCTTCTCCCCAGTTTCCTTTCGTCCCCCGTCCCCCGTCCCCCGTCCCATCCCACACTTCGTGCCCACTTTCATTCACCCTCTCCCCACACGCAAACCCCTGCCCATACACACATGCCATACCCATACCCTCTTCTTCGCCCACCTGCTCCTGCCTTCTACACACGACGCTGATATGCTTCCTTCACAGTCTTGCGGCGCGACAAGCGCCCCGCGCCGTTCGTGTTCGTTGATTTTGAGAAGCAGGCAGATGCGGACGCGGCTTTCTCGAACGCGGCCTTGAAGGAGAAGTTCGGCATCGAGTACGCCAAGCCGAAGCCCGAGGGCGTTCAGACCAAGGCATGATGACGAGGACGATGGGATCGCTGAGGAGAGCGAGGGCGAGCGCCACTCCTGCGTGTGAAGAGTATCATAAAAACGAAGCTCGTGTTAATGTATGCGCGTCAAAAGTACTGTCTCGTCAGACATATGCCTGCATTCTTGACGGTGACCGCAATTTCCGCTGCGCTTTGGTCGCGCGAACCTCTCTCCACTCCCAGCTCACCTGAGACGATCGAATGGCTAAAGCCGCTCGATTGTCGATGTAAAGCCCAGCAAGCGTCGTGGGTTCCCTGGAAACGCGGCAGAACCGATACTGATGCCAGATGCGTGACCGGTCTGGCCCGGTCGCTCTACGTTGGAGCCTTAGAACTCGGTATGCTATTATGTTATCGGATGGCACCGGCCGTCGTTGGTATTTGCATAGTCTTTCTGCTTCCCGCTAACTTGTGGGTACGAAACCGAGGTCAAAGTCACTCAGTAGCCTCTCTCGTCTTATGGCTCCAAAGGCTACCCATCTCGCAGGCGCGTACTTTGAACAAGAACTTTGTGGCCAGATTCTCCCCTGCGTGGGCTTGATGAGCGCTGCATATGTGTGTGTGTATGTACATACTTAAGTACCAACGCGAAGGTGGCTCTTTCCGCGTCACGTGCAACATATCCGGTCAATCTTACTATCCCCTGTGAGCTCTACCTCTCACGTATCCACTTCCATACCTGCGCCGCTCTCTCAATCGCGTAAAAGATTAAAGTGCAATTGTCAGACAGGGCATGCAGATATGTTTCCTGGTGCAAATGACAGTGAGTGAACATATGTATGCTCGAGGAACGAGCTGCGAGCAGCAGGAACGAGGCTTCTATTAGGCTTACGCAGGCAATCGGCCCCGCACTGGTGACGATCCGAGCAAGTACATACTTGACGCAAACTTATTGAAGAACCACACACTCTCAGAAACAACGCCCGTGGCCGAACTGCATCGACACCATGAATCCAAGACCTAGCGTGGCCTCTGCCCTCGCAGGCGTCCCATCTGCGACAACAGCACTGTCTCTGTTCTCCCTCTCGCACCGAGTCGCACTCGTCACTGGTGGACACGGCGGCATCGGGCTCGAGATGGCTCTGGCGCTCGCTGAAGCCGGCGCTGTCGTCTATTGTCTCGACCTTCCCTCGACGCCCGATGCTGATTGGGTTAAGATGCAAGGAGCCGCTGGGCCGGGAAGACTGGAGTACGTGAAGGGCGACGTGACGGACCAGAAGGCGCTGTGGGACGCCGTCGAGGACATCGTCAAGAAGGACGGTTAGATGTTTGCATCGCCAACGCAGGTATCTATGGGGGTCACGGATGTTTGGACTATCCTGGGGAGGATCTGCGCAAGGTGAGAGTTGTTTTAATCCGTTTCTGGCGCCCGTTTTGACACAGGCCGGCGTGGCAATTAGGTCTTGGACGTCAATGTAGCAGGTGTATTTTTCACCGCGCAAGCCGCAGGACGCCAGATGCAGAAGCTTGGCACTCCGGGTAGCATCATTCTCATTGCGTCAGTGGCAGGCACTGTTAGTCTCAAGGTAAAAATCCTTTGCACTTCCAGGCCACAGTCGAATCGCTCACCCACTCAATCGAAGGGTGTAGTCGCATATAACGTAAGCAAGTCCTCAGTCCTTTAAATGACCCGCTCTCTCACCGTCGAGCTCGCTCCTCTCGGTATTCGCGTCAACAGCATCAGCCCAGGATTCATCGACGCAGGGTGCGTGCCGAACATCCGGATCTGGCTCAGAGGCTGCTTCTTCTGACCACATTACGCAACCGTAGCATGTTGCGGGTCTTCCTGGATGAACATCCCGAGCAGGAGCAGTCGTTCGTCGCGCATACGCCGATGGGGCGGATGGCGAAGGCGGACGAGCTGCGCGGGGCTGCCTTGTGGCTCGCGAGTGACACGTCGAGCTTCTGTACGGGATCAGAGTGCGTTTCCGTCGTTCCAGTTTATCGGAGACTGCTGACGTAGCCTTCAGCATCAAGGTCGATGGTGGTTATCATGCTTGCTGAGCCGAACGGGATGCCAGTGCCACTTTTGTTTCCGATAGTGAGCAGTGAGAGACGAGGTGTTGCTGGAACACGAGTATGATGCGGTGATGCAGGAGTAGATTGCAAATCGCGCGTTCGTCCTTCATAACGAGTATCGAATGTGTGGCATGTCGGAAAGTATTCCGTGACCCTTGTAAAGCGTATCAACTCGTAGACGGATCTTCGAGAAACAGACCGGCAACACAGATGAGTCTCAAAGGTGACGGACACTACAGTCCAGGGGTAGCAGAAAAGACGACCCGCACATGAGTCCAATCCGCTTCCTACGCGGACGCGTTTCCATCACACAATGCCGCTGCGGTCTACCATCTACCTTCCGAGTTCTCGCCCTCGGCGGCTCATCGGCATCTCGGATTGGCCAACGCTAGAAGAAGAGGCCGGGTGCGGGTCTCGATCTTTTAACATCAGCGCGTGGATAATAATCTATCTCGGGATCTCGTCATGTTGCGGGTGACCTGGAGGTTCGGCAGCCCTTTAAGTCAAGGATTAGCCGCATTGTACCAAGCAATAGAAGTCTTGAGGGTGTCGCTCAGGTTTCGACTTTCGCCGCTCATCGGGAAGTTTTCTACAGTGGCTCATTTATGACTCGTTTGACAAGAGGGGATGAACGCGTCGACCCACGGACCAAAGATTTTCATAGCGGCGGGCGCATCAGACACCACGGAAAGTAAGATAGGCCAGCCTCTGTCGAAAATGAGCTGTCTTGAAGTAGCACTCAGAGGGGGCGATAAAGGGAGAAGCGGTCAAGCAAAGATCCAGGGAGCAGCTCGCAAAGAAGACCACTGTTCTCATGATGTCACGGTGATCAGTCAGCACACTTGTTCTTTACATCAATTGTTCAATATGCTGGGGCGAACATCAGCGTTCAAAAGGGAGTAGAATCGCATCTGATGCTCACCATCAGTTAGATATATGCGCGCGATTATCTCCGCGACGGACTGTTTCAACAGATTCGCACCCGCCTCTTCCAAAACGTCGCAATTCCATCTACTTGGAGGCGCCACATCCGATCCTGCGACGGGGGGCGGAAGCGGAGGGTCGATCTGCACTGCCGGACAAGAGATCGTCCTTGCAACCCTCGATGAAATTGCAGCGGAAGGAATTCCGGTCGGACTGGTAGGTACGGCGGTCACTACTTTGGTCGCTGCGTAGAACCGGAGTTTGGTCCCGAACGTGCTGAGGGCGTACAGCTTCGGCAGGCGGCAATCGGGAGCCAGATCATTCAGCCGGCGGCGGCAGAGTGCGTCGGCTGACATGCGTGCGGATGCCCAGCGGAGCCCGTGCGCCGGATGGACGTGAAGTAGGAGGACAGTATGTGTTTTGTAGAAGACAGTGAACACGAAGGGCGTCGAGATAGCGTCGGTTTCAGTGTTAGGAAGGGGTGGATAAGGCCCGGGGGCAACGAGGACGTTGGTATCCGCCGGGAAGAGATGATATAGCAGTTTGTTGTAGGGCGCACACAACGGCAGGTCGGGATCAGCTGCCAATGCCTCGAACGGCTCATGCACCACCAGAGGCCACGGTTGGGCTGGGAATGCCGGAGAAGATGCCGAAGTGGATGGAGGAGAACTGGTATCGGAGGAAGGAGAGTGTCGTCGACTGCGTTGGCTCATTGCGTGGTAAGCGGTGGAAGCGACCGGATAGGCTCAGGGGGCGGATGGAAAGCAGGTGACAGTGACTGATCAACATTCATTGCTGATCGTTCCACTCCTATTTCAAGCGGAGTTGGCCAACTGGAATATCGTCATTGACGAGGTGCTCATTTCATCGGATGTTCAATCGGAGACCGCATATCCAAAAATACGAAGGATCACAAGCTCAAAAGTCAGGAAGCAGAGACTGGAATGCCTCCAACTAGGACGAATATAGAGCCTGAAATTGATGTATTTGACTTGTTCTATACCCCTCTAGCTCGCAGAAGCAAGGATGCTTCGAGATCCCACTTTGCACTGATCATTTACTGACCCGAGCGCTGATAAAGGCGTATCTACTGCTTTCTTCTCAGCATGAACGGTATCCAGTACAGTCATTATTCCTCGAATAAACAAAGAAATTTTGCTTCCTCAATTGCTGGGCAGAGGAACCACGTCGGCCAAATGGGATTTACGCATGACGTAGCCGCATGCTGTTAGCACGTGATCGCGGAGTGCCATTGATGGTCATCGGCTCGTGACCCCTTGCGTCGTGCGATAATTCTCAGCTGGTCTGCACAGGTGTGCATCCGTCAATGTCAGCAATCTACGTCGAGACTAGTGTCCTTCTCGCTCTCAGGTTGTGAATTTGAGGAATCCAGTCGTGACCAACTCTCATCTTCGTGCAGAGCCAGCATCTTCTTCTCTTGTCGAAGATATCTGCTACACCGCCTCTACTCCAACCTCGAGGACCTGTCGACCGAGGCCAACGCGAAGTCAACCGATCCCCTACCCTCTCCCATTGCGCTTCGAACACCCTTGGACAAAAGCAAGGCTTCTCGCTCGAGTGTGTATCCAACGGTGTCCACTAGCATCTTTGCGGGATGCTTCTCAGAAAGTTGTCTGCTGTTCGTTCTACTGTTATTGCAGGGGGCGAATGTGTTTAGCTCTCGGTGACTCAATCCACGCGCGCTCCCACATCTTGCTCATACTGCCTCAGAACGCGATTGGTCAACTGGCAACTGTCCCTCTTCGCGTTGCTTCTCTACATTCTCGTCATCATACCCTTTGTGTCCAGCTTCATCCTCGCACCTCGAGTGAAGGCCGCCGCGCCGCGAATCATATTCAGCTCCATCACGGTCTTCGCCACCCTCGCGCTCTTATCTTTCGTGCCGCTCCCCGAGCCCAGCCAGCACGGCGACGATCTCGCGACACGCACATTGTCCCGCCTCGTGGTCCTCGGCATCCTCATCCTCGGGCTGCTTGCAGGATTCGGCGCCGTCAGCAACTCGTGGGCGTACATCCCATCCCGCACCGCCGTAGTGTATGGTGTGCACGCTCGCGCGTCGTCGGTCGCGTACTGATGCCACGCTGCAGATCCACACCGCGCGAACATGATGTCGCGAGTGCGGAGTTCGCGTTATTGAGTGTCCGCGAGGATCTGGAGCGGAAGAGGGAGGAGGCTAGAAGGAAAGCCGATTCTCAGGTGCGTCGCCACGTCTGCGTTCAGGGCACCACATTGACCTCCCAACAAGAACGAGACTTGGATGACGCGTGTCATGCCGAACTTTCGAGGCGACGAACGTCAGCATGCAAATGACTATTCTGCTGGACTCCCGCTTACCTTCTTTGCAGAGGCCCAAGAACTGAAAGGCTTGGAAGCCCTCGAGTATCAGATGAGTCGCAGCTTAGACGATCTGCGTCAGCGGCGAGCTGCAGTGAAATACGCCGGCACCGTTCGTGGCAGGATCATGGATGTCGTCGGCCGCTTCTTCGCGCTGTATTGCCTAGTGCGGTATATCATCGTACGCATCGTATCCTGCGCGCACTTGTGCCAACCTCTCATCATGTTGTGCAGTGCTTCTTCAATATCTTGCTGCCACCGAAGCCCCAGACGGCGTCCAGTCTGCCAGATGTTGTGACGGATACCATTGCAGCGTTCCTTGGCCGTGTTTCAGGCCCAGACTCGCATGTGAATGTGGCCGAGATCGCTTTGATCACGAGGCATCTCAGTCTAGTCCTCGTTGGTGTGATCATCCTCAGCAGCATACAGCTTGTTCTGCGATGGGTTACTCGGGTGAGTGTCCACTGACGTTGCAGCTTGCTACGGCATCTGATGGGACATGCGTTCAGGCTCTCCGGGTCACTAGTAAGAATCTCGCAGCGGCATTGATGCTCCTCTTACTCGCGCAGCTTATGGTGGGCTGGCCCAGACTTTGTAACTGATCATTGCCCTCATCGGTTCTCTCTCAGTCGGTGTACTTGCTGTCCACCATAGTACAGCTGCGGGCATCATTCCCGCCAACACAAACGACCAAAGACGATTCAGTCAACCTCTTCTCGACGATCCCCGATTTTGAGCCATTTGGCAAGTTGTTTGATTCTGCGTTTCTGGTTTCCGCCACCGGATCCTTGGTAGTCCGTTGGGCAGCACAGAGAATGAACGGACCGGGTGTCTAGTCTATGCGCTTTCACACCATGACAGAAACCGAATATTAATATGTATGAGTACTTGGCGAATCCAGAGCAGCAATTCAAGCCCATTTCTGGACATCCTGCTCGCTTGGACCGATAGGATCCGCCGATGCCGCCAGGTTGCACTGATGAAACGCGCGAACTTGGTCTGGGGCAAACGCCCCCACAACCGAGTGCAAGACACCGCGATTGTGGAACAGGACAAAGTCGTTCTCGCGCCTGAGACGAAATGATCCAGCAGACACGTCGGATCGAATGGACGAATGCTTACCAGTCATGAGGGTACACAAGCTGGACGGACGATTAGCCTGGGTGAGCTTAATGGAAGAGTATGACACACCGAAGGAGCGATGGCAGGGCGCTGCATCTTGTACAGCAGACCGCGGACCTCCTTCAAGTCCTTGAGATGAGCGCCATCCGGGTACAGTGCACCTTCGCGAGAGGCCCCGGCGGGGAGCACATCGATCAAAAGCTCGGCAACACCACATGGATGGACTTGGAACGACAATTGGCCGGTGACGGAATTCTTCCAGAGCTGGGCAGCAGTTTCAGCTGTGAGACGAATCCCTTGTCTGCAGTGACACACACCATCGGCAGCACTTTGACCTTACCTTCATCCCAGGCAGGTAGGTCTTTCAGCGACATCTCCAAGCCCTCAGATTCGATCCCCAGTCCGGTCGACATCGCATGCGCCGGGGCCATCCATACATACGGGTGGGGCGAGTACCGCACGCGAGTCCGGACAGCCAGACTCTTGAGCTCAGCAGGGAGGATATCAAACATCGTGCGACCTGACACGAAGGCCGTCGTGCCCAGCGGGACAGCAAGCTCGTCGCCCGTGCCGTCGTCGTAGCGGCATGTCTGAGGCTCGCCGGCAGGGACCGTGAGTCCGTATAGGGTCGTGACCTGGGGCGGCGAGAGGTCGTACAGCGCCGCGTCGATGTGCCATCGGTAGAACCTGGTGACACCGGCCGCCTCATCCTCGTCGCTGACGACCGTTTTGTGGAACGTTTTGTGGTGGGGGTGCTTGAGCTTCGCCTCGTCGAGACCTTCGTGGTCGAACACCGTGCCGTTTCCGATAAGCTGCACTTGCGGCACACGCGGGATGGTCTTGAGATCGGGATGGAGGATGGATTTCTTCGTACCCTCCGTTTTGTTATTCCCGTGTCCGTAGCTCTCCGAGGTGGGATCGAAAGCCTAAGTGGGGGGGCAGAATGAACGTAGCCAAAGCAGAGGGCAACGCGTACCTTGGTCAATGCGTATTGCTCTTCAGGGGTCACAACCGCGTCGCGGAAGAGGAGGACATCATGCTGGAGTGGAATTCACATCGCTTGACCTTCGAATCGAGATTGGATTCGCACCTTATACAGAGCCTCCCTGACGGCTTCAAACTGGTCCGGCGTCAGCCGTCCGGGGTTCACTCCGACGACTTCCCGTCCGAAATCTGCAAGCTTGGATGTATCTGCGCTAGCTGGGGCGGGAAGGGGCAGCAGCTGGAAAGTCATATCGTCGTTCGGGCGAGAGTGTTATTGACACCATATGGGTTAGTGACTCGTTTTGAGGCGGAGAAAAGGAGCAGCAGCATTGCCACTGATCTTCGAAGCTTCATTATCTTATCTGTATCTGTGCACCCTGATTACACTGAGCAGTAAACCGAAGGAAGCATTTCAGGGGGGAAAACCTGAAAATAGGTCCCTCATCCGGTCGTTCTCCTCATTTGAATAACCTCTGCATTCATTATGGATCGTATTTCAATGATCACGATTGTGATAATGTTAGAATAACAATCACGTGCAAGTCCTCCGCTTTCCTGTGACCAAGTCACATCTCTCGGTAAACAACATCCGTGCACGCCGAACAGGCTCGAATTCTTCCGATCACCTCTTCAGTCCCCGTCGCCAGCTACATCACTATCCGGGCCTTACTCGCTTCACCTCTCAGGCCATCGATCGTTAGCACGCCCAATCGATATGATGTGACTGAAAGTCACGGCGACCGGTACAAAATTTTCGCCCAAGGATCCCGCACCTTCTCTCCCTCATCATGCCTTCCGCTGGAACTCTGTACACCACCCCCCAGCAGCCTGTTGCCCGTGCGGTGCGCATCCCCACAAAGCCCGATCCATCATATAACTCTGACATCGGGCATCCTTGCAGCTCCGCGCGATCGCAGCTTTCGGCGGTGTGACCATCGACATTCCGACCGACTACGTGCATTTCGACACCAACAAAAAACCCGAGTTCTTGGCCAAGTTTCCGTTCGGAAAGATCCCCGCGTGGGAGGGCAAAGATGGATTCTGTCTCGCTGAATCAGTGGCCATTGCTCGTTATCGTGAGTGCCTCGTCCCTGCTTTCAACGGAACCAGTCATCGCGAAAGTTTCTACGTCTTCATTCATTGCTATCTTGATGCTCATGTTGAAACCTTGAGACTGCGGCCCGAATGATTGCTTGACTGTTTCCGTAATGTCTACTTGAGCTAATCGCTCGCTTGCAGTGGCCACTCTGGCCCCCAAGTCCGGACTTCTCGGAAAAGACGCCAAGGACGCGGCACTGATCGACCAGTGGGTCCACTTGGCCGAGACCGAGGTCGACGTCAACACCTCACAAATCACCGGCCTCCTCAATGGCTGGGTCACCCCATACAGCAAGCCGGTCCGGACCCTCCGCTCCTTGCTGTCGACTTAGCTCACTCAGAGCTGCACTCACACAGATCCACAACACATTCCTTGAGCGTCAGCTCCGCGGCCTCGAAACCCTGGAGAAGCACATCTCGACGCGCACATTCTTTGTCGGCGAGCGCATCACGGTGGCCGACATCTTCGTCGCGACCACCGTGCAACGTGCCGCCAATATTAACATCGACAATGCTGCTCGCGCCAAGATCCCGAATTTGATTCGACACATGAACACAATCATCTTCCAGCCCAGCTTCGTGGGTATCTTCCCCCCGACTGCGGTCCTCGAGAAGGCGCCCGTGTACGTTGCCCCGAAAAAGGAGAAGGAGGCCAAGCCTGCTCCCCCGCCTGCTGCACCGAAAGCAGAGAAGAAGAAGCCCAAGGTCGAGGACGAGGACGATGATAACGACATTCCGGCCGAGCCAAAAGTCAAGAACCCTCTGGACGACCTGCCCAAGTCGACATTCAACCTCGAAGACTGGAAGCGTGCCTACTCAAATAAGGAGACCCGCGGAACCGGTGGTGCCATCGAGTGGTTCTATGAGAAGCAAGTGATCTTTCCGTTGAGCCTCCGTCGGCGCTGCTGACGTCCGTCGCAGCTTTGACAAGGAGGGTTTCTCCATCTGGCGTGTCGACTTCAAGTACCCCGAGGAGCTCACACAGACGTTCATGTCGTCCAACCAGATCACTGGCTTCTTCAACCGGCTCGAAGCGTCCCGCAAGTACCTCTTCGGATCGATCGGTGTGCTCGGCACAGCGAACAACTCACTCATCTCGGGGACGTTCATCCTGCGTGGCCAGGATGCCACTCCGGTCGTCAACGTCGCGCCCGATTGGGAATCTTATGAGTTCAAGAAGCTCGATCTCGCGAACGCCGACGATAAGGCGTTCTTCGAGGCTGCTCTCGCCTGGGACTTGGAAGTTGCTGGCAAGACTTGGGCTGACGGAAAGAACGTAAGTTCCGCGACTATACATCGCAGGTCGGCGCTGTTCTGACTGTTCCTGCAGTTTAAATGAAGGATGATTCGTGTTAGTTGTTGTAGGAGGAGATAGAATCAAAGTGCATGTATGTACAGTTGCCGGACTTTCACCAATCACCAAGGCCTTGTTTGCTCTGATCAACAAAGCCTTCGACTCGCACTGTGCCGGCCACACAAAGTTTTCGTGCCTCCGTCTCTCGATTTCACCCGCATGTAAGGCACGAGTGTGCCAAGTAGGTTGCGGAGACCAGCACAGATCTTGGTAACATGATATACAATTGATCGATACACGAATTAAACGAGGCTACGGCACATTTGGTGCGAACTTACAAGATTGGAACAGACCGAAATATCATCAGAGTAGAGCATTCAATCTCTCCTGCTGGGCCTGCAAAGCCCTGCGGACTTCCAAGCTGGCTATGAAGGAGATGGGCACGATACCACTGCGAGGCACTCCACCGCGATTGAGCCTATAGACTTCGCCGGTCTTGAGAGCGCCGATCTTGATCGTCTTTCTTTGGACTTCCACCCGCCAGATCTTGAGCCTTCCAGCTTCAGTTTGGGCGTTCTTCGAGCAGTGATCCACGAGGCTCTGCAGGACACGGGCACCCCAGTCGATCTTATATTGGACGGCTTGCATGTCCCGCACGGCGAGATCCTGCGTGCCCCGGATCGTGCCAAGCGAGTCAGGGAACCCGACGAAGATGGTCGATGCGCCAAGCAAGTGCGACTGCATGTCCCACTTGGCCCGATTGGGGAACGTTCTGAGGTCAGCGTTAGGGCCGCGCTGTAACGCGGGTTGTCCGCAGGACGCACGATTTCATCTCATGTCGACGTGTCTTGAGTTCGACGTAGTTCTCGGGACACGGGTTGGCGGCGTATTCGGCTGCATAGATGGGCTGTGAGACTGCGGGTGAGACACAGAGAGCGACGGACCTTTCACGCAATCCACTTCACCGACGAGCAGGACCTTCAGATCGCCCAAAGTCCGCTTGATGGCCACCGTCCACAACGTGTGCATGTCTACTTTGTCTTCATCCTCCTCGTAATCGGGCCGGGTGGTGCAGAATGTTTCGAACTTGTGTCTGAGACGATGAGAATGGCGGAGAAGAGGAGACGAGAAGGCCGCTCACCCCATATATGAGCACTCGGTGTTGGGACTGGGGCCAAGTCAGCCTCAGAAGGTGAGATGGGTCCCTGTCCACTCACTCATATTGTCGAACCGTACTATCTTCCTCCATGTACAGCACCCCGCGGTAATACGAGACATTTAGGTTCAGCGTCTGGCCAGTCATGATTCTGCAATAGACACGACGAGTCAGGGATCCGGGGACCACGAAAAAGCGCGGATGAAGTACTTGGTCAAGATCCCGCGCCACGTAACAACGTCGACGTCCAGCATCTCCTCGCTCTCCCTCGCCTTCAGGCACATCTCGAATACGTTGTCCAGTCTCCGCGCACGCAGGAAGGCGCGATCCTCCCACGGAAGCTTGTTGAACTCGTGCAGCCCCTCGCGCAGATTCCTGTTCAGGACCGCCGGGGTCGGTGCATCGACAATGTAGCGCATCGCAGCCGTGCTGTCGACGTGTACGGTCTCGTCGATGATCGACATACATGCAGCCTGGTGCGCCGGACCAAGACGCGCGGGGAGCGGAATGGAAGGGGCGTCGCTCAGGCAGAGCAGCTGCTTGGTTGTCGCCGGCATAGAGTCGATCGGGGAAAGACTTTGAGGGTTGGCCCATTGGGGGGACGAGGTCTATATGACGGAACTCTATGCCTCGTTGCTGGGCGTCTGGATGGTACATCCGATAAGGAAGACACGTAGTCACAAGAGCGGCTCAAAAGCTGTATCGACATGGGCCTCGCGTAAGTGGCAAGGCAGACACACCCTTACAGCGCCTCCTTAGCTACTTGTGTCTGAGACCAAAGGTCTAGTTTGAAATCCATCTGGGTTGCTGAAAAGCCAAGTTGACGGTCTTGGTCCAGGTGGGACCAAGTGGTGGGCAAGCCAGTCCCTTGACAGCCATCAGTGTCACCTGTCAGATCTCGGCCGAAGCCGCCAATTTATTACCGTTCATCCGCGTTCAATCAGGCCACATCCAAGTAGGACAGCGCTACTACTCAACGGCGTTTACGTGACGACCTGGTGATCATAATTACCTCAGGCTGACAACGTGCTGGACCCATGGTAAGTCAGGAGACTCCCACTGATCGCTGCATACCAATGAGAAGCGTGAGCAAGATGGAGAACCGCAGTAAAGAAGTAGATCCATGTGAATTGCTTGTAGCTATAAAGCTGTTCAACAGCTCTGCGACGCAAGTTGCGTATCTTAACATGGTCGGAGACATTAGAGCAGCCCAACCGGGCTACATGAATTAGCCGCGGGACCCGCTGGGACCCGCTGGAGTCCCGCTGGAGTCCCGCAGGGCAAAACTTGCACCACCGCGGGACCACCGCATGTCCCGCTGGGACTCCCGCCGCTCGATCTGGGACCACTGCTAGACATCGTTGAATACAATTTTGTTGTTGCACATAAACTACCACCAACTCTTTACCATAGTGAAACAGGCTATATGAAAATTAACTGCGCGACCCGCTGGGTCCACTGGGTGAACAACTTAGATGTAACTACCTTTTGATGTATGCACCATACCGTACTCGTCATCGTTGTTGAGGGCGGCGGTCTGTGAAAAAAAAAAGTGAGGTCTGCTGGGCCTCCGCTGGGTTGGCCCAGCGGCGTCCCGCGGTAATTTCCGGTTGCCCCGCTGTTGTGAATGCACACAGGTTGAGGTTTACTTAGAATGAATTTTCCCATTTAAGGAGCGGTCTCCAATACTTTAATCATTCAAAGACGAGTTTTACTAGTTCCTAGCTTTCAGGCTAACCAATAACATAGAACTCTTATTTTTCAATATATTCATTGTCGTCGTTGCGAACGATGAGCAGGATCATGATGTGGCTGTGAAGTTTGATGTGCGATGCGACGAGCACGATGATGATGAGGCGGCTGTGCAGTCGATGTGCTGTGCGGACGATGATGATGAGGTGGCTGTAACGTTGATGTAAGACGACGATGGGGACGGCGGTGTGCAGCGGTGACGTTATAGAGCATCACTGCCGGATTGTGTCGGTGAGCAGAGGATTCCGCGGTGTGCACGCCCGCTGGACCATCGCTGGAGTCCCGCGGGACCTGCTCGACCTCCGCTGGAGTCCCGCACACCGGTTAGGCACTCCCGCTGGAGTCCCGCGGGGTCATTTTCCAGTCCCGCTGGAGTCCCGCTGGGTTTAGTCCCGCTTTAAGTAGATTCCCGCGGGACCCAACTCTTCGACCTCATCGTTCTCAACGATGTCAAGACTATGACTGATGCAACAAATAGGGATAATTATCTACTATATCAGACTCTATGCTACTGTTTACAGAACATCAAACAGTGCCGCCGTCGTTGAGAGCGGGACTTGGATTTTTCAGGGGTCCCGCTGGGCCAGACCTGCGGGGGTCCCGCGGCGAATTCCGTAGGCCCAGCCCAACCTCGGTACATGGACTCATTCTTTCTTTCATGGACCGCATCTCCCACAGCAACTCGATTTAGCCTCCACCCCAGATTCTACCAGTGAAAAAATCTATTTTTTCTTGCCATAGATATGAACAGATCGCGATCGTTGTTGATGAATGTTCGATCCCTAGATCTAATCAACTGTAAGAATATACATAGAACAGGCCCGGCGCCCTTCCTGCTCAGTTAAATATACAGGGCAGTAAAGGTTGATTTCTCATCGTTCATCCTCGTCATCTACTGATTGGATTAAATCTGGACATTCTTCAATTATTCCGGATACAAAATGTGATTCTATTGACTGATTTCTCCACGGAATCTCATCACGACGAAGTCACCGCGCTGCCAAAGACCCCCAAGTCCGCAGTCTCAAACACATTGAGTTAGGACGGCTTCTCCATCTTGATTGGCGGTGGAAATAGCACCCAGAGCCTGAGTGACAATTTGTCTCGAGGCCGGCCTGAACGAATTCAGTTTTTCCACAACACGATGCAGCCTCCAACATGGCCTCACTCTTGTATGACTGCCAAGGCTTGCTGCGCCGCAGCGAGGCCCGCACCAACTTGTGTCCTTGCCGCCGCCGGCGCTGTCTGGTTGCTGAACACGGCCTGGAGGATCTCGTGGATCGCCGTATCCACAGTCCCCAAGCCGGCCTGGGCTATCGCGATCGAGATCGTCGTATCAAGGCTTCTGCTCACATGTAAGTTATTCAGGCTCGGCGCTGAGATCTCAAGAGAATTTACGTAGAATTTATTTGGGAGATGAGAGACTCGGCGTCCGCGGTATCTGTGATGATGCGCAGCCGCGAGAGATTGCAGTCGAGGTTGCCGATCTGACGAGTTTGCAGACCGACCGGGGCTGTATTGGAGTGAGTTGCCGTCGTCGAATAGACGGGAAGCATACCGGTGAGGCCCACAGCGACCATCGTGAGAGCCACGAATATGGATGAGATGTGGACCATGGTGTGGATTCGAAATGAGAAAAAAAGGATCGATTTACGGTTGAAGTTGGAAGGGGAAATGTGTGTTGATCAGAAAAGAATGAGAAAGAAGAGAACACCTGGCCTGGAGAGCTGTATCCAGCTTTCGAGCATTTAAGTGACCCGAGAAGGTAAATATCCGCAGTAAGCTGCGCTGAAACCACACAGTCCGACAAAGTGCGGATTACCAGGAGACGGATTGATGTCAGTGCTGTGCCATTTTCCGTGTGGACATTCAAGCCGATTAGGCAATACTTTCCATTTCCCGGGTCTCGGCGGAGCTGTTTCGTGTAGAAGCGTGGACAAAATATGAAATCTCGTCGACTGCGCACTGCGGTGCTCTGATTGGGGTGGACACAACAGCTGATAAGTAATCACGGAAACATAACAGTCACAGTTATACATTATATACAAATAAACATGCATCCTTCAGCTATACGATTTCAGCCGCAGGTAACAGCGGCGCACATGGCGCCTCTCGCTCGGGCCCCTCTTCCTGAGCGCGTTGTCTTACGACTCTTTCTCCCGGTGCAGGGCCGAGAAAGTGGGACGGAATCTCACTCCTCAGGTCCTTCAACATCCCCCTCAAGATCCCGTCCGCCGCATTCCGGACGGTAACACAGCTGATCGCGCGGTCGCTCAGGATAACCGCGCGCAGCCGCGCGAGCTTCGTCAGCACGTCGCACTCGGCGAACTCGACCAGGACCTCCGCCACGGCCGTGGCCCACGCCTGCGCCCACCACACGGGGCAGTTGCACCGCGGATCCGGCCGAGGAGCGCCCGCGTGCGTGCACCAGGGCGTCGGCAGCGGCGGGACGGTGCTGATGATCCTGCTCCATGCGTGATTGAGCGACCACGCGCCGACGAGGATGCGTTCGCGGTGGATCGGGTGGAGGAGGTCCGCGGGGACGCAGAACGGGACCGCGCGGCTCGTGTAAGGTTCGGTGGCTAGCGCGTCGGCGGCGTCGGCGTCGAGCATCTTCAGCACTGCGTAGTACGTGAAGCCGAGCAGCTTGCGCAGGTTCATCGACTCGCCGACTTCGATCGCCGTCTGGATGCTGCCGAGCTCCTCCAGACGCCGGATCCACGCATCGACGACGAGTCCCTCCAGATTTCCGTTCTTGACGGGGTGCTGGCGGCTGAGTTCGAGGAGCGAGACGTATGTCTCGACGGAGCAGCTGCACAAGACCTCGTCGTCGTCGGCGCATAGGACACGAAGAACGAGTCGATGCATCCGGCGGCAGAAAGAAGCGAGCTTGAGCCGGCGACCAACCGCTGTCGCTTGGATGAGGTCGTGGAATTGACTCCCCAAGGCGAGCAAGCGAAGGTCTGGAATATCGCTTCTGGGATGAAATGAGGAGAATGGGCTGGATGGAGCAGATGTGGACGCACTTGGTATACGCGAACCGAAGATAGGACCGCAGTTCATTGACAGAGACTTCAGCTAGGACTATGGGCTGCTCAGGGGATCCATCGGCCTCCGTGCTAGTTGCGGCCTGAGTGAACAGGTTTTCCTGGAGGGCATCTGGAAGAAGCAAGCTGTGATGGATCTGCAGAGTTTTCACAAGAAGTAAAATCGGGATCTCAGTGTTGAACAACTCACATTAAAGTGCACATCCCCAACACGCAAACAGCAGTCGCCGTCGTCCATCCAGAATCGGGGATCCTTGATCAACCCCGCATGGTTTGGAACCACTGCGATCTTCTTGGTTACGATGGAGCACTCGGATACCGAGGCTCGCGCGGGCATGAAAGTTGGCATCGTTGACAGGACGGTGGCAGAGGGGATCCAACGTCTGTGCTTGTTTTATCCCACCACGTGCCAAGCGTACATGCCTCAGTGGAGCGGACAATGAGCGGATCAGGAAATGGCTTGTGTGCATTGCTGATCCTAACAAAGGCAAGGGTCTGGGGCGATGGTCACAAAGAGGCTACGGAGGACCTTGCAGGACAATTCTGAAACAAAGCGCACTGCGCCATCATGCGAACCTACCGACGTTTGATCCGCTGATGCGGTTCCCATCGGGAAGTCCGTCCTGAGTCTGCGTATCCCCAGTGGTTTCAGTCACTCTGTATGCTATATCGAGTCCAATTTTCTCAATTTCCGTGTAGTATATGACAGTCTGATTTAGGCCAGGTTCTTCTCAGGATGCAGCGCCCCTCAATTCACTGGCTTCTGTCTCGACATGGCATTGTCCATCCGACGTCCTGCACGTCAATCGAATCCGCCTGCTGAGACCGAGGCATGTTCTTGCACCCCAGGCAGAACCGTCTACTCATTCACTGAAAGACAAGGAAATTTAATCGCCGTCACTCTCGATCCAGCCTGGCAGCCAGCACCCACCCGTGAAGCAGCTCCCGTCCGTATTCAAGATACATCCGAGCTGTGACGATCCGCACGCAGCGCAATGCACCGTCTTGCCCGACCCGCAATAGTTCACGCAGCTGTTTTTCGCGCAGCGGCCGGGACATCCAGTGGGCGACTTGCACGAACAGGTGGGAGGCGTGCTCGGATCAGCTTTCGCGGCTTTTTCTAAAGTCGGGGGCGTCAGATCGGGTGTCGCGCGGCAAGTGCTCGCTGGCAGGAGGACCGCAGCGAGGGCGAGAAACGAGATTGGGACGAGTGCAGATGTATGCATGGGGGGAGTGTGCCGTAGTGCAGACGCGCAGAGGACTGGAATCCCGGAGCTAAATCCGTCTGTGTGGATGTCCTTAGTGGCGGGAGAAGTGCGGGTCGGATGAATTCTAGACTCGTTCTCATAGTAATTCGAGAGCTTGAAACAGATGGCGAGAGACTAATGGCTTGGGCCAGCCTCCGCGTCCCTTCAGGTGGAGTGTCGAGGGAGTGTCAAGGAGGTGTCATACACCTGCAGGAAATGGAGAGTGGGATATGTCGAAGTTCCGATTCCTAATGCGGAAGATTCGGCGTTGGAGCGGCAATGACGGAATTTGCTGAAACGGTATATTTCGGCGTTGATCGGTAACATACATTCAAGTGTTAGCAGAAGCTGGAGATTAGATTAGAGCAGCACGTGCCGTTGACTTCTTTCCACCCCGTCCATGTCCGCTGCGACACCGACAATCGACTCAACGCTGTCAGTAGGTTGACCTGATCCTCACTCTTCCCGACACTCCAACCATCTTTCCATTTACAGATCCCTCGCCGAGCGACGCGCCGCCATCAACGCATCTATCGCATGGTACTACTCCCAAATCGCAGACCTGAAGTCCCCACTGAATCCGGTCAACAGGTTGCACGATGAAGTCCTGACGAGGATCTTCCACGAGGTGGCGTTCATGGACGGACAACCCGCGCGCCTCCCTTGGGTCCAGGCGATGCACGTGTGTCGGCGGTGGCATCGGCTCTTGCTCGCCGACCAGATCCTGTGGGGCCACATCCGACTCCAAGTGAGCTCATACAGGCCGCGTCGCGATCGGCTGCGGAACCAGCTACGGCTCTCGGGTGGAGCGCCGTTGTTTCTCCAGGTCGAGTCATTCTACGAGGGGCGGCTGACCTGGGTGCGCGAGTTGCTCCCTGGGCATGCGGGGAGGTTACGGGAACTGGTGCTCAAGGCGCCCCTCTTACCTTCTTTGGAAGTTATCGAGGCGCTCGGGGCGCATGCGCTACCGCTGATGCGCAGGTTGCATGTGGACGCAATGCAATCCGGCGTCGACGAGGATGCCATAAAGGCGATGGTACCCATGACGTTCTTCGATGGGCGAGCGCCGGCGCTCACTGATCTCGATTTGCGCAAAATGGACGTCGACTGGTCGTCTCTCCACGGGCTCACTCGTCTCCACCTGTCCGATCTCACAGACCAACCTTTCTCCGCGCTGCTGTCGGTGCTGGTCGCTTGCCCAGCCATGGTCACTCTCCACCTCGATGTCCATTTCGTGCACGTCGCTGAAGATCTGACCGTCGTCCATCTCCCTCGTCTCGAGTATATATGGCTGCGAGAGCACGCGTCGACTTGCGCGCGAGTCCTGCAAAGCATCACCATTCCGCCCACTGCTCGTCTCCAGCTCCTCTCCGGCGGAATATTAGGCGGAGCTGACTTCCCGGACCTGCTCATGGAGATTCGCCGTCACACTCGCAGCTCTTCCGCGCACCCGCTGCGGACACTGAGCATGCAATCCATGGGGGATCCGCGCCAGTATCTCATGATCACGCTCTACACACAACTAGAGCTCCCCGAGATATTCCAGAACGACCACTGCCAGCTCTCGATCAACTCCCACCCACCCAACGAACTGGCGGCGTGTCAGATCGTCAACCGTCTGTTGAGCGCGGTCCCCGCCGAGAACATTGTACTGCTCGATGCGCGGATGGCCGCGACCATCCAGCCCAGGACGTGGGTCACCGTCCTCGGCCAGCTGCCCAATCTGGAGTCCATCGCGTCCTTTGCCGATGCCGCGGCGGCCCACCTCTGCGGCGCAATCCGGCTGCTCGCCGCGCGCACTATCAGTCGGGTCCCCAGCACTGTGTGCCGCCTGCAGATCACGGTGCGGCGCAACTCGGAGAGGGAGCGGCTGGATGGCGAGATACGCGCGGCCGTCAACGCGCTCAAGGCCATGCTCGCGGAACTGCACGCGCGCGGCCGTCCGCTGCGCGAGCTGCAGATCGACGAGCCGCACGGCGCAGCCTTCCCGCTGTCGCGTGCCGAATGGGAGGAGCTGTGCGGGACGGTGGGGACGTTGATCCGGGACGGTCGACCCTGGGATGCGCTTGCGGAGAAGAGAAAGCTCGCAAGGCTTGTTGCCGAGCGGGAGAAGTTCATGGCAGAGCTGGACCAGGAAATTGCTGCTGGTGACTTTGAAGATGACAGCCCGTGATCGAGAGAGAGCGTTCAAGTGCGAGACGCATTGCAATTGGAACCAAAGGGTCACGCCGAAACGCCTGAGCAATATCTGAGTTCCGCGGTGATGATTGCGTCCTTTCCTTAGAGGAGATTTTGTGAGGATGATATGATGTTATAACAAATGAGAAGTGTGCAGACGGCTCGCGAGTAGCTCTGAGACTGAGAGGCAGATCGCGGTATCTGCCATTCCTCATCCCAACCCTAACCTTTCGAAATCGAAGTAAGTTGGAGCCGGACAAACGCTGCTGACGCACAACTCAATCTTCATCTGTAGTCGCAATCTTCCCTTCGCTGCTGTGAGGTGCTCGGAAACTAGCAATGAAAACACTCGCATCCCTGCCTGAAGAAACCATACGTCTCATTGCGCACATCTTCATCACCAGTGAGCCCCAGCGCGGATGGAAGGTATGGGGCGAAGAACAGAACGCGTATCGCTCGCTCTTCCCGCTTTCCGAGACCTGCAAGCGACTGCGCGAAAATCTCAAGCCGCTCCTGTTCAGAACAATCCACAACTGGAACGTAGATGGGAAGAGGGTATGGCCGAGAGCCATCTGGCCGCATGGGGTGTGCGTGCAATCCACTGCTCGTTGATCTTTTCACGACTGACGAGGATCTCGCAGAGAGGTGAACCTCCGAGACCATGCTGTGCGGGATCTCAGAGTCCTACAACTCACTGACGAGGTCTACGCCGCGCTCTCCTACATGCCTCTCTTGACAACAGTGATTCTACGGTACAATGCGTCGGTGCCCTCGGACGCGCTGCGATGCGTCGGTGCTCTTTCAGGTCTGGCCTCCCTTGAGATACACCAAGCGCGTCTCGACGGACCCATGCCCTCGTCTCTCGACTTCCCGTCGCTGCAGAGGCTGCTCGTGTCCATATCCGGGTTCCGAGGCATCGTGCGAGCGAGCGACATCGACCGCGCAACCGAGCGGGCGCATTGTGGAAAACTGCTGCGCTGTGTTTCAGCCAGATTGTGTTTCCTCCACGTCTCGGGCGACCTGCTGCCCGACGACTTTGACGATATTCGATGGCCACGCCTGCAGACTCTGATCATTTCTGAGCACACCCCCGCCATGTACTTGCTCGTTCCCACGTTTACAGCCCGGATGCCACAGCTTCGGACGCTGGAGCTTCTGTATTCCGCTGACATGGGCCGCACCTCGGACGAGCTTCGCCCGCCGTTTGTGTACGGTGATTCCGCGGGCAACCCGTTGGCTCAGACACTGCCTCTCCTGACCTCCCTTTCCTTGTCAAATCTCGCCGCGGATGATCCCATCTTCTCGCAGCTCCCCCCGTCGCTCACTGCTCTTCATTTTCACGCGAGGAGAGATCCGTACTGCGGCTTGACTCGCGACTTTTGGGATCGGGGGGAGACTGCACTTTCCAATGCAGAGGCAATTTTCGTCATCGAGCGTGTACCACACCTCCAGGATCTCGCGGAGCTCACTATCGTGTTGCGCGAGTACCCGACAGCTGAACTTCTTGAAGTGATTGCGTCTCGTTTTCCGCGATTGACCTTCCTCGAGGCTTCTCATATGAAGTACCGCCTCGGTCGTGAATGGCAATACGATGAGCCGCGGATTGCAGGAGATGTACGTGCATGCACTTGACGTTGCAATGACACTTACCAAGATCCCAGCCTGCTCAGCTTGCGGCGCTGGGTCGTTTGAGCCATCTTCATACCCTCAAGTTGTCACCCGACCTTTTCTGCAACCAGTTCCATGAGAAATTATGTTGCCGGCTCCTCGCCAATTGGATTTTCACTGGCGTTCCGTGGCTCAAAGAGTTGCAACTGACGCAAGTTTACTCTGGTGTTTGGTTGCCCTACCATAACCCCGACCCCGATCGCTGGCACAAGTACCACCGTGAGCGTGTGGTCCGCTCTTCATCCAAAATGCCCCCACCACGTATAATCGATGTTCCGTGAATCCTATGATGACTTCGATTGAGCTGCGCGCGTTCCGTTTTTTACTGGTCCGGCATATTCTGCCGGTTTTATATGGTCTACCATTATCGCATGCATGAATTTTGATACGTTGCTTCCAGTTGCACGCATGGTTCCTAGACCATCTCGATATTGTCCCTCACGAAGTAAGTAGATGAGAGCTGGGTTGTAGAGCCCACAAGAATGTGCTACCTTCTGCTCATGATTTGCTTACACCACAACAGCTCCTGATTTATGTAATTTTCAGGGAATATCTATGCATTGCAAGTTTCTTACTATTCTAGAAGCAACTAAACAGTGCCGGAGTGGGCGCTCCTGGAATGGCTTATTGATCTCGGATGTATACATGTGTGGCTGTCTGATGGAGGATCGCGTGCCTATGCACGTGACCTTACACCATCTGCCCTATTTTTACTAGTGACGCCCTCGCTGCAGTTTCACAGGGATCATGGGGGGCTAGACTTTGGGAGCCTTGTATTTCGATCGCTATCTGCTACCTACCCTAACGGCCGCTTTCTAACGATTAATCGAGTCGAACAGTTTCTCCAAGTTAGTTTGCCAAGTTCCGGTTACAGATTGCAATCGCTTCGAGCATGAATGCATGGAATGTACTACTGTTCCGGGCTGCGCGCGCAACTATCCGGCCCGGCCATACCTCAGAAACGCCGTTTTCTCTGGGTTGAGTGTCATCAAGTCGGGCTTTCCCAAAGCTGATGCACAGGATTTCTCCCTCCATGAGACCGATCGCAGGTCCCCTCGGGGGAACTTGAAGACAAGTTGCAGGTTCATCACGCACGTCTGTCGAGCACTCAGCACGCGGGAAGCGGAGGGAGCAAAGCATTTGTCGAACCAATCCCAAAATGTCAGAGTCAGTCTCGTTGTGCTTTTCCTCAAACACGCCGACGTGGAAATCGCGCATTTCTCCGCCGATCAGTACCTTCGTGACTGTACCGGTTTGCACTATCTCGGGTGAGAACACTGAAGCCGAGTCTATGTCGTCCCCAAGGCCGATCTTGATTTCAATGTCGACAGATCGGATCGTGTCAGGGATGAGCCACAATGGCCAACGGCCTCGTTCGTCACGTATACAATCCTTGCTGATTGCTTCGTATATGGCTTTGACGAACGCTTTCCCGAAATATGAACAGTTGCATCCTGGTAAGGATATTTCAGAAGAGGCGACGAAATGCGCCGAACAGATGGAACCCGCCACTGTCAAAAAGAATCTTCGACTCAAGCGACGGATAGTCGATACCGTTCACCTGGCGCCATGACCCGGAGATCTGCCAGAACGGGCCACCAGGCAGTACTGGGATATCGGAGAACCAACGACCAAGGTGTTCGCCAGGATGGTCCCGAGGACGCCCCAGCATTGGGCGCGGCCCAAAGTATACCGTGCTAGTGAGGAACGCGTTCCAGTTTGAAGTGAACGAGTCTAGACTCGTTCCCATGGCAATTCGAGAGCCTGAAACAGATATTGTGAGCCAAATGGCTTGGGCAAGATCCCGCGTCCCTTCAGGTGGAGTGTCGAGGTAGTGTCAAGGAGGTGTCGTGCAGCTGCAAGAAATGGAGAGCGGGATACTTATGTCGGAATTCCGATTCCTGATGCGGAATATTTGGCGTCGGGGCGGCCACGACGGATTTTCCTGAAATGGCGAATATCGCGTTGGTCTGTAATATATGCACATGTAAGTAAATACCACTAGGTAGTTTGTTGGCAGAGGCTGGAGATTAGATTACATCAGCACGTGCTGTCGACTTCTTCCCACCCGTCCATGTCCGCTGCGACACAAGCAATCAACTCAACGCTGTCAGTAGGTCGAACCGATCCTCCATTTTCCCGACCCTCCAATCATCTTTCCATTTACAGATCCCTCGCCGAGCGACGCGCCGCCATCAACGCATCTATCGCATGGCACTACTCCCAAATCGCAGACCTGAAAGCCCAAGTGAACGATCTGAACCCGGTCAACAAGCTGCACGATGACGTCCTGAGGAGGATCTTCCACGAGGTAGCGTTCATGGACGGAGAACCCGCACGTCTCTCGTGGGCCCAGGCGATGTATGTGTGTCGGCGGTGGCACCGGCTCTTGCTCGTCGACCAAGTCCTATGGGGCCACATCCGCCTCGACGTGAGCTCGTACAGGCCCCGTCGCGATCGATTGAAGAACCAGCTGAGGCTCTCGGGTGGGGCGCCGCTGTTCTTACACGTCCAGTCGTTCTCGGAGGAGCGGCTGGCCTGGGTGAGCGAGCTGCTCTCAGAGCATGCAGGGAGATTGCGGGAACTGGTGCTCAGGGTGCCCCTGTCGAACTCGTTGGAAGTCCTCGGGGCGCTGCGGGCGGATGCGCTGCTGCTGATGCGCAGGTTGCATGTGGACGCATTGAAATCCATCGCCGACGAGGCCACTACGAAGGTGGTGATACCCACAGCGTTTTTCGATGGGCGGGTGCCGGCGCTTACAGATCTCAATTTGCGCAAAATAGATGTCGACTGGTCGTCTCTCCGCGGACTCACTCACCTCCACCTGTCCGATCTCACAGACCAACCTTTCTCCACGCTGTTGTCGGTGCTGGTCGCTTGCCCAGCCATGGTCACTCTCCACCTCGACGTTCGCTTCATTGACGGCGCCGGAGATCAGCCCCTCGTCCATCTCCCGTATCTCGAATCTATGTGGCTGCGCGAGCATGTGTCCACCTGTGCTCGAGTCCTACGGAACATCACCATTCCGGCTACTACTCGTCTCCAGTTTCTCTCCGGTGGAATATCAGGCGGAACTGACGCGTCGGACCTGCTCACTGAGATTCGGCGCCACACTCGCAGCTCGTCCGCTTCCCCACTGCAGACACTGAAGATCCAATCCATGGGGGATCCGCGCGAGTATCTCATGATGACGCTCTACACACAAACCGAGCTCCCCGAACTCTTTGGCAACGAACACAGCCAAATCTCGATCAACTCTCACCCATCTAGCGAATCGGCGGCGCGACAAATCGTCAAACACTTCTTGAAAGCGGTCCCGACCGGAAACATCCTGTCGCTTGATGGGCGGATGGGCCCGTCGATTCAGCCCAAGACGTGGGTCACCATCATCAAAGAGCTTCCCAATCTGCAGTCCATCTCGGTGTTTGCTGATGCCACGACGACGCACCTCTGTGCCGCAATCCGGTTGCTCAGTGCCTCGGGTGGCACCGGCCGGGTCCCCAGCACGTTACGTCGGATCCAGATCTCGATTCAGTGCAACTCGGAGAGGGAACGGCAGAATGCCGAGATACGCGCGGCCGTCGAGTCGCTCAAGGCCATGCTGGCAGAACTATACGCGCGCGGCTGTCCGCTGCGTGAGCTGCAACTCGACCAATTGCGCGGCGTATTCTTCCCGTTATCCCGTGCCGAATGGGAGGAGCTGTGCGGGATGGTGGGGACGTTGATCCGGGACGGTCAACCCTGGGATGCGCTTGCGGAGAAGCGGAAGCTCGCGAGGCTCGTCGCGGAGCGGGAGAAGTTCATGGCAGAACTGGACCGGGAAATTGCTGCTGGGGACTTTGAAGATGACAGCCCGTGATCGAGAGAGAGCGTTCAAGTGCGAGACGCCTTGCAATTGGGATCAAAGGGTAATGAGGGACGCAGAGATCGGTCCACTTTCACACACATTGTAGGCTACCGGAGAGCATTTGACATCGCTGGAAATGGGAAAGACCTACCACGCCGAAATGCCTGAGCAATATCTGAGTTCCACGGTGATGATCGCGTCCTTTCTTTGGAGGAGATTTTGTGCGGATGATATGATGGTATAACATCTGAGAAATGTGCAGACAGCTCGCGAGTAGCTGTGAGAGGCAGATCAAGATATCTCCCAAAGACAATTCCCCATCCTGACCCTAACCTTTCCGAGGCGCGTCAGTTGGTGTCGCTGCTACGCACAACTCGATCTTCACTGTGTGGTCACAATCCTCTCTTCGATGCTGTGAGGTGCTCGGAAGCCATCAATGAAACCAACGTTATCTTACCTGCCGGAAGACATCATATGTCTTATTGCACACATCTTCATCAGCAGTGAGCCCGCGCGCGGATGGAAGGTATGGGGCGAAGAACAGAACGCATATCGCTCGCTGTTTCCGCTTTCCGAGACCTGCAAGCGACTGCGCGAAAACCTCAAGCCGCTCCTGTTCAGAATAATCCACAACTGGAACGTAGATGGGAAGACGGTATGGCCGAGAGCCATCTGGCCGCATGCGGTGTGCGTGCAATCCACTGCTCGTTGATCTTTTCAAGACTGACGGGGATCTCGCAGAGAGGTGAACCTCCGAGACCATGTTGTGCGGGACCTCAGAGTCCTACAACTCACTGGCGAGGTCTACGCCGCGCTCTCCCACATGCCTCTGTTGACGACAGTGATTCTACGGTACAATGCGTCAGTGCCCTCGGACGCGCTGCGATGCGTCGGTGCTCTCTCATGTCTGACCTCCCTTGAGATTCACCAAGCACGTCTCGACGGACCTGTCCCCTCGTCTCTCGACTTCCCGTCGCTGCAGAGGCTGCTCGTGTCCGTATCCGGGTTCCGAGGGATCGTGCGAGCAAGCGACATCGACCGCGTAGCTGAGCGAGCGCACGTTGGGAGCTTGCTGCGCTGTGTTTCAGCCAGATTGTGTTTCCTCCACGTCTCGGGCGACCTGCTGCCCGACGACTTTGACGACATTCGATGGCCACGCCTGCAGACTCTGATCATTTCTGAGCACACCCCCGCCACGTACTTGCCGGTGCCGGCGTTGATAGCCCAGATGCCGCAGCTTCAGAAGCTGGAGCTTCTGTATGCCGCGGACATGGCCCGCACCTCGGACGAGCTCCACCCGCCGTTCATATACGGTGATCCTGTCGACAAGACGTTGACTTCCGCCTTGCCTTTCCTGACCTCCCTTTCGTTGTCGAATCTCGCTGCGGACGACCCCATCTTCTCCCAGCTTCCCTTGTCACTTACTGGTCTTCATGTCCACGCGCGGAGAGATCCATACTACGGCGAACCGCGCGACTTTTGGGATCGAGGCGAGACCGCACTCTCTAATGCTGAGGCCATGGCGATTATCGATCGAGTGTTACACTTTTCAGATCTTGAGGAGCTCACCATCGTGTTGCGCGAATTCCCGACAGCGCGACTGCTCGAAGTCATTGCTACACACTTTCCACAGCTATCCTTTCTGGAGGCTTCTCATGCGACGTACCGGCTCCCCAGGGATGGGCGACACCAAGAACTGTGGGATGCAAAAGATGTGCGTGCATGTACCTGATTTTGCATTGTCACTAAGTGGCATCCCAGCCTGCTAAGCTTGCGGCGTTGGGTCGTTTGAAGCATCTCCGTACTCTCAAGTTGTCACTTGACCTTCTTCGCAATCACTTTGAAGATGAAGTTCGTTACCGTCCCCTCGTCAAATGGATCTTTACTGGGATTCCGTGGCTCAAAGAGTTGCAACTGACGCAAATTTACTACGGTGCTTGGTTACCCTGGCATAACCCCGACACCAATTACTGGCACAAGTATGACCATGAATACGTGGCCCGTTCTTCATTTCGAATGCCACCACCACGTATTATCTCTGTTCCGCGAATCCTGAGATGATCTCGGTCGAGGTGCGCTCGTTCCGTTTCCATTGGTCTGACATGTTTTAACTGGTTCAACAAGGTCTGCCTTGATCGCATGTGTACATTTAGCCACATTCTTAGTCACAAGTATCTATCATAACTCGAGTCGGCATTCTATCATTCATTGTGAACGATGAGGTGGCGTTGATCCGAGACGGTCGACCCTGGGATGCGCTTGCGGAGAAGAGGAAGCTCGGACGGCTCGTCGCGGAGCGGCAGAAGTTGATGGCAGAGCTGGACCGGGAAATTGCTGCTGGGGGCTTTGAAGATGACAGTCCGTGATCGAGAGAGAGAGAGCGTTCGAGTGCGAGGTGCTCTGACATTCCAGTTTCACAGGGATCAGCGGCGGCTAGGCTTTGGGAGCCTTGTATTTCGATCACTGTCTGCTACCTACCCTAACGGCCGCTCCAAGTCAAACAGTTTCTCCAAGTTGGTTCGCCAAGTTGCGGTTACAGATGAAAATCGCTTCGAGCATGAATGCATCTGATGTACTACTGTACCGAGCTGCGCGCGCAACTATCCGGCCCGGCCATACCTCAGAAACGCCGTTTTCTCTGGGTTGAGTGTCATCAAGTCGGGCATTCCCAAAGCTGATGCACAAGATTTCTCCCTCCATGAGACCGATCGCAGGTCCCCTCGGGGGAACTTGAAGACAAGTTGCAGGTTCATCAGACAGGTCTGTCGAGAACTCAGAATACGGGGAGCGGAGGGAGCAAAGCATTTGTCGAACCAATCCCAAAATGTCAGAGTCAGTCTCGTTGTGCTTCTCCTGAAACACGCCGACATGGAAATCGCGCATTTCACCTCCGGTCAGCACCTTCGTGACTGTACCGGTTTGCACTATCTCGGGTGAGAACACTGAAGCCGAGTCTATGTCGTCCCCAAGGCCGATCTTGATTTCAATGTCGACAGATCGGATCGTGTCAGGGATGAGCCACAATGGCCAACGGCCTCGTTCGTCACGTATACAATCCTTGCTGATTGCTTCGTATATGGCCTTGACGAACGCTTTCCCGAAATATGAACAGTTGCATCCTGGTAAGGATATTTCAGCAGAGGCGACGAAATGCGCCGAACAGATGGAACCCGCCACTGTCAAAAAGAATCTTCGACTCAAGCGACGGATAGTCGATACCGTTCACCTGGCGCCGTGACCCGGAGATCTGCCAGAACGGGCCACCAGGCAGTACTGGGATATCGGAGAACCAACGACCAAGGTGTTCGCCAGGATGGCCCCGAGGACGCCCCAGCATTGGCCGCGGCCCAAAGTATACCGTGCTAGTGAGGAAGGCATTTCAGCTCGAATTGAACGAGATATACATTGACGGAATAGACTCGCCCATGCTGTCTAGAGAATATCACGGTCATCACGCAGTCTGACTGCACTATGTCAGCATGTCATCTGGGGACGAGAGAACAGGAAGGCTGACAATGATTCCTTCGAGCTGTTCTAGGAATGACTGACACAGAGAGTGTGTCAACCAAATTCGTCTGGAGAATGAGGCGTACGATAACTCACCGGAAGCCTCGGTTTCTTCGCTGTGGGCGGCACCGCTTTCACGATACTGCAAACGGCATCAGGGATGAGGACGATTTTCGTTTTCGGAAGGAGAACGCACTCGGGTCCCAGTCCAAGGACGCCGGAAGCATGGACGGGATCATTGTGCAAATCGGCTGATATGTCGTAGGAAGATCCAAAGTGCAGCGTTTTCCAATGGCGGAGTGCTTGGGAGGGCGTCAGACTGCGATCGTCGAGGAGATTGCGACAATTCAGGGGAGGGAAAAAGAACTGGTCGCTTATGGCGAGGTATTCTAAATGCAGTTTGAGTGAATTCAAAGCGATCGATCTGAGCAACAAACTCACTAGCCCATCTCTCGTTGTGAAAGTTGACTTCGAGGCCACTCTGCTCGTATTGATACGAAACGTCTGTGCCGTCGTCTGTGTAATCCACAGAGTAATGTACAAGTGGATTCAGCACGGAAAGACCGATCAGTTCTTTCCCGCCTTCGACTTTGCACATCGCATTGTAGAAAAATCTGTACGAAAAAGTCGTCGGTGCAACCCGAGACCGGTCACGAGAGAGCTCCTACGTGGACGATGAGCCTGCATAAATTGATCAGTGCCAGCGACGACAGAGAAGTGCAAACCCTACCTAGGTCAAGCAGAACAGGGATGACAACGGGCGGTCTATTTCTGTTGTCCCGGTTTCCAACGACCTGCCCATGTCGATCAGGTCACATTGCGAATAGGTCGGAAATGCGCAAACAAGATTTGCGGACATGTAGCCGGCTATGTGATGTGCATTCAACCAGTCAGTGAAACAGCCGATGTGAATGGGGAACGATGACACGAACCGTAGAAAATGTCACTTCCGATGGCGCCAAGTGCGGTATGAGTATGCAGCTCTCCATGCGTCGGATATCGCCCCACATCGTCCACCACAGGCTGAGGCGGGGACGATGACGATTGCGATCGGGTGTCTACAGGCCGACGTTGTTCCGATTCTGTTGTCGTTCTCGCCGCCGCCGCTGCCGCCGTCGATACCTTCGCAGCGATCTGTGCAGAGTTCCGGGTCGCCTCCGCTGTGTTCGGGTGACCCGCAGAGGGTGAGGCCAAGGAAGAAGCGGAAGGCGTGTGCGACGCGGGGGAAAAAGTCGGAGCAGGTGGGACAGCCTCCGGCGACATTACGTCTTGAGCCCTGGAACTAACAGGATGGCGTGCATGAGCGATCTCCTCCTAGACGCTACTAGTAAGCCTGTGCTATGTCGAATGAGGCCGATACATGATATTCACACACATATTTCAGCGCGCCTTGGAACAAATCAAAGCTCTGAAACATCAGAGGAACGCACAAAAATCCATCCTCATCGAAAGACAGGTCCATCCGAGTTACGTTACACTGGCGTGCAGCAAAGAGATACTCAGCTTCTTTTATGCAGTTTCCATGCAGCACGGGAATAGCGGACCGGGGATCGATTATGGGGGACTTGCTGAGGTCATAAGGTCAATAGACCACACAAGTTCACACGGGATGAGTCCAGAGCACGACCCATCTCGCAAGAAGAAGATATCTCTCATGATGCCATCACCGAGTTGGATCAAAATTTGATTCTAAGTTGGCAGTGCTAAATGATCCTCATATTATTGATGCCCACGGGGCTGGAAACGCACCAGCGAGCTGGGGATTTGCTCGGTGCAGCCTTTTCAGCTCATTTCCCTCCCGGTATCATCCGGAATATGTAAGTACCATGCCATTAAATACTACAACGACAGATCTGGGTCATACTTGAATGGGAACTCGACAGAAAACAGATGTCCGGGATGAGATGGAATCATCAAGCGCCCTGCACTGTATGAGGGGTTTGGATTTTTCAAAAATGTGTTATCATGGCACTGACTAAACGTATCGGGGGCATGCCACAACCACGTTGAACGCACGGCAAGAGAGCAACCAAAGCTGCGCAGAAGCTTAAGCTTCGGAGAAGCCACGCAGATTGGACCCTCTGTGAAGGAGCTGTGTGTTGTGTTGTACTACAGTTGCTGCTGTACAAGTGAAGGAAAGAGTGAGTCCACATGTGCGATACACCCTTATCGTCTTCGATCCATTCACTCCCAAAGAATGTACACCATCGGGGATGAACCGAGAAGTTGATGCTGAGAGTATACTCGAGTACGTGACTCCGCAGTGATATTCTGCGACGGTGCTTTTAGTGAAAGACTTGGATAGAAATTCGAACACACTCGAGAAGACGCACACATGTTGGCACACTCAGATTCTGATATACTCACTCGACCTGGTGCCCACCAATCACAGAAAGAGACAAAATTTCTTCTTCATCAGTGAAGAGATAACCCTGAAAGTACTGAGGGAGAATCTCACCTGCTGACTAGATTGTTTTTGGATTCAACAAGCCCTCGATTCGGTCTGACTAGCATTTCCATAGTTTGCACGTTGTCGGTCCCAGTCTACTTCCTTGACCGCTTGGTTCGAAGAACTCTTATAATGGGCTGTCTAGCTACTCTCGCGATAGACCAAAGCACGCAAGCATTGCTAAAAACCGACGACATCGAGGACAGGGCGGACGGAAGTCAGAAGATCCGGTTGTGCAAGCACATCAGTGATAATAAGGGTCAACGTCCGGGTGAACGACTGGTATACGATATGCGATGGAAGGAGACGGAAGAGTTGGTGCGCCACCACGTCTAGGTCATATATGATGCAGCACATGGCGTCTGGCTTGCGCCACAGCGGCCGAGCACCATGGTAGAAGTGCGAAAGCTGAAGCTCTCTCAGCGACGGAATCCCAGGAAAGATCTATTCCACAATTGGGCGATCATACACTTCAGTCTCGGCCGGATTCCGAAGGAGATCAAGTAATATTCTGAGAGTCTGAAGTTGCTTCAGACGTGCCAACCACGCAAGCTTAGTAGGCTGGGATCCCAGTTAGTGTCATTGCAACGTCCGGCACATGCACGTACATCTCTTGCATCCCACAGCTCATCGTATTGCCATTCACGTGCGAGCCGATACGTCGTATGAGAAGCCTCGAGGAAGGTCAATCGCGGAAAACGAAAAACACTCACTTCAAGAAGTTCAGCTGTCGGGTACTCGCGCAACACAATGGTGAGCTCCTCAAGATCTGAAAGGTGTAACACTCGATCGATAATCGCCATGGCCTCAGCATTAGAGAGTGCAGTCTCGCCTCGATCCCAAAAGTCGCGCGGTTCGCCGTAGTATGGATCTCTCCGCGCGTGGACATGAAGACCAGTAAGTGACAAGGGAAGCTGGGAGAAGATGGGGTCGTCCGCGGCGAGATTCGACAAGGAAAGGGAGGTCAGGAAAGGCAAGGCGGAAGTCAACGTCTTGTCGACAGGATCACCGTATATGAACGGCGGGTGGAGCTCGTCCGAGGTGCGGGCCATGTCCGCGGCATACAGAAGCTCCAGCTTCTGAAGCTGCGGCATCTGGGCTATCAACGCCGGCACCGGCAAGTACGTGGCGGGGGTGTGCTCAGAAATGATCAGGGTCCGCAGACGTGGCCATCGAATGTCGTCAAAGTCGTCGGGCAGCAGGTCGCCCGAGACGTGGAGGAAACACAATCTGGCTGAAACACAGCGCAGCAAGCTCCCAACGTGCGCTCGCTCAGCTACGCGGTCGATGTCGCTTGCTCGCACGATCCCTCGGAACCCGGATACGGACACGAGCAGCCTCTGCAGCGACGGGAAGTCGAGAGACGAGGGGACAGGTCCGTCGAGACGTGCTTGGTGAATCTCAAGGGAGGTCAGACATGAGAGAGCACCGACGCATCGCAGCGCGTCCGAGGGCACTGACGCATTGTACCGTAGAATCACTGTCGTCAACAGAGGCATGTGGGAGAGCGGGGCGTAGACGTCGTCAGTGAGTTGTAGAAATCTGAGGTCCCGCGCAGCATGGTCTCGGAGGTTCACCTCTCTGCGAGATCCCCGTCAGTCTTGAAAAGATCAACGAGCAGTGGATTGCACGCACACCGCATGCGGCCAGATAGCTCTCGGCCACACCCTCTTCCCATCTACATTCCAGTTGTGGATTGTTCTGAACAGGAGCGGCTTGAGGAATTCGCGCAGTCGCTTGCAGGTCTCGGAAAGTGGAAAGAGCGAGAGATACGCGTTCTGTTCTTCGCCCCATACCTTCCATCCGCGTGCGGGCTCACTGCTGACGAGGATGTGTGCAGTTAGACGTATGATGTTTTCCGGCAGGCAAGATAACGTTGGTTTCATTGCTAGTTTTCGAGCACCTCACAGCAGCGAAGAGAGGATTGTGACTAGACCTCATATTGGTCGTGACGATCAAGTTGTGCGTCAGCAGCGTTTGTGTCCGATTCCCAAAGGTTAGGGTTGGGATGATCTTCATGTGTTTCGACACCCCAGGGACCTCCAATTATGACGTAAAATGGCTTCGAGGCCCCCTCCGGAGGCCATCAAACCACCCCCTACCCCCCCTGATCGGAGGCCATTCTGGAGGCGCCTTCCTAATTGGGACGCTGCCTGGCCATTTGTCCACAGCCTGCATGGTACTCAGGCGTAGGCTGGGGATTGGCCTTGGTACTGATATATGCTTCAGTAGTCATTATTAAGTCTCAGAAACTGTCTTAGCTCCCAGAAGCCTGTATTTACTGCTCGCAAATGGTGGGCCACTGGGCACCCAAAATCTGGGATTTGAGCGCATGAGCATGGCCCAAGTGTATGGGGCAAGGGGATGTGTATTCCTGCGAGATCGAGCATGAAAGACTGGCGTCTGCATACAAGATTGAGATGTTATGCAAGGGAGGGATCACGGCCTCCACGACCTCCCAGGGTCAGAAAGAAAAGGCGTTGGGTAGCCCGCAGGCGCTTGAATTACCTTCAGTAGATCAATTTGACGCTTATAATCTCTAAAAACAACAGTCAAGCACGTAGATCTGATGCCAGCACCGATAGCAGAGATGACCTCCATGGCCTCCACAGCCGGGCACGAAACGCGGTTAGAAAGCGATCATTGGGGATCCAGCCGCACGAGACATGTTTCTAGCATACCAAGTCCTCTTCTGGATGATGAACGTCCTCCCGCTGGGCGGCCCGGCCGGTAGATCTGATGCGGGCACCGATGGCAGTTATGGCCTCCACGGCCTCCACAGCCGGGCACGAAACGCGGTTAGAAAGCGATCATTGGGGATCCAGCCGCACGAGACATATTTCTAGCATACCAAGTCCTCTTCTGGATGATGAACGTCCTCCCGCTGGGCGGCCCGGCCGGTAGATCTGATGCGGGCACCGATGGCAGATATGGCCTCCACGGCCTCCACGGCCGGGCACGAAACGCGGTTAGAAAGCGATCATTGGGGATCCAGCCGCACGAGACATATTTCTAGCATACCAAGTCCTCTTCTGGATGATGAACGTCCTCCCGCTGGGCGGCCCGGCCGGTAGATCTGATGCGGGCACCGATGGCAGTTATGGCCTCCACGGCCTCCACAGCCGGGCACGAAACGCGGTTAGAAAGCGATCATCGTGGATCCAGCCGCACCAAAAAAAATTGAAGACTTGGGACAGATTTTAGCGGGTCGATCTGATGCTAGCACCAAAGCGGTTATCGTGGATTCAGCTGTTCCACTTGGATACTCCTGCAAAACTCCTGAATTGTAAAAATCGTGTTTCAATCCCCATCCCCGTGCCATGCACTTCGCAGTGAGACATCTCGGCATGTGGGTCGGATGTTAGCACCAGACAAAGATCCTGCCTCCACCGCCTCCCCAGCCGGGGACCCAAGCGGTTTTGTTGGATTCCGCTACAAATAAATTGCATTCAACTGCTCTAATTTCTTTTTGAAATAGAAAAGCGGTCATTCCCTTTCATGCAGGTGATATTCACAGTCGTTCCAGTCCAGTAAGACGGGGAGTGACGCTTGGCGACCTCGGGGACCTCCACAACCACCCATCACTAGAACAATCAAGTACTAGTCGGCAGTCCCGACCTCTGCCATTGTTCACATTGTTTTCCAAATAAACAAAAGTCACGTATTCGATTGCAAATGTTGACACTATGATAGATGGTACAAGATATTGGACAGACAAGTGTAATATGACAAGATTTATTTTAGCTGTGGAACACAATAAGCAAGCTGAAGAGGAAAGAGAAACAGATTGAAAAAATCACCGAACCCCCAGCAATGTAGATGACGACTCCAATGACATTCAGTGACCCGTCATCTGAATCACTCCGTCATTCAGCATGGTTTGCAGTGCTTGTGTGACCAACGCTTGAATTTGATCAGCTGACACGTTCATCGATGTCGAACTCGAAGGGACGGCTTCTTGATCAGGCAGAGCAGCCTCTGAGGAACTGGGAGGGGCTGGAGGCGGTGGAGGCGCAGGTGTTGCATCTGCAGCTGGAGCCGCCATGCTTGATGACCGTGTTGCTGCCGCACGCCGAGGTTTTGGGACCGGTCTCGCGGGTGCTGCTGGTGCCGATATTTTGCTGCTACTGGCCTCCTTGGTGCCAGACTCTCCTAGGTATCATTTCAGCCTGCTGCGTAGGGAATGAAATACAGAAACTGACCTTTGTCACTTCCCATACTCTGCTTCTTGGCGGTGTGGCTTTCGGACTGAGCACGCTCTGCTTGCCGTTTTCTCACCGGGGTGGGAGTTTCGGCAAAAGAGACTCCTGGCACGTTCTTGGTTGCGTTCTCGGCTCGAGGTGCATTGGGCGGAGTCGATGTCGGCAGCGAAGCCGGGACGAAAGTGGCCGCTGGCTGCGACGCTTTGCGACGGATTTCCCGTTGCACGGTTTCCTCCTCCGACTCCGGTCCAAAATATTCGGACCCCGATGGAGAGCTGTCGCCGCTCTGCCGGGTTTGCTGCCTGCGCGTTGGCTCCCCCTTCGTCCTCGGCCGCAGAATCATCGCCGCTCCACCCCCCTCCTGGACCTGTTGCGCAGAGAGAAGCGGAATCTCATCGAAATCCGCTGTCGCAACCTTCCGGCCCCTACGAGCTTTTGCAGTCGACTGCGGTGTTGATTGCTTGCCAGCAGCCGTCGTCGCTTTGCGAGAAGTCCTTCGCGATGGCCGACTTTTCACTGTTCCCGAGCTTTCCGCAGCATCCTCCACCGCCTCCACCGCCTCCACCGCCTCCGCAGTCTTCGTCGCTGCTCGAGCTCGTCGCGTTGGTCTTGAGTTCTCCTCCACGTCGCTCTCAACCTCGCTGTCACCTTCAACGTTACTCTCCGCTCTGCCTTTGCCCTTGCCTGAAGCGTTGCGCTTGCGTTTGGAAGGTCCAGTGGACCCTTCCGTCTTGATCTGCGTCCGGACCCGGCGTTGTTGAGGCGAGCTGATTCGAGCGCCCTGGATACGAGCAATGACCTCCGCCTTCTTCGAGCTGATGCCGCTCTTTAGCACCGTCATGTCCCAATACGGGGGAGCCCGCATGAGGTCAAACCTGAAGGCAATGAGCTGGTTGTGCCCATTGAGCCCAAGGGTGAAGTCTCCATTCGAGTGGTATCTCGGGTCACGATCGCTCGAGTCTGGCAGATCCTCGCGATCATAGTTGTGGCAGTAGATTACTGGATCCTCTGAACGAATAGAATTAGTACATGCTATTCAAAACCTGGAGGGATGCGACGTACCTGGGCTCAGCTCAGCTGGAGAGGACATGATTATGAGCCCCCTTGGTGACTTGGAAAGAGTTTCCAGCGCCTTGCACTCGAAAACCCTAAAGTCGCTCAGACCCTTGTCGGCGTTCATCTCCGGAGGCAGTCGGACGTGGTCGGGATAACCGAGGATGATGACGTGCTTCATCAGAAGGACCTCGGACGCGAGACTATTCCAAGCGAAGCCGTTCTTGGTTTCAGCGAAGATGTCGAAGCGAAGACTGCGCTCGCTCCATTCGCGCAGTGCCGTCCGCAGCCGACTAAACAAGCCGTCACCTCGTTTGTTGTCCAGATGCGGTGAGAGTTTCCGAGCAATTTGCCAAAAGGTTTCGGCGGAAGTGTTATTGGCAGCAGGGTTGGGCAGTGACTGCCGCCCACCCAACTTGGAGGTAGAGGAGGCGGCGGAGGCAAGGCTGAAATTGGTGGCCGTGGTGCCGATCTCGATTCCCTCAATCGCCCGGTAGTGCATGTCGAGATTGAAGTGACTGGCCGGTTTTCAGGATTCATGCACAAGAAGGAATGAAAATAGAGCCTTCGGACCTTTGAAATTCAATTCTATTTCACTGTCCCCTCGATTTCTGATAGTTTTTTCTAGGTCTTTCATTCGAAACAAAGTCGATGCACAGAATGGTGTCGCAGGCTAGTAAATACCTTGTATAACTTGCTTCTGACCACATCGTCAAAATGGGTCGTCGAGCTCGGCACCTCACATTGGCCGCAAAGAAGGATTCACAACGCATCTCGGGCCTCAAATATGCTCTGTCCGAGCAGTAAGCCCGTTCTGCTTCAATTTCTTGCTCACCGGACTCCACTTACATTCTCTCAATAGTGGTCAAACGCGGCGGGCAGACCGCAAAGCAAGGTCTAAGCTAGGGGAAAGCCTGGGATCCAATGATCCAACCCCTCCTGCTGCTTCCGGAGACAAGCCCCCCAACGGTCTCATGCTGGCTCTCGCAGAGATCCCACTGCCGACAGAAAACGCGCTATTCCGTCGTGTTGTAGATGAGCCAGACTCAGTCGATGAAAGTGATTTCCCTCGCTGGCTAGCGGAGCCCCCATTTGCTGGAGATGACGCATACTTTGAGCGTCATTCTGCAGAGTACCAAGGCTTTACGAAAGCGCTGGAAACAGCAATGCACGGTGTGCAGTTCCGGATGCGTCAAGCCCACCACAATGATCTCCACTCACGGTTCCTTCGTGCTGGTGATGGAAAGAAAAGAGAGGAACTGTTTGCGGAGGTACGAGCAATGTTGGCCGGGTGGTGGAAGAAATGGGAGGTGCTCTGTGCATTCGAGGCTTCAGGGACATATGACCCTTTACATGATGCAAGACAGCACGCCATGTTGAAGCATCAGCAGCAATGGGTGGCTCGTAACATTGTACACTTCTACGGCTGCAAATTCCTTGCGTAACAGGAACAAGTGCGGATAACCTCCAGGGCCTCCACACCATTATTCATGTACATTCGCTAGTCTGAAAATCAGCGTCCAACAGATTTTGGGAAATAGAAGTCTAATTCTGATTGGTAAGGCCAAAAAGGATACAATTGAAGTTCAAAAACTCGATCAGAGCTACATAGTTGCAGTGCCTCCACGGCCTCCACGGCCTCCATGGCCTCCCTGGATTTGGATGACTCGCTTTTCCGGAGCTAAAAGGGGTAATGTAAGGAAATGTTCGAAGAATAAGGAGCGTATTTCTGGAATATCCCTTTCTGTAAGGCAGGGAGCGTCGAATCCTCTCAAGGTTGCAGCTATTGCGCAGAGGACCCATACGCCACAGTCATGGCTGTTGGTCTGAAGCACCTGATTGTAAATCGGCAAAACGGTCCACTGCGATTCTTTGAGAGGCGTGAATTCTTCGGGATGGTTTTGAGATGCCAATGCTGAAAGGCGGGAGACCATGTTGCCAAGGTCCTGCGGCTCTGAGGTCATTTCAAGCGGAGGAGCGAAAAGGAAAGATACATGCATCTAAATCCCTGCTCCATCCACTGTGGGAACCAAGACTGTCAAAGACACGGATGATGAAGTTTGACATGTCAATGACTGCAAGAACCCAGTGCTCCTGCGACGGCTGGTGGATGGGAACAACCCATAGCCGTTTGCGCCAGTAAATTGTCTGCGCTGTGCTGCGCCAGAGATCTTGATCACTCGCCTGGGTCTGAACCCGAGCCAGATCATAGGTGCTGAAAAGCGCACATTGCAGAACTTGATTTGAGAATGGAGAGTGTGGCTCTGCAAAGATCCCGAACAGAGACTTTGCCAATCCATTTAGAGCAAAGTTATTGAGCCGTCCGGTCTTCTGGAGGACTCGGTCCATATCGTCACACTGAAGATCGGCACTCCGGAGGCCATGGAGGCCAACAACCTTGCGAGTAGCGTTCACTCGGATGAAATGGTGCGACAGATTATGCATCCTTAAATGCGTCGCAAACTGAGAGTCCATACTGAGATTTGCCTGTGTGTGTGACTGAATTGAAGATCAAGTTGCGGGGATAGGAATTACGCACCGGCACTTTCCACACAAAGGCATTCAATCCATCGCTTGATCCCACACTTTCATTGTCTGTGTCAGAGTTATCTTCGACTTCACTAGGTGGAGGGGAATCGCGGTCCTCATCCACAGCAATTTCTGATTCCTCCTGAACGATGGCTGTGGTGTGTCCCACAAGAGGATTGGTCATCAAAGGGCGGGAAGGAAGAGATCCGAAGGACTGAGGCTGATCATCCATAGTGAAATGCGGAGAGTTGTTTTGTCTCGAAGCCGGGATGCAAGCAAAGGGAGACGCAGGGCCAGTGGAGGCGCTGGAGGCAGGCCTAACCGGTGGCATAACCGGTGCAGAAAAGCGGGGTTGCTCAGAGCGTCGGAGACGTCGTTCCCAGGAGATGGAGACAAATTCGAGGTGATTCTTGCGTGTATGACAATCAACAAGAAATAATGTCGAAAAGGGAAGTGAATTCGAAGACTGGAGAATACAACCAAGTAGCTACAGTATTTATACCCAAATCCAGTCTGAGTCATATCTACAACTAATGAGTCATAAGACTATGTACCGCATGGAACGCTGGTCATGGGTCGTAGTAGAACCTTCTGGAGCATATGTCGCGCAGCCTTGAATCGATAGAGATAACCCCTGGAGCCCCTAGCCCGGACCGTCTGATGCCGTGATCCGTGATAAGATAAGTTGTGCCAAGATAAGATCGTTGATGATAAGATGAAAAAGTGGCCGAACTATGACATTACCCCCTCTCTAGGGTCGATGTCCTCATCGACCAGGCCAATGGGTAAGAAGACGTTCTCGTAAGGGTCGAAGAGCTGTCTTTGGGGATATGGGAGGCGCTCGTCCCTGGGTTTATAGCGATGAATAAGATAGTCCCAGTGTCCAGCTTGGAGAGTTGGCAGGAGGCGAACGCGTGTGTCTGGGTTGGATTGTTTCCTCTGCCAATCTCTCAGGACCTTCTTCGCGTGGGTGAGGTGACGTGATGGTTCCCAGGTGTTCTCGCTATGCGGCCATCCCTTCCATTTGACCAGGTACTGTTTTCCTCGGCCGATGTTTCGCTCTTTCACAATTTCTTCGACTTCCCACTCCTCTGCTCCTCCGATCATCTTGGCTACGGGTCTCTTCTCTCGGCGATGGGGGGGTGGTTCGTGATAGGGTGTCAACAGTGATTCGTTGAACACGGGGTGTCTTCGGTCCGTATCCGGCAGATCCAGCTTCCATGCGGCCGCTCCAACCTTCTCCAATATCTTGTATGGTCCCAATCTCTTGTCGCTCATCTTTTTTGATGGTCTGTCCGTCTCGATATTTTCCCCTTCTATGTACACCTTCATCCCAACCTTCAACTCCGGAACTTCTTTTCTTTGTTTATCGTAATATTTTTTCATTTTTTCTTTTGCTTTTTCCAATGCTGCTTTTGCTTCGTCTTGTATTTCTTTGATTCTTTTTACAAATTCCTCCGCCGACTCGTTTCTCGATTCCATCCGCTGCTCTACTCCCTTCCATGGGTGATATCCGTGATTCGCGTAGAATGGTGATATTTTGGTAGACGTGTTCATTTTGTTGTTATACGCGAACTCCGCCATTCCCAGCCACTCCGACCAGTCCGTCTGATGATAGTTGACGTAGATGCGGAGATAGTGCTCGATCTCCTGATTCATACGCTCCGTTTGCCCATCCGTGATCGGGTGATATGCGGTCCCCGGATTCATCTCTACGCCCAACATCCGATTCGTTTCCTTCATGAAGCCCTTGATGTATCGAGAGTCCCTGTCGGTGATGATCTTGCGAGGGATCCCGTGATAACGGAAGACCCGGTCCCTGGTTAACCGTGCTACTCCTTCGCTGCTGATGTCAGTGCTAATCGGTTCGACATGGATCATTTTGGTGAAGGTGTCACACCACACATGGATTGCATCATACCCGTTACTGACCGGTAGGGGTCCGATTTGATCCATGGAGATGATTTCCCATGGTGCGTTTGGGACCGCGTGCGGGTGTAGGGTCCCCGTTCTCGCCCTTCTGGTCTTGGTCCGTTGGCACGCCTCGCATGTCTGGATGTATTTCCGAATTTGATTCCCCATCCTTGGCCACCAGTAGTTCCTTTCCACCATCTCCTGCGTTCGGTTGATTCCTGCATGTCCGACCAAGGGTGTATCGTGGTGTAGCCCAATGATCTTGTCTCGTAGCTCCTCGTCCCTCGGTACATAGAGCTTTCCGTGATACGTGATGAGTCCATCTTCCTTCTTCCATCCCACGAGCGACTTCTCCAAGGCCGCCTTGACGCTTCCATCAGTTGATCGAATGGCCTTGATCTCATCAATCAGCTGCTGATCCTGCCCTTCGAATGTAACTTCCTGTGATCGGAAGAACTCGGGTTTCAGCAATGTAACATCCTTGTTGTTGTTCTTGCCCTGATCGTGATCCGCTCGTCGAGATAAGAGATCTGCCTTGCGGTTGAGCGCGCCGGGCCGGTGTCGTAAGGTGAAATCGAATTCCGCCAACTCCGTGATCCATCGTGCTTGCCGTCGGTTGAGCTTCTGCGGCTTCCGGAAATACTCGAGATTTTGATGATTGGTGAAGATCTCGAATGTTTCCGTGGCTCCCAGGAGTAGCTGCCTCCATTCGTCCAATGATAGCATGATTGCAAGCATTTCCTTGTCGTAGATCTCGTAATTCCGCTCGGTTTCCGTCAATGCATGCGAAATAAATGCGATAGGGCGCCAGATGCCGTCTTGGTTCTGGCTCAAAACAGCTCCTGTTGCCCCTTCCGAAGCATCGGCTTCCAGACGATATTGGCCGGTGTCATTTGGCAGTGCCAGGACCGCATCCTCCGCGATTCTCTTCTTCAACCCCTCGAATGCTGCGCGCTCATCTGTACCCCATGACCATCCTGCCTTCCCTGTCAGTCGTGTCAACGGCTTGGCGACCTCCGCATATCCCCGGACAAAGCGCCGATAGAAGTTGGTGAACCCTAGGAAGGCTTGGACCTGTTTGACGCTCTTTGGTTCCGGCCATTCCATCACACCCTTGATCTTGACTGGGTCCATCCGCATTGAATTGTGTCCAATAATTACACCCAGATACTCGATTTCCGTGCGTTCGAACTCGCACTTTTCGGGTTTCAGGTACAGCTTGTGTTTTTGGAGCAATTCGAGTACTCGTTTTGTGATCCGCCGATGTTCGTCCAAGTTCTCTGTGAAGATCAGTATATCGTCCAGGTAGACTACCACGTGTCCCTCGTTGATCAGTTCTCGTAAGATGTCGTTCATCATGTTTTGGAACGTTGCCGGGGAATTCGTGAGGCCAAAGAACATGACCAAGGGCTCGTATAGTCCGCGGTTTGTACGGAATGCAGCCTTCCATTCGTCGCCTTCTTTGATTCGTACGTTGTTATATCCCCACCGGATGTCTAACTTCGTGAAGAATTTGGCGCCGCATAGATTGTGAACCAGTTCGGAGATCAGCGGCAGCGGGTAACGATTTCGGATTGTCATCTCGTTCAACTTCCGATAATCCTGGACGGGCCGTAGCGAGCCATCCTTCTTCTTGACAAAGAAGAACGCTGATGCCATGGGTGATTTTGATGGTCTGATCCGTCCACTGGTCAGGTTCTCTTGCAAGAACTCGTCGAGTTTGACCTGCTCGTTTCGCGATAAGGGGTACACCTTGCAGTCCACTGCTTTGGAGCCAGGTTTGAGTTCGATCGCGTGATCCCATGCTTGTCGGTCCGGCAGCGAGTCGAACGATTCCTTGGCGAATACTTTGACGAATTCCCGATATTGATCCGGGATCTTCCCCTCGGTCATTCTCTCCTTCTCCTTTTCCGCTTCTTCTGCGAATTTCTGCGCTGGCGTTTCCTTCAGCCGTAGATCCACTTCCTTCCCAAAGTCAACCAATAGGATCGATTCTCCCTCCTCCAGATCCGGTGCATCCGCGTCCAGGTCGATTGCATCCATGTCGATCATTGTTTGGTGCTCCTCGTGACCCCTCATGTGACACCGCTCTGGGCATCGGCTGAATCTCATCGTCTGCTCTTGCCAATCTACCTCCGGGTTGTGTTCCGTCAGCCAATCGAGGCCAATGAAGATCCGGGCCTTCCCTAGACACGTCAGAAGGAACGTGCGTGTCTCTACATGAGGACCGATTCTCATCCTTAAGTCGACATAATGCGTGATCCGACCGCTGATGTTCTCGGTGTTGTCGGCGTTATGAGCCACGATGGGTTGTGGAAGCTCTTGGATATCCAACCTTTCTGCCCGCGCGTAGTCGGTATCAATGCAGCAGGTACTGCAGCCACTATCGAGCAGCGCCTTTACTCCGCGCGTTTTTCCCGAGTCCAGTCCCGTGATCTGGACATACACATCCATTGAATGCCTCTTCCTTTCGGCCTGGTAGCTGCGCAATTCCTGCGCCAATCTGCTGGGTTGGGGGCCCTTCTGTTTCTCGGCCGTCAATTTCCTCTGGACGGCATCTGGCACCCTTGTGCGTTTGGGTGCTTCTGGAACCTTGATTTTGGCAGATTCCTTGGGCGCTTCCTCCTTTTCCAAGGATCGAGCCTCCGGAGCGATGCTCCCCTTTTCGGTCTTTGTTGACGTGGTTCCTTCTCCACGAGCCATAAATACGTAAGAGTCCAAAAATAATTTATCCGCAGCCGCTATCTTCCGATCCTTTTTATCTTGTAAATATTTTCTATTTAAAGCTATTTTTTCTTTACGTTCCTTTTCCATTTCAGCAACAAGAAAATCATGAATATTTGTACGTAGTGAGTCGGGGAGCGTGTATGTATGATGAGGCATATTGTTTGTATCTTTAATTGAAACAAGTACAGAAAAACGTCCATAGTCCGGGCGCTCCACCTCCTTGGCTAGAGGAGTGGAGCGCTTCAAAAACCCTTCTCGCGCAGCTTCTCAGCGATCTCCTTGAGGAACTCGTTGTCCTTGTCCCCGTTCTCGATCTCTTCCAGCATCGTGGCCCGATTGAAGAATGTGCGCTTCTTCCTTGGCTCCGGACAGTTCCGCGCAATGTGCCCGGGCTGTTGACAGTTGTAGCAGATGACATTGCGGCTGCGGGCATGGGTGCGATCGATTTCCATTGGAACCGGTTCGTTGGCAGCGGGTCGGGCCGGAGCAGGTGCAGGTGTCGTTGGAGCAGCCTGAGGGCGGAATTGAGGAGGTGGTCGTTGCGTGGGGTGCCCATACGACGCTTTGCGCAGCTGGTCACGAAGAGCGTTCGCCTCGATGTTGACACACCAGTCCTTGAAGGCGCCATACACCTTGGGCAGGGGAACACCGGTGTTGTAGAGGCGACTGGCGATCTCGCTACTGAGTCCGCGCTCAAGGAACTCGATGAGGATATTGTCTTGATCCCCCTTCTTGTACTCGCCCTTGTCGTTGGTGGCGGTGACCACATTGTACCCCGCATCCGAAGCCAGCATCTCAAAGTCGGAGATATAATCCGCAAAGGATCGTTTGTTCTGGCGGAGGGCCATGAGTCGAGCGGCGGCAACTTGCTCTGCGTTGGAATCCCCGAAGGCCCTCTGAAGCTCCTCCAAGAAGGTTGCCGAGGTGACCCCAGCCTTTATCCCACTAAGGCTCTCGAAGTTGCGCTGTTTCCAGTTCATCGCCCATCTCGAGGCGGCGCAACTTGTGCCAGCCTCGTTGCGGAGGTAGGAGAGGATGAACAGGATTTTTGTTTCATCCTGCGAGAATTCCGACCGATAGGCACCAATGTAGGTAGTGCACGAGTCCACGAAGCCCATATATTTTGTCTTGTCCCCATCGAAATAGGGGGGGTTGGCGGCGAGGGTGATGCGGTGGTGTCCTGACATGGTAGGAGCAGGTGTGGTAGGTGGGGGTGAGGGTGGTTGTTCAGAGGGCAATTCGTCGAGGTCAGGGATCTCGTCTTCAGGCGGCGGGAGGGCGAGGTAGGGATCAAAGGCCTCGGGTTGGTTTTGATGCGCCAGATCGGGCGACGATGGTATGATGGGGGGAGGAGACGGACTCCCAGATGACGATGGGAATCGGTACGAAATGGTGGATTCGTGTGCTGTACAAGCACTCGAGGATGGGTTCTTTTGCTAGCAAAAAGATCCCGGGCCTAGCTCTTCACGTGCCCGATGATCCCGAGGTGCGTTTTCCCGAAGGTCTCCGCAGCACTCCTTGTAGCTACCGTAAGGCTTGGGTCGGGCTCAACGTTACCCGTGGCCTGGTGCTGTTTGCTCGATACGAACCCTTCACTGCGAAGGTGGAGGACGACTAGATGATTCGGTAGAAAGGTGAGTGGATTTATCAAGGGTGTAGAGGATATAGCGGGCGTAGCGGGGAGGGATGTAGAGGTAAGAGGTATGAGGTAGGAGGGTATGAGGGGAGTCTTCGAATTATATGACAATCAACAAGAAATAATGTCGAAAAGGGAAGTGAATTCGAAGACTGGAGAATACAACCAAGTAGCTACAGTATTTATACCCAAATCCAGTCTGAGTCATATCTACAACTAATGAGTCATAAGACTATGTACCGCATGGAACGCTGGTCATGGGTCGTAGTAGAACCTTCTGGAGCATATGTCGCGCAGCCTTGAATCGATAGAGATAACCCCTGGAGCCCCTAGCCCGGACCGTCTGATGCCGTGATCCGTGATAAGATAAGTTGTGCCAAGATAAGATCGTTGATGATAAGATGAAAAAGTGGCCGAACTATGACAGCGTGTAAGCAATGGGACGCTGAGCAAGGTTTCTTGATACCATGTACGTGTCAATCTCATGTGTCCCAATTTTCAACGTGGCTCACCTCCAGGCAAGTCGAGTGCTTTCCGAAGAAGGTTGAGCTCATGAGAAATCCATGATCTCATATTGCTTCGTTCCAGTGCCATGCGTTTCACTTCTTCCCGACAGCGGTCTAGCACCAACATGTTTTGGATTCCGTCGCGAACATTTTCATCTGTGAGCCACTTTGGAGGCCTTTCCAGACGAGTCGAGATCCAGACGTCTTCGTAGAGGCCAGGGTCGCTACGCAGCTCAGCCAGCTTTGTGGAAAGAGGTCGAGGGATTGGTATGGAGCAGTCGGCCGGTCGACATTCCGAAAGTTTGATAACATAGCCATTGAATCGATAAATGAGCTTGAGGAGGGCGGGCTGTCTACGTGAAATGGACTGCTTGATGTTCTGGTATAATCTGTTCCCTGCGCAAGGATTTAGCACGTGATGACGGAGGCAGTGGAGGCGCGGAGGCAGTGGAGGCAATCTTACCCAAAGCCTCCCGTTTGCCGTTCACTGCTTGGTCCAGAGCCTCCCATTCCATAAAAGATGCCACGACCTGACGTCGAATGTGAGGCTTTAATGTACGCATGAGAAGCAAGGTGTGAAGGAACTCGATTGGCAGATGAGCAAGATTCGGGAAATCTTCATTGAGATCAAGTGAGCCGTAAAGCCGGTTGACTTGGGCATCCAGCGTGGAGTGTGTAGCCTGAAGGTCTGAAAGAACCCTTCGAGATTTCTGAGAGTGATTCGAGGCCAGGATCGCCTTTTTTGCATCCAAAATTGCTTCATCTACAGAATCGATCTGCCCTTGGAGAGTGATGACCTTCTCAAGATCTCGTCGGAGTCTATTTGGAGGAGCTAATGAGGGTGAGCTTGATGTATAATCCTCAGTGATTTGTACACACCTGAACGGACGGAGGTTTGCGCATTCTTTTGATCCTCCCAATGTTTGCGCAAGTCTGTCTCGGAAATGGAACCAAGAACCAACGCTGCACGGGCAGCAGAAGCCTTCTTGAATAGATTCACGGTGCTTTGGCGCTCTTGCCAGGCCCCGAGCTCGATTAGACCATCCTCATTCACGAATCCAACATACTGGTCTATCATCCAGATGCGTCTGGAGGCCTGAGGTGTGTCTTGAGGATTTGAGCACACACGAGATGAGGACTTACCCCCATATTCTTGGTTATTGGAATCAATTTGCGTGTGCGTGACCAAATCCGTTCCACGCCTTCTGCATCAGTGATGCCCATGCCGACATTCATTCGTGGACTGTACCGGACTTGACAGGACCATTGATGACGAAATGAGTGCATGGCATTGATCACAAACTCCACTCGTGGCTGCAAATCCGCCGAGAGCAGTGGATACTAAAAATTGGCTCCAATGAGAAATAGAAAGAGGCGGTGGAGGCACCGGAGGCACCGGAGGCAGAGGGACTTACAAGCTGACAACTTCGGTCCAGAACGCATCCAATATCATATGCTTGTTTTATAGTGGCTTGAGGGGGAGAAGAGATGCTACCCGCTCGATGAGAGCAATAATGTAATGCTGTTGCTCGCCTGGTGTGTAGATATCGCACATTGCAATTACTTGTGAATGTCGGCAGGCCAGGACAAAGACGCCACTAGAGTCGAAGTTCCGGGAGGTTGTGCTCGAGTCCCTCTCCTTTGCAGCTTTGAACGACTGTTCACATGCGTCCAGGACCTCAGGTGGCACAGCAGGGACTACATTGCGCTTCGGTGGCTGCTTGCGAGCTGCGGCAATACGCAGCTGGACCTGCCTCACAGTCGCCTCGGGGACAAAGAACTTCGGCGTGAAGAAGATTGGGCTATCACCAGCAGCACAGAGGTGACGATAGCCCATGCAGCCATCGCCTCCAAGCTGCACATCACCGCCCCTGCATGATTTGTCAGTTACTGTTGCGGCGCAAAAAAGCAGGTTATATCACTCTTCAAGTTTTCTTCCCCACAGTTCACACCCGAAGCAGGCTGGACACGCCTCACGTAGTGACCGACTAGCACGTCCTGGGAAAAGTCCTGAAACTGTTTGCGGTTTCGAGGGGGGGGCGCGGTCAGATCCAGCTTCTAAAAGCGGACTGTCTGGGACAGGATTGACTGTGACTGCCTCCACCGCCTCCAGATGGGCGTGGGCCCTTGTGCCAATTTCATCCGACAGATTGCTATACCACTGGACGGCTTGAGTTATTCCCGATCGGAAAGGGTCAATCGCGCGCTCTTTTTTGTTCTAGAAGAGTGAGTTGTCAGGTCTGTCAGTTATGGAAAGACTTACTCTTGAAGAGAGAGCTTCGAATCCACGACGAGAGTAAATATCTCGGAGAGCAGCGGCGAAAGCTGTAATAGCATCACAGGATCGCTCGAACAATGCTCGATAGGCCTCGAGCATGTTGATACATATTGCAACTTGAGGACGTGATGGTGAGGTAGGGAAGAGGCCATGACGGACAAGAAGTTGAGGAATTGGGAGACACAGGCATGTCTGAACGACAATATTTTCAAAATCTGTTTGCATTAGAAGGCTTTAAAACTGGAAGACATTGCAAACAAACTAACGATAGAAAAACAGGCAACGTATTCGCGTTTGTGTTTTTTTGATGCAGCCAGCGTTACATTCATAAGATAGCTGGTCGCCGATGGGACAGGGTGGTCGTCCCAATGAATCTCGGCGGAAGGTGAGTAATGGGTCAACCAGTGAGGGAAGCAGCAGCTTCCAGGATTGGGCAAAGAGGAGATCTGAATCTCGTCGTGGTTCAGCATGAACGTCCTCGACAAAAGTACATGATAGCCCGTTTGATGCTGCTGGAGTACAGTCAGAGCCCAATAGTCCTGCCTCCACGGCCTCCAAGGTAACAGATGTGGACTCGCCTTGAGGCAACAGCCGAGACTGTGGCTCATTTGACAAGTAATGTTCAGATTCAAGGTTCATTGGCTCCAAAGGGGGGTCGGATTGATCCAAACCGGAAGAACTACCAGGAATTGGTGAGAGGACATCTGGATCGGCATCGTGATGGCATGTGGCGAGGCTAAAGCGGCCAAGAGGAACTGATAAGATTTGCCAACGTGGATCACCCGGTTTCACGGGACTAGTAGAGTGTGCGCCAATCCCTCGGTTGCCCGACTTTGCCTTTCGGCTGATGGATTTTTTGATTGGTTTGCGGAGACTGCCGATGGAAACCGGGGCCATGGACCTCTTGGCGGTGACCTAGCCTATGCCGTCGGGACTGAGTCTGCAAGATGTGTAGTCCGCAGAGGGGAAGAGCGTCAAGGGCAAGAGTAAAAACAATGACTGGAGTGTACATAATAGACAGGCCAAGTCCGGAGGCGGGCTGGCCAGACGTTTCAGCAGGGCATTGACGATGTTCCATGGTGTGCGAGCCACTGAATGCGAGGGGAAAACTCTGTCCCAAGTCTTCAATTTTTTTTGGTGTTCTAACCGCGTTTCGTGCCCGGCTGTGGAGGCCGTGGAGGCCATAACTGCCATCGGTGCCTGCATCAGATCTGCCAGCTAGGCCGCCCAGCGGGAGGACGTTCATCATCCAGAAGAGGACTTGGTATGCTAGAGACATGTCTCGTGCGGCTGGATCCCCAATGATCGCTTTCTAACCGCGTTTCGTCCCCGGCTGTGGAGGCCGTGGAGGCCATATCTGCCATCGGTGCCCGCATCAGATCTACCAGCTGGGCCGCCCAGCGGGAGGACTTTCATCATCCAGAAGAGGACTTGGTATGCTAGAGACATGTCTCGTGCGGCTGGATCCCCAATGATCGCTTTCTAACCGCGTTTCGTGCCCGGCTGTGGAGGCCATGGAGGTCATCTCTGCTATCGGTGCTGGCATCAGATCTACGTGCTTGACTGTTGTTTTTAGAGAGTATAAGCGTCAAATTGATCTACTGAAGGTAATTCAAGCGCCTGTGGGCTACCCAACGCCTTTTCTTTCTGACCCTGGGAGGTCGTGGAGGCCGTGATCCCTCCCTTGCATAACATCTCAATCTTGTATGCAGACGCCAGTCTTTCATGCTCGATCTCGCAGGAATACACATCCCCTTGCCTCATACACTTGGGCCATGCTAATGCGCTCAAATCCCAGATTTTGGGTGCCCAGTGGCCCACCATTTGCGAGCAGTAAATACAGGCTTCTGGGAGCTAAGACAGTTTCTGAGACTTAATAATGACTACTGAAGCATATATCAGTACCAAGGCCGATCCCCAGCCTACGCCTGAGTACCATGCAGGCTGTGGACAAATGGCCAGGCAGCGTCCCAATTAGGAAGGCGCCTCCAGAATGGCCTCCGATCAGGGGGGGTAGGGGGTGGTTTGATGGCCTCCGGAGGGGGCCTCGAAGCCATTTTACGTCATAATTGGAGGTCCCTGGGGTGTGTTTCGACGGCATTCATGGCAGATACCCTATCTAGCCCTCTTGCCCACTCGTAAGCCGTCCGTGCCCTTCTCACACTTCAAATTTTTACATCACGCTGTCTTCCACCCGAATCCTTACTGTGAAGATACAAAATTGAGAAATCGACTCACATCCAACTCGACTTTAGATCTTTCAAGAAAGCGACTCGTTATGAAGAAAAGACACACGTTGACTGTATGCGGAAGACGGGAAAACCTTGCCGACCAGCAATCGCCGGCGTTGGGAAGCACCTCAGCGCTTCCAACGCCAAATCCAATATGGGTTGAGTGTTATGGGTGACCATATAGAACGGAATGATGGGCCGCGTGGCACATGGGAATTGATTCCGCGCAGGCTGTTCGTCGATTGCTGAGGGCCGCCAGCATATAGCCTACCCATCAACTTGATAAGCCGTTCTTCAACGCTGACGATTGAATTCAGACATAAAGTGATCGCCGGACGCGCGTCGCGCCTGAAGCATTTGAAATGCCATGATCAAAGTTGGCCTGTCACAGACTTGAAGACCGCGCGAGTATGAGCAGTAGAGGGATCAGATCATATCGCAGACTGCACGATCGTAGATGTGATCATGACCCAACGCGCCTTGTGGTCGAATGCCTCGCGTGCGTTGGCTAACTGTCATACCCCGAGTCGGCGTTCTAACATTCAATGTGAACGATAAGATCTCAGTGCGTTGTCCTTCCATGTGTAATACAGAGACTCTCCGGAATAAAGTTGAACAAGATCGAATTTTCTCCCTTTAGCCAGACCGAGCTTCTCGGAGCCGAAGTAGTCCAGAGATAGAGTTGCAACACCGAAAAAGTGAGAGTTTGACGCATTCTCAGCCAGTTTGGAACATTTCGAGGACGATCTTCTTGTCTAAACCACGGATACATTGCTTGGCTTTTTTCATCCCCTGCGCGTTAAGCCCTTCATGCGTCCCGACTACAGATAAGCCCTCAATTTAATTTGAAACAGCTCTAAAGAGCGAGAAAAGGGATCAAACGGGCTAAGCCGGCAGAGGAGCACTATACGCACTGTCCATGGGCATCGTTCCATCCTTCCACACGATTGGCGCTGATTACAGCGAACCCCGACGGCTCCAAACTCTGATGTTCCCCGATCCAAGATCCCATGTTTCTGACATTCAATTCCGGCCCAAGCGATACGTTGATGATCTTTTGCATCCCGCAAGATATATCAAATCTCTTCCGTTCCACTGGCTTGGATTTCTCGTACGCACGCCGCCACCCTACATGACGTTAAGTCATCTGATTTCGATTCTTATCGGATACTTGATGTGTATTCCCGAGTTCTTTACCTGGTAATCACGGGCCAAGCGCCCCCCAGAAGGTGTCCAGAAGCTCGCGGAGCCAAGCCAAGCGGAGCAGCCAGAGAAAACCTATTATCGATCTGGAGCCCGGCTACATGGCGCGCACCCGGTTCAGGCCAGGCCATTTGCCGACTTAGTCGGCGCTTTCTAGTCAGATGACGACCTTCCAATTCAACTTCCGCACTGTCGTCCCAATCCCAAGAGAAACTATTAATATAAAGAACAATACGGTACGGTAATTACACACAGTCAATCCTGCATCGCGGATATATGCAACGGGATCTGAAATATGTCCATCTCGAGAAAACTGTTCAACGACGCCGAGATCCCCAGCTCTGAAAACACTGTACCAGCCGCGGCGGCCGTGGTTTCTGGGTGCCCAACGATCTCTGTCAGTTGCGGCGCACTCTGCAAACCTGCTTCAACTTGGTCGAGCAGGGCGCAATTCTCGGGGTCATCGTCCACGTAGGTGATCGCTCTCAACTGGATCCTCAACCTGCGAAAACGAAAGCAGATAAATACGTGACAGAAACTCGGAATCGTGACGGCGATTGACTCACTGCTTGAGAAGTTCCGGATAGCCCTCCATCTCGCGAACACAGAAAGCGGCCCATCGTTTGACGCAGGACTTGAAGATATAATCCCCACCCGCCATCCAGGGATATATCTTCAACATCTTCTCTACATCGGGCAGCGCTTTGACAATCAGATCCCGGACCTGGTCGCGCAACACATCGACCCGCCGCTGCGTCCACTCTTCTTGGTTCACGGACCGGAATCCGACCAGTTCGATGTAGAGTTCCATAATCAGATGTACATAGGCGAGATGCATCGCACATGCACACGACCTCACTGCCCAATCTCGTTGAAATTGTGCGTTCTGCAAGGCAGACTCGCCAGGCGCGACGGAATGATCATGAGATGAGAAATCCGCGTCGTTGAACAGGACACTCGTCATGGCCCTTAATTCCCGCAGAGATTCAAGGAAAGTGATGAAGAATGGCTCGTCCAGTGGGGTTCGATGGGCGACCTCTGTAAAACAACAAGTGAGACCGATGCATAGAAAGATTGAAGTACGGACCGCCAGTGATTTTGTTCTGCAATTCTCGCGCGAAAGCAGTAATATTCGAGAACACTTCAAGTGTTTAATAATAGATTGCAACGGTGAGAAAGCGCTTACTCGGCAGAGCCACTTTAAGGATAGCATAAGATTTAGGTTGGTGGGGGTGGGAATTATGGTACAAGCTTATTGTATCCATGAGAGCGTCCAGCGACGGGGGAGGCTTTCCGCAGAGAAGAATCTGGTCCTCGTATGATCTGCTAATGCTCGGGACATTATCGGCCGCCAGTTTTTCAGCACTCACGCTATGATTGGTGTTCGCTTGAGACAAGCAATGAAGGTTTCTCGCATCTGGAAAGATTCGATGAACTCAAAAGAACAATATCAAGTCTGATTTCTCACCAAAAATCCTCCCCATCGTGAGGGTTCGATTGGTGGGGGAACGGTGAGGGACATGGAGATACAGCGGATATGAGACATGTACGAAGTCGCCCAAGGCCTCGTCGTAGGCTTTTCGTCCACTAGGAAGGCTTGAGTTCGAAATAATCGCTCGTTCAAGCACTAGAAGTCTCACAGTCGTCCAAACACGCCAGCACAAAGCACGATGCTGCGTTGAGCTCCGACGCATGCAGGTGGATTTTAGCCGCACACGCCCAATCCACGGCTTTCTCGAATAAGGCCTTGCGTATCGGCGCCCGCCGTCGGCCATAAGCGCGTAGGTCCGCGCCAGGGTAGAATACAGATTCGTCGAGGAGGGATGTCGGGCAGATCCCGGGACCCAGGATTGATGGGTGGACGGAGGAAACTGCGCCTGCTGCGCAAATGCAATATGCCAGAACGCGCGGCTCGATCGGAAGAAGCTCCGGTCTCCAAGACGCGGAACCAAGGGTGGATGCGAAATTAAGGCTATGGAAGAACGGGTGCCGATACGTCATCGAGTGGGTGAAGACTGCGAGTGTGGTCAGTACTGCGGACAGCCTGCGGGCGAGATGAAACGCGACGGACATTCCCATAGATGTTTGACCAGTTCGGGTGACAGGTCTGGCGAGGGTAATAGGGATGACGGATGGAGGGGGGACGATAGGATCAGGCCGGCGTTCGTATCGAACGCTGCGCTTCGGTACGCGACGACGTCTTCGGGGGGAGACGCACTCGCGGACATACTGCTCCCATTCCCACTCCCTGTGATTGCCGAGTCGTGATCGCTAGACGTGCATGCACTTCCGTTCTTGCGTGGGCGGCCGCGGGGCACATAGGTCGTCTTGCATCTGCAGTAACAAAGCTATGAGTCCCATCGAATCCATCGAGACTCGCCGCAAATAGACCACGCAACACGAGGCGGGAACATGGAATGGAGAAGAAAGCACTCACATTTCCCCTTTCTCTACGCAGCGTGGACATGGCATGCCATTTGGTTGGGGGTGGCAGAGCACGCGGCGCGCCTTGCACGCGTCGCACGCGGGTGGTTTCTTCTTCTTCTCGAATGTAAAGTGCATGCCTGCAGCAGCAGCAGCAGGGGTGTTGGTCTGGTGTGGTATGGGGAAGGAATGGTAGAGGAAGAGAGTGACGAAGTAAGCCAGTGTCATTCGCCAATGTGATTGGGATATGCATCGCCACAGTCATATCCGGAGAAGTGATCGACGGGTCGATCGCAGGGACAATCGTCGCGTGATCCCGCCCCGGATTACACCGTCCATGTCAGCAAGCCCAGTCAGCTCGACAGAGGCCTGGACGTTTTGCGATAGATGGAATTTAGTGGATATGTACCAGGGTAAGGATCAGCATGAGAGAGTCTCATCCTTCGTAAGAAAAAAACTTGCGGCATCTATTGGACTTCCGAGTGACTAAGCGAGATCGGGCTTCCGGCGGATTTACCTCTCTTGTGCCGTTTCCCCACCCTAAGCAAGACCCTAAATCTTGCCCTCAATTCCGCACATCCGATGTCCGGCATTCTGTTTCGTTTCCACAACTGAGCAAGTTGTCTCTCAATGTGCACACCCATGATAGCTATAATACGGTACTTTACCGACCGACGGAGCAGCGCATAAGCGACCTCGTGGCGCTGACAGAAAACCTCACGACAACTCCTCTGGGCACACGAGGACCCACGGTCGCTCAGACGATGCATCCTGATAGTCGTCACCAATGTGCATTGCGCTGACATCCATGCTGTACTGCACTAGTGGGGGTCGAGAATCGTCCAGTCATGTTTCAGATTCATCTGCCAGTTGATACATATCCTGCTGCTTCTCGCTACTCCTTCTCAGCCTAAGAAGTCAGTCTCTCCCTTCTTGATGAATGCGTCCAATCCTTCCGCAATCGGCGTCTCCCCGCCGACAATATCGATCCCCAGTCCAGCTGCACCCTCACGGTCAACGAGGGACGCCAGAGCCAGCGCAACATCCTCCCGCTGTAAGCAAGTGGGATATCGTCGTCATCAGTCTCGGTAGCATTGTGCAGACCCGACGTACCGAGATCAGAGGCATCATGTGTGTTCTGCCGATAGTGGCCTTCCCAGTTCCAGGCTCGTTCGTGAGGCCCGTGGGCCGCAGGATCGTCCACTTGAAAGCGGTGCGCTGTGCCAGGTTCTTGTCTGCATCGTATTTGCACTGCATGTACGTCCCGATCGCTGCGCGTGTGCGCGTGGAGATGGCGATATCGTCCTCGTTCTGTCAGTAGCATATATCGATCAGTGAGAGGTCTCAAGAAGCTTTGAGGGAGGGAGAATGAGACGACGCACGTAGTGTGCAGGCACGACAGCCGGATTTCGCACATCGATAGCGGAGAGGAGGACCAGGCGTGGGCGGCGCGGCGCCTCCACGCCCTCAATCGCATCGAACACCTTGATCGCCCCGTCGCAGTCGACCGCCCGCGTGCGCAATGGGCCGCCCTTTCCCCCCGCGCCGGCGGTGAAGTACACGACGTCTGTGCCGTCGAACGCCGTCGACAGCTCGCTGACGGGCGCATCCTCGAGCGAGAGCAGCAGCGGCGTGGCTTGCGCAGCGCGGACGTCGTCTGCGTGTGCAGGGTTGCGAATGAGCGAGGTGACAGAGTGCGCGGCGGAGCTGAGGATGCGGGCAAGTCGCAGACCAGTCTGTGCTGCGTATCAGGGGGATCATGAGGAGATGCAGATGTAAAGGCTCTACGTACATTGCCGTGGCCGCCAATGATGATCACTTTCTTGCTAACGGTGGACATTATCTTGGACGTGTGATGGTGGTTCGTGTCAAGTGGAGTGGTGATGCGGTATCATTTGAGGGTGCACTTTTGTACTCTCTTCAAGGCCTGCCCGTTGAAGCCCGCACAATTAAAAAGGTATGACGAGTAGCTTACGACGAGTCTTTAAAGGACAGGACTAGCTCCGACCACCGAGGTGGAATTTACATTCTCGTCGTCATTTTCAATCACGTGACCGCGTCCTCGCGCCTGATGAAGTGTCGGTGTTACTCGCTATTTCGAATCCCCAGTACAGGCAATTTTTGACGAGGTTAGTTTCAATATCTATCTTTAATCCTTGCTAGCTACGTTCGCTTGTTTTTTTCGCCGAGAAACAAATGTTCATGGTAAAATATGCTTTCAAGTTTTCATTGCGCCAGTAAGCCGCTCCATACGTTATTATTTACGACATTATGAGTCGCTACTTATTGAAAGTGCTTCTGGAGCTATCCTAGACCCTTTTCCTGCCATGACATCCAAGTTGGTGGAGGTAATCATCACGGTTGATCATTGTCGTAGTCACCGGCCCAGCAGCTTTTTTTGCCATTAATTATCGTCTTCATTCAAGCTGATCCAGCCAAAAACACCGTCACCATTTTTCCGTATCCTCCTGCCTCTCTAGATCGTTCGCGAGTCAAAACTGATCACAGGTAATCTCTATTGATGTGTTCTTGATGTCCTCTACGTATATGATCAAGAGACCGTTCAAGTGAGGGGGAGACTGCGAGAAAGTCGTCCTTCTTGACTCCTTGAGTCAATAATCAGGCTCCCGGATGCATCGACGCGTTAGCGGGAAGGTCTAGTGCGGCCGGCAAGACAAGATCACCCCTGTCCCCTATCGCAAGCGGTGCCACTGTGGTTGTGATTCTTGTGAAAACATTCCGTCTTCGTCCAAGAGCAATCTGGATTCCCTTCCTCTTCCGCTGAAACAAATCAAGACAACTTGAGAGCGCTTAGAGGGCAGTCAGAGCCCCCAACTTCGAACCAACCCGTTTCGGGGACATGATGCACGCACTGCCTGACTTGACGTGGACAGGGAACCCGGCAACCGATCTCGATATGTTGCTGGAAACCTGACGGGCCGTGATGACGCAGGCTGGATTGTGTGTGGGATGAGCTATCCTTGGTTATTCGTTATTCGTAAGAAACGAGCTGAGTGACGCGGTTACTCGACAGGGCAGAGCTGCGGCATCACCCCGGGCCGGGACTGACTAACGTGCTATGACACCCCAGCGTTGTCAGTGCACTAGACTGGGGCCGAGGCTTTTGTCATCCAGCAGCGCAAAACGGAGGGCCAAACGCCAGAAGATGATTCATAAAGATCTCCGGGGATTGTTTCTCCATGGATGATACGGTATCATGAGTAGTGGCAGTAGAAATACACATTCACATTCAATATCGATACAGACGCTGGCCCATTCCGTCCCGAACGATCCTGGCATTGAGCCAGCGATAGTACGCCGCCAACGGGATGCACCCAACGGCGACAAATAACAGTAATGCAGCATTGACCCAGTGGCCCGTCGGGTACCCGCGTTTAGCCTCGTTGGCCTTGTAGATCCACACGCCAACGATCTGCCCGAGGGCGCCGACGGAGATATTCATCGCGATCGCGAGGCCGACTGCACCGGTGTCGAAGACGTTAGAGGAGAGCCATCCCAGGAGAGGAGGGATGCATCCGAAGGAACCACTCGTTGCGACGATCAGGCAGCCGTAGCGGTGCTGCGGTGTCGATCAGTCAGTGGAATACCAGGTTTCCAGGAGGGAACATGCTGCTGACCAAATACGCGTCCGCGGGGAGCAGCGCAGATGCCATGAAACCAGCTGCGCCAATCAGTGCAAGCACGGAGGAGTGCAGAGCTCGGCTGTGGAAACAATCGGCTGCGTTCGGGTATGCTCAATGAGGCGACTGACGAGTCGAAATGGTCACCAGACCAGGCAGCGAGGATCGTCACCACATAAGCGACTGCGTATGGCGGGACTGTCATCAAATTTGCTCGCAGAGACGTATAGCCCAGACCCGCAGTGATCGATGGCGTGAACAACGACAAGCTCGAGAACGGGGTCGAGATACCAAAATAGATCTGGAGCCAGTTCAGCCGCGCATCCAAAAGATAGCTTCCCGTTCTTACCGCATAATGCGCATACAGCCGCCAGTCGGACATCGTCGCCTTGACGTCTGTCCATGACAGCGGTCTGCTGCTCCCCTGCGACGCATCGTCTTTCAGGCGCTCCTTCGCAAGCTGCTTCTCCGTCTCGGACAGCCAGCTGGCAGTTTCTGGGTAATCAGGCAGGATGAAGAACACCAGAATAGACGACAGGCAGGAAGGGATGCCCTCTGCGGAGACAGACAGACAAACAGAATGGTGAGCGACTGGGATGTCGTGCATGTAGCGGCTCGACGCACCGAGAATAAAGAGCCATCGCCATGCCGATAACCCTGCGGTCTGGTTCATGTGCCCGATAGCGAACGCCAGCGCGCCTCCGAAAGCGCCAGCGAGCGTCGCCGAGGCGAGGATGACTGCGACCCGGATCGACCGCTCGTCCGTCCGGTACCAGAACGTCAGGTAGTACACCAGCCCTGGAAACACGCCTGGAGCACATCACAGGCGACGTCAGAGTGTCGATCAAGTCACTGAGCCATAGGGGCAAGCGACGCACCTGCTTCCAGCGCGCCGAGAAGGAACCTAGTCACTGTCACCGCCGGGTAGCTGTGCGTCCCCCCGATCGCAATCGTCACCGCGCCCCACGAAAACATCAGAAACGCAAGCCACCGCTGCGTCCCGTCAATGTCAATGCCGAAGTCGGTGCGAGGGAACTGACGCTTGGACGCAGGCGCTTGAGGAGGTAGTTGGCCGGGACCTCGAAGATACCGTACGCGACGAGAAACACCATCAGCGCGATCCTGCAGCGCGTCAGCAGACTTGCCGAGGGGCAAGGCGAGGCGGGTCGATGCGCTCACGTGTAGTGGTACGGTGTCATGTGCGTCTCAGTAAGCAGGTCATTGTGCGTTTCCGCGTTTAGAATGCGCGCGTTGCCTGGTCGCGTTTTTGTCAGTATAGACTTTGATAGGGTAGGCTGAAGGGTCTAGCGCACCGATGTTGGAGCGGTCCAGGTAGCACAGGAGGTAGATCGCCGCGGACAGCGGGATGATGCGCATGTCCTGCTTCCGCACGAGCGACTTGTCGGACTGGGGGTCCTGTACGTAAGAGCGAGCCTCGATCGACTATACATACATACGAGACACATCGCGCATAGGTGAGTACGTAGTGGAGCGCGCGGAAATGAGACCTGCAACGCGCACCTGCTTCTCGCTGTCATCTCCACTGAGGCCGGACTTGTTGTCGGTGTTTTTGGATTCCATCCTGCGTTCTAGAGGCACTCCCGAGAACACAAACAAGTCGCGAATGATACGATTTTCTGCGCGCCGATTTACTTATAGGAACCGGCAGAACAGTTGATTCCGATCTTGAAGCGACGCGAAACCCAGCAGGCACGGGGGCGAGAGATGACCGCGCTGCGTAGCTTGTGAAGGGGGGAATGCTGAGTGGGGTGACAGCAAGATGGCAGGATGACAGCACGGGGTCTCAAGTGACCCCGCCGTATGGGCCATGCCGTCCTTCTGCATCGATGGGAACGTTGTGGGAACTGCTCGAAGCCGGCCGTGAAGGCTCTCTGTATCACTGATGATTGGCGGGGAGGGCAATCAGGTGATGCGCAATCAGTGGCCCCCCCGTCCGGCTTATCTAGAACGTCACGAGCGACAGTCACGTTTCACGCTCTTTCCGCTCGCGTGCCAAACCCCCGTGTTTTTCACAAATCCCTAGAACTTCCGAGCGGGAACATCGTATGGAGGAAGAACCTGTATCGTTCCTCAGGCAGAGGACCGTGTCCCAGAAGCCGGCAGCCCCGGGCAATGAGCAGCATCAGCAGCAGCTGCCTCCGTCACCTAAAGATGCTCACGGCAAAGACGATCAAGTCGTCTGGGGGAAGACGCCCTCCGGCGAAGGTCAGTTCCTTTCGCACCCACCGTGATCGTTTCGCTTCTCTGACGCTCAATGGTTCTACCAGTCTTCCGGGTCCCAACCACCCACGACGTGCTGACGCTCTTCAACCCCACGTACCCCAAGAGCCACTTCGATCTCCTGAACCTCGTGCTGCTGGGCTCCCAGCTCGCGCTGTTCCTACTCCTCCCGACCCGCGTCGCCAAGATCTTCTTCTTCTGCTACTTCGCGTTCTGGCGCGCAGCCTACGACGCGGGGCTCGGCTGGGTCCTGACGAAGCAGAGCAAGAAGAAGTGGATCGTGCGCGAGGTGCAGAAGTACGGCTGGCTCGACCCCGCGCGGCGCCCCGCCGCCCGTGAATGGATCAAGCGGCAGCTGGTGGGCAAAATGGGCAAGGATTATTCGTTCGACGTCAGTCTCGCTTTCCCTCCCCCTCGTGTGCGGCCGGATCATAATGCGTGCTTTACTCTAGGAATTGCCATTGGAATACAACACGTGGCTGCTCTTCCGCCAGGTGGTCGATGTCATTCTCCTCAAGTGGGTGTACCCATCTGTCCCGGCGCTTCTGACCTGTAATGCGCCTGCAGTGACTTTCTCGCATACTGCATGTTCGCGTTCTCGTGCTTCCGCGTCCCGGACGGATTGACCATGTCGATCCACATCTTGCGGTGCGCGGCCTCTTGTCAGATATGATCTCATCACCGAACACCTGTGCAGATGGATCGGCGGCTTCTTGCTGATCGGCTTCAATCTCTGGGTCAAAACCGAGGCACACAATGTCGTAAAGGACTACGGCTGGTACTGGGGCGATGTCTTCTTCCAGCGCGGTGCGCTCGTTTTCGACGGCGTGTTTGAGTTGGCTCCGCATCCGATGTACTCTGTCGGTCAGCCTCCACCCTTGCTTTTTGAATTCCAGAAGCTGACTGTTGCCGCTAGGCTACGCGGGTTATTACGGTCTTTCTCTCATTGCGGGCAGCTATTCTGTACTCTTCGTCAGTCTGGCCGGGCACGCCGCCCAATTCGCTTTCCTCGTCGGCTTTGAGAACCCGCGTATGTGTTTTCCACAACTCTTACCATTCTCTCGCTGATAGCTGAGCAGATATTGAGCGATTGTATGGTCAGAGAAAGCCGATTGCCAAACGCATTCCGGTGAAGCCTCGCGAGAGCAGCGCTGCTGACGTCCCCCTTCTCGATCTGGACGATGACCTAATCCCGACGCCCTCTGTGACAGAGGGCGAGACAGCTTCGGAGACCGAGCTGGAGACGGAGACCGAGGGTGAAATGGAAGACGACACTGCGACCAGCCGCCGACCCGGACACTTCCACAAACCCTCCATCGGGAGCACGATCTCGTTCGAGGACAAGCCGAAAGCGGTGTCGCAGCACGACCTGCTCACCAAATACTTCCGCCGGGACACGATCATCCTCAAGAACTTTGACTTGCTCCGGTGCGTGCTAGTCTCATTTCTCCATTGCGTAGCTGCCAATCCCTGATCCGGTCCCCCTCAGTGCGAATGACGTCACTCTAGCCCTAATCCTAGCCTACTCCGTCGCGTTTTCGGTGATGCCCCGTCTTTCCGACACGGCGGCGCTGGCCCTGCATTTCGCGCACGCGCTCGCGTGGTCGCTCGTGCACTGTCTGGGGCTGGGCGCGCTACTGCGTGCGCAGAGCCAGAACAAGTTCCTCGTGCGGCACTTCATGAAGCACTACCACTACCCCGCGAGCGACGCCGGCCGCGGTGCGATCGTCGAGGCGTTTGCGAACTGGAAGACGATGTACAACCTCACGCTGTGCATGTCGTATGTATCGTTCGTCGGCGTCGTGTGGCAAACCTATGCGATCCCTGGGGATTGGACCGTTGGCGTGGAGCTCCTCAGGCATACCGTGGGAGCACTCCTTGTTGGGCTGCATCTCTGGGCTGCGCTCGAATGTTTCGAAGTGCTGGGTGTCTTTGGTAAGATCTGCTCTGGCTACTTCTTGGCGCCTGCTGAGACCCTTCAGGCTGGTTCTTTGGTGACTTTTTCATGGAAGAGTTCCCTGCTCATCTCGAGTACACGGGTATCTACCGGTATGTTTTCATCAACCCACATGTTTTATACCAACCCGCTCAACTCGCGCAGGTACCTCAACCATCCCGAGATGATGGGGGCTGCGTCCTGGTTCGGTCTGGCGCTTGTCAGCGGTAACAAACTGGTTCTTGCGTTGGCTGTCATCCGGCACCTTTCCCAGTGGTGGTTCCTCATCTTTGTCGAAAAGTGCGTGTCCTAGTACCATCTCGTCTCTCTCTCTCTCTCCTGCTGACCGATGCATTGCAGCCCCCACATGCGCAAGTTGTACGGGGACTCGCTGCGCAAAGACGCCGGATTCGTCAAAGTGATCAAGGGTGTTGCCAGCAAGAACGCGCGGCTGCTCCAGAAACGGGCCCGACCCGAGCTCCGCCACGTAGCCAAAGTCGTCAAGGAGGTCAAAGGCACATTCGACAAGGTCTACGAGGAGACGGCTGACGTGGTCGAGGAATTTTTGGCCAAATGTATGCATCGGCTCGATTCGTTGTGTGCCAGATGATTTGCTGACCCAGTATCCGTAAGCCAAACCGCGATTCTCAGAGGTCGTGCAGGACACCAAAGTTCTGCTCCAGCAGTCCCGAGAGCGGCTTGTCATCACGCGTGTCGCGAATAACATTGACACGATCGACGCGTCCAAGTACCACTTGACGGCGATCCCAAGTCTCGATGGCTCGTTGCGCTTCCACCTCGGAGAACCCGTACAGTTCAAGTGGCAGGCACCGACCTCGCATTCGCGCAAGGATTGGGTCGGCATCTACCGTGTAAGCACGCCGATCAGCCTGTGTCCTCATTCTGTCTGACTGACTGTGACACATTCCAGATCGGCGCAAACAAGTCGACGCTTGTGACACGCACCAGCTCGATGGGTCTGTGGGTTCCGGTGCACGGCGAGGAATGGGACGGGGATGTGCCGCTGGGCATCGTCAGCTCCGGTGCCGGGAGCAGCGCCTCGGATGTCCAAAGCGGGATGATCACGTTCAAGGGCGACACACTTCCCTGGCTTGCCGGTCGGTATGAGGTCCGGTATCACCATGACGGAAAGTATAACGTCCTGGCCTCGGTTGCTCCGATCGAGATATACGGTATGTCCTTGCTGTAGTCGCGCCAACCGGGTAGCCGCTGACACACGGCCCCAGTCGAGAAATCCGCCGAGCTGACCTTCACCTCCGTCCGCGAGAACCTGATGCACATCGTCCCGCTCTGCTTGGACTCAGACCCGTCCCTCATCCCTGCTTCCTGCAAAACGTCCATGACGCCGACTGTCTCATCGGCATCAGGCGACGACGATCGAGACCCGGACGACTTTACATTCTGGTCAGAGCGCCAGGCAAAGCGGATCTGCAGCGCAATTGAGCAGACGTTCGGGGTCGAGTACGCGCCGGAGGTTGTCGTGGCCGACGCTAATCTATCGGCGTTGGCGAGGCGCATTTTACAGTCCAAGGAGATATTGATGGGTTCCGGTCCGGCCGACCATACTTGACGCGTGCGGAGATTCGACAAATGGCGAGGGGGGGATCTATGTGGGGTAGTTTAATCTTTCGTAGGAGTTGAAATATCGTTGTTTGGTCGTAGTGTGGAGAGAACGCCGATACTGGATGCTCCACCCGGGACGAGGAATCGATTTGTCTCGGACAGGGGCAACCATCACTGCGCTCGTGACTGCAAACAACTCATTGCATCTTATCTCAAACTTCCACGCATCCTCGTTTTTCGCACTAGCTGTCCCCTTATCACCAGCACTCCGCTCGCCTTACAATCCAGCAACAATGAACAAGTCCCAGTTTTATCTTTCGCAGTGCAAGGATTCTGCCGCTAAGGTCAGGGACCCAGATCTGCCTGGTCTCTACACCAAGTCTGATGTGCACCCCAGTCCCTCATGTATTACCGCCTCGGCGCCGTTCTCGTAAGCGATCCGGTGCCCTTCCAACGCCCACCAGCCGTCTCACGCGTCTCTCTCTCTCTCAGGTGAAGGGCGGCAAAGTCATCGCGACGGGCTACAACCACCAGCGGCCGAAGTACGACACGCCCGGGACCGGCCGGCCGCTGTCCATGCACGCGGAGATGGCGTGCATCGCGAACGCGACGCGTGGCCGGGCGCCCGCGTTCAAGCAGCAGGTTCAACCGCGCCAGGGCTGTGCGGGCGCAGCGACAGCATCGGACGCAGCAGCGACAAAAACAACAACACAACCACAACCACCGGCGCTACAATCAAAACGACTACAACGAGCAGCAACAGCAGAACGCCGATCCGAGTCAGAGTCGCGTCGTGCCGTATCCGTCGACGCCGAGTCGTGCTTTTTATCAGGCGGGTTATCAGCGCGGCTGTCATCACGAGCGTGAGGGCGGGCGGCGTGTGCAGGACGGGGGATGGCGCGCGGTACGGAGGCAGCCGACGCGTGTCTCGTCGAGGGCTGACGGCGCGGATCTGTACGTGTGCCGCTTGGCGCGGAACGACGGGTTCGGGTGCGCGAAACCGTGCTGGCGGTGGTGAGTCTGAGCGCGTCTTGTCTATTTCTGTCTTTGCCTTGGTACTCATGGTCTGGCTTGGTTGTTCCACAGCATCGAATGGTGTGTCTGGGCAGGCGTCAGGCGGATTTTCCATTGGAGCACGGACGAGGGACGCTTCGTGTGTGTCAAGGTCGGCGGTGCGGCTCAGGAAGACTACTACGAGACTGTATCTGACTTGCGTGGCTTGTCGCTGGGCCGCGATGGAGCTTGAGATGAGTCTACTGTACACAATCGATCCTGATGGTGCTGTGTACGCCGGAGATCCTCCGTTGGTGGCGGCACTCAATCTGAGTGATCAGCGCTTCACGAAGGACTTGAGCTGTGCGACCTTTCCGACGTCGCGGCACGTCAAACTGTATCGCGTCCCTCGCGTCAAGGCACCACCATTCGCCAACACCTCGCGCGTTGCTGCATCGGTCACCCTCTCCCAGTTGGCGATCGGACTGCCGAAATCAGCTACACCTCCCGCCGTGAATCTGTCTTCCTTGATCTCGTGTATCCTGCGCGTTCGTTGTTCTAGCATTCCGAGCCGTGCATGAGAGGAGCACTTACGAATGCAGATGATTCGAATAGAGCGAGTCCGTGGAGATCACCACCGACCTCGGCTCGAGAAGGAGCGAGAGGACAGGCGTGGGGTCTATGCTCCGCCCTCCGTGAGACTCGGGCAGCGTGTATCGATAGTAGTGGAAGACGCAGTGGGAGTTCAGCGAGATCGTCGCCACCGCCGGGTGGTAGGCCGGGCCGTCTTCGTGGGGCTGCAGCTGTCGATTAGACATGGAGGGAGGTGGAAGGCACGGTCTACCATGATCCCTGCGCGCCGGACAGTCAGAAAGAATAGATGCGGGCAGCCACCCCAGCGTGCCGTACCTTGGCCTGGCTCATACTATGTACGCACACGCACACACGCACGCACACACCTCAACCGTCAAACAAGATCTCAACGACACAAAGCAGACAGGGCACGAACTTCGTTCCTGGAGAATCGTCAGCGTGCGTCTGCGAGGGATCGGTCGAAGGCACTAATGACATGATGATGTGATTCGGTTTCGCGTGCGGGGATCCGTGGAAGACGCCGGTCTGCTGCAGCCGGTTGATGATATCGGGGCTGGTTGCAAGAGACGTGAATCGCAGTGCAGCACCGGGGGAGGGGGGAGGGGGAGAATATACGCTTACTAGGTTTCCACGAATGAGGGCATCGGCTGGGCGACGAGGACGTTGTTCGACGTTAATTCGCCTCCTGTCCCGGCTGCGTGAGCTCGTCCATTTGTCCTGTGACAGCCCGCGGACTCGTACCCCACAGCTGGAGCCTGTGGCCCCGACATCAACGCGGCTGCCAACTTCCAAGAAAAGCACGCGCCGCACCTGCGATTGGCCAGCTGCTTCCACCGCTGGGCTGGGGAATCTCGAATCTGATGAGCGCTCTCGTAAATACTGGGGCCCAAGTGCCGGACGGAAGCCAGGCGCTACTTTGCGGATGAGATACGCCTCTTCGCCCTCCTGCCGGTGGTGAGACTCAGGACAAGATGCGCCTTCTGCACGACACGGAACTGACAGTGATGAATTCCGGGATGTAGAAACATGAGTCCGAGCCAGGGATACGGTAACTCGAGAGATCGAAGCGCTCGGACGCGCTCATGGTGGTGGTGGTGATCATCGGCTGATGAGGAGCGCGTTATTTGCGCGTGCTGGTCCGTTTCCTAATCAAGCGATGCTGTTTGATTTGATGGTTCATTTCTCAAGTGTTGGCGATGGGAATGGGGGGGATGCACGCGTGAAACTGTGGTATGGACGCACCAGCTTTCCACAGAAATGCCGCTTCTGAAGCGATCACCAATTAGGATCTCAGTCCTGTCAAGTCTGTCTGAAGATTATCTCATGCTCTTCCACGTTGCGGTGATTAAACTCGCACTGCCGGAGTGGGGCGATGTGGATAGGATTTCCTCGATCTCACGGGTGATTGACCGAGTGAATCGATGGCAAATTGGCTGAGGGCCTAGAATGTATTAACTCTATTTTGTGCGACGTCGAGTCGCGGGACAATATGTAGATAGCCTTTCTACCGCCACATCTAGTGCAGCACGATTATCGGCGGCTGGTTATTTTGATGCTTGGGCCGAGCTTCGAGGTAAGTGTTGAGTGAGCACGGGAGATGACGCAATATTTTACAGGGGCCTGCTTACACTGGGGTATACGCGCAGGGTTGATTCCGTTTTTCGCAGTTGGTGCAGAGAGGTCTCAGACCATCTGGATGCTGACATCAGGGGGGGGACTAGGGAGCAGGACATGGACAGTTCCCGCACCGCATTTTAGTTTGCGAGCTGCAGAATGAGAGCCGTGAGTCGAGATATGGTTGTCTGGGCTAACTAGCGCTTTACTCACCACGACAGAACTGACAGGCCATCGCTGTGCGACGAGGGGTGCGCGGGCTGTCGTATGCGTCGTACTGGTACACAGCGTAGTTATCGGGCTAGTGGACGAGGGTGAATTCGATATCGGGGATCGTCTTGAGTGCGCGGAACGCACCTGCAGCGAAGACATTTTGAATCGCGGGTGGCGTGTCGAGTTGGGAAGGGAGAGGCGAAGAAAGTTTCGCAGGCGGCTGACTCGAGGGTGAGAGCTGAGGATGGGGGTGTATTCCACATTTTGGCGGGTTTATAAACGCGAAAAGTTTGTCTGTGTATGACAACCTCGCTGGTTATCAATGTTGGAGCTTAAGGAATCTGAATTTTCTATTGGGGACCTGTCTTCAGGATTCTACGAAAGAGGGTTATAGCGCGCTGTGTCACATTTTTTGACAATCCTGTGCATCAATCTCGGAGGCACTTGTCCTATTCGGGTAATTGATTTGCCTAAAGCGCCCACAACGAGTTTCGTCCAGTGTTTAGCACGACGAACAGTCGGTATTCGCATTGAAATTCCCCTGATGATCTGGGAACCATTCCAAGTCAAACGCTGGTTGGCTCAGGCGAATACCCTGGGCAATATCGTCTCGCAGTCTGCGATGAACACGTTTTCAATGTTGATGGTTTCGTCAATTTCCGAAAAGGGTGCTATCACGCAATGCCGGATTGAGCTGAGAATACCGTGAGGGCCCATCACACCTAATCAAGAGCTTCGGACGCGTGGTGGATGCAATCAGTCCTCGCGCTCGATTTCCGATCTCTTCAAAGATTCCAGGGCCCAATGCATCGCGCTGTTCTCGGAGCCTGTGGGAGGCCATACTCGCCGGATCCTATGTCGCAATCCACGAAACGAAAGGAGAAAGAAAAACAAGACGACGTCAGTCGGGTCCTCACCATGTACATACAGACTTACTTAGCCTGGGTGTCAGGGTCGATGGTTTGCGAGCGCCCTAACTTCGAAATAGCCGAAATGGACTACGCGACTCCCATTGATTCAAACTGATCGTGGTAGCCTGAGCGTTTAGACTACTTATGAAATCAAACACTTAATACCTGTCCCATACAGGCTGCCCCGGAAAATTTCAGAGGTTCACGGGATTATCTCGTAGTGAAACAGCTAGTGGTGTACGATGGAGAGTTCAGAGGGATTGAACCATGCGTCATCGGCGCATCAAAAAACCGTGATATGTATCAGACTGCTCACAATAGAGTTCGGACTTATCACGCACGAGGGGAATTGTGCATTGCGCTCCGCACAAGCTTCGAGAAGATGGAAGAAGACGGTCGATGGGGACAGGGGTACTCACTTCAGAGCAGTCCGCGCAGGGCGAGAGAAAATTAGGCAATCACCCATTGGAGCTGGCCAAGCCGTTTGAGCAAATCCCTTGAGGTAAATACTTACAAGGACAATCACAGAACGTGGCGCGGGTTCTGCCGGGCGACAAATCATGACGCAGGAACCATGGGCCCTCAATCCAACCCAGAAGCTCAGTCTCAGCGGTTCCCAAGGGTCAGCGCCAATCTTTCAATACGTCGCACCGATGAGTCTTTTTGCATGTGTGCGTTTCGCGGATATTCGGCATCGGCCCAGAACGAACGAATGCACGTGTTGTTGCCCTAGGGGCTGGACGGAGGTTCTGGCCACCTCCCTGTCCCACGCTGGAGAAAAAAAAGAGGAAGTGGATGTCGCAGCGCAGTTTGACATCTCCATGGCAGCGTACAATCTCACAGTCAATCTGGACCCGCAATCACGCATGCATGATGACCGAAGGAACGGTGTTGTCGGGGCTGCGCAGCGATGGGAAGAGACTGATCACGGCAGACAACCTCGACCGTCATGTGTCGCGGTCTTAACATGGAGCTTCTCAACGAGATTCACCGTATGACGTGAGGCGGGTGCGCGCGCTTATGCTATCTGCAGAGCGGTGGTGATAGTACGGTACGAGGTCTACTGCTCTCAAGGACCGACTCCCCAGACTTCCAGTCCTACACACTCAAAATCAACGTTCCGGCTTTTTGACGGGGATCCAGAACATAACGGGTCATTGTCAAAGGTCGGACACCGGGCGGATGAACCATCAAAAAGCGAATCATCCAGGTACAGTCCATAATGGCCGTCCCTGCGAAAGAGATTAGACATGATGGTGCGTGCCATGATGAGCCGCGGACGGACTGACCCTCCCCCAAATGAGATAAAGCCGTCTTCGCACAGAGCAACGTAATCGTTCCTGCCGGTCCATTTGTAAACGTTGAACTTGCCGGCGGACGGAGAATAGCGCCAGAGAAACCTGAAACATCCGCTTGAGACACCCCATTCATCTGGGCGAAGGACCAAGAAAGACGTACGATTCACCACCACCATAATAACTCCCCCGTGTGCTTCTCCTCAATCCATCTGCGAGCCAAACACCGAATACCATGTTCCCTGAGTCCTGAATTACGACTAGGGCGCCTTTGGGATGCGGTACCCTCGTGGACGCAGGCGGCTCACAGCGCGAATACAGCGTGTTCAACGAGATGCCGTGCTGGTCTAACGAATACAACAACGACCACTGCCTCGATAAACGCAACAGGGCGGGCAGATGGGGATGAATCTGGGCGCTGTTAGACGCAGAAGAGCAGGGTGCCAGAGAGACGCACCAACGACATCAATTCCGGCATTAGCACGGGCGTCGTGCCCTCCCTCCGGCCCACGAGATTAATCAGCCCAACCATAGACTTCTCAAGGAGAACGCCCACTCCATGCCCATGCCCGTTCCCGTTCCCATTTCTGGACACATCTACCTTCGCGGAGCCGAGCACTTTCACGGAGGGATCATCCACTACCTGCTTGCTACGATCGACGCCGAGGTCGTGCTCTAATGCCCGCGAGAAACCGCGGTCCCAGTCGTAAGACGCCCCGCCACGGAAACCCGGTGCGCCAGTAGGAGCGGGCTCCGACTGCGAGTGTGACGGCGCGAATGGCGTGAAGTGTTTCAGCGCTGGCGCTCGTTGCGGCGGCAACACAACAGACTCTGACAGCGAGTCCGCAGAGGATGATGTGTGTGGGAAGTGGATGCCTGTGGGCGAGGAGACCACAGTCGGTAGGAGTGAGGCGACCCATTTGGCACCGGAAGATTTGGAGATCGTCGCGAGCGAGGCATAGCTGCTGCTCGCTGGCGGACTGGATGGATGGAACTGCTCGTGCCCTGGTGCATCGTCAGACGACGATTTGGAAGCCAGAGGTGGTGCAAGTGTCGGTCGGGTGGCTGAAGAGCGGAGAAACGAAAAGGATGAAGAGGATGATGACGCTCGCTTATGTAGTGTCGGTACTGGTACTGGGGCAGGTGTCGCCGCGGGAAGTTTAGAGAAGTAGTCGAAATCGAGGTCAGACAGTTGGTCGTTGATGTATCGATTGGGTCGCTCAGACGGTAACAAATGCTCCTCTGGATCCGGCGAAGTAGTGCGCTGCGCTTCGTCTTTGACGAAATACAATGGCTCGTCCTCATGGAGCAACAATTCATCCAACAATCCTCTATTATTCTCTGCACGACTCTTCGTGTCTTCAAAGAACGCCTGGCTGGCCGTGCTGGGCTCGGATTCCAGCAGGGCATCCGAGAGCGGATCGTGCAACGTGGGACCAGATACGAACGAGCCGAATTCAGAGTCCGGAGACGTCGGATCGTCCACGAGGTGAACCGGTACCGGGACTGGATCGGCAACGAAAACAGGGGAAGCACGAGGCGTCGGAGGGAGGAAGTGAGTCGAAAAATGATCGAACGTCTTTGATCCAGTGTTCTCGAAAGTGGGCGACTTCGGCGGTTTGGAAGCGGGCACGGGCGTGAGTACGGGGATCGAGTCCAGCGGATCCGTCATTTCAGAGCTCTGAGAGGTAAATCCTAGTCCGGCAACAGAGAAGGGAGATGAGAGACGAACATGAGATGAGGTGCGACCAGGCAGATTGATGAATTATATAGGTTCGTCTGCGCAGTAGCTCAGTTGCTGCGGCACAGGGTAGAGATGGCTTTGTCACCTCAAAGTGGAGGCAACCTCCTTCACGATATCACTCGGATGCCAGGTCGGACGCGTAACTCGAGGGAGGGGTATGCAGTTGTAGAGTGAGAGATGTCGTGTCAGAGCGCCTATCCGCGATGGGTACCCACGTTCTACGAAATGATTTGAGCGCCTCGTGGGACTGCATGTCTATAAGTAGTCCTCGTACTCACAGTGGCGATGGGAGCGCGCGCCCGGAGTAGTTCGTAAATGCTACGGTCGTGATTGTATGTGTAGAGAGTTATACCTCCAAGATAAACTCGGAAGTATGGTATGACTGGAGATAACATGAATGGCCATGGTCTCCGCGACGGGAGGTGCACTCAACGTACGGTGATTGAGAGGCCCAAAGTTCGTGGTGAAGGAGCGGAAGCTGTCAGGGACGTCGGCCATCAAAGCTTACATTCAAGGGCCGAAGGCCGAGGTGCGTTTACGACGTTGATTCATTCCTTCTCCCTCCTTCAGCTTACACGTACTTGCTACAGTACTCCGACTCTCCTTCTCCTGTTTTTAGTTCCGCGCTCGACACGACATTCCCGAACCACATCTCCGGATACTCAAAAGCCTTATGTCGCCTGTTGGACGTGAGCAACCCCCCGTTCAGCCCCCGCGTTAGATGATAACATGCTTGGAGCAGAGCCCACGGAGTCCCCCAAACCGCAGCCCATGGGTGGTAGCATGCCGATGATCTTCCTTTTCACGATGTGCACTTTATGCGCGCTCTTCCTCCTGTGGAGGCAAGCCAGTAGCTTGCGCTCAGTCATCTCTCATCAGTACGCGCACACACGCCCTCTCTTCCCTCTTTTCTCGGCATCCGGTCACTGACAAACCGCGCACAGATTGAAGACACTCTCCAACGAGGGCACTATTCGCTTAAGCGAGGATGAAGGGCCCTCGGCACGCGAGTTCTTGGAGGACAGCTATGACGAGGACAACGAGGGTGTGCGGCTGGAGGGTGCACTACAGACGCTTTCAGAACGCTTTGCCGGGGAGGAGGTGCCAGAGCGAAGCCCACCGAAGCCGGTCGAAGCGTCTGTGTGATTCGGTGCGTGGGTCCGCCAAGTCGCGGGCCAAGTCGACCAATGCCACTACAGAGTTATTTGTACGAACGGACTGTCACGGACTATCATATCTATAAATTATAGGAATTTTCTATATCGAAAGCCCCAGTGGACCACCACCGACATTTCCCCGCTGACCATTCACCTGACCCGTGGTCTCGCTACACTCAAAACGTGCACGCGATGACCGAACGACGGGCGAGATGCTTCTCTCCATCGTCCTCCTGCTCTTTGCGCCAGCGCTTTCTACCGTCCATGCCATCGGGCAGCGCACTTGCGTCGCCTTCCAGCCGTCGAAAACTGCATTCAGTGTCGTGAGCAACGGGAAGGCCGCGGCTCTGATGCTCTCCGCGGACGAGTGGCCCGGCGTCCAACGCGCTGCGCAGGACTTTGCGGACGATGTCCAGCGCGTCACTGGTGTCAGGCCTGCAGTCTCCAACGGAACCGCTGCACACTCTTCGCATCTACCCATTATCATTGGCACGCTAGGCAAATCGTCGCTTATAGGCCAGATCGTGAACGCAACCAAGATCGACGTGTCGAAGATCGAAAACCAGTGGGAGGCGTTCCTGTCGCAAGTGGTTACGGTCCCCGGGGTGGGGCCGGCCTACGTTATTATCGGAGCCGACAAGCGAGGCACGATCTTCGCTTTATACGACCATTCGGAGCAAATCGGTGCGTTGTTTGTGACAGATTTGCCGATGTGAGGAATTGCGGCTCAAACTCACAGGTGTTTCGCCGTGGTACTGGTGGGCTGACGTGCCCACGACGCGGCACGCCTCGCTGTTCGTCGAGCCCAGTGGCTGTTTCCATGGATCGCCGACCGTCAAGTATCGGGGCATATTCTTGAACGACGAACAGCCGGCCCTGCAGAACTGGGCGGCGGATAAGTTCACAGCTAATGGAACTGGGGCCACATTGACCAATTCGCCATTCAATCGGTTCTTTTACGGCCAACTGTGAGTTCTTGATTGGGCGGGAACTCTCGCCTCAGCCTAGCAGTGACTTGATCTTCGTTTCAGCTTTGAGCTGCTACTGCGGTTGAAGGCGAACCACATCTGGCCTGGTAGGGCACCTGTTTTCCATTCTCGTGATCTGCTGCAGCTGAATATTTTGTCCTCAAGCTCAATGGAGTAGTGCGTTTGGCGTCGACGACCCTCTGAACCAGTTCACGGCGGACTATTACGGGATCGTCATGGGCACGAGTCACGAGGAGCCGATGATGCGCTCGATTCCTGTCGAATGGGGACTCTTTGGGAATGGTCCGTGGGACTACAAGTGAGTTGCATCCGAGTGTTTGATGGAAACTGAAGCGAGAGTACAATCAGCGTGAATGCGGCTGCCATCCACGACTTTTGGGTTGCTGGCGCAAAACGCGCTGCAAAGTTCGAAAACATGTGGACAGTCGGGATGAGGGGCAACGGGGATGGTGTGTTCTTGCTCTGGATCGCCTTTGATTCTTCGTTCTCACCGGTCAACAGAGCCCATCGTTGGCTCTGGTCCAGTGGACCTTCTGGAGAAGATCTACGCCGACCAAAAGCAGATCCTGGCCGACACGCTGAACGGCACGATCGAGAGCATCCCGCAAGTCTGGGCTATGTGTCAGTCAATCCCTGAGGCAGTGCTCTCAGGAGTTGACGATCATGTATAGACAAAGAGGTCGAAGGTTATTACGATCAGGGACTCCAGGTGCCGGACTACATCACTATTCTGTGGACCGACGATAAGTGAGTGGCTCTGTTGGTTCCTGGTTTCCATCACTGATTCATGCAGCTGGGGAAATGTGCGGCGATACCCGCTCCCCTCCGAACGGAACAGAACTGGTGGGGCCGGTGTTTACTATCATGTGAGTTTGACGATGCGTTCTGTCGGCTTTTCTGACACTCTTTCAGATTGACTATGTAAGTAGGAACACTGCTACTACTATTCATCCATCTCATACGAGCAGGTTGGAGACCCACGCGACTACAAATGGATAGCGGCGAGTCTGATGATCTGCCTCCCGAGTCCCGTCTCATTGCTCACTTTTCTCCGCAGAGTTCCCAGATCTCCAAGATCTACGAACAAATGTCCATCGCCATCGACCGCCAGGCGACCCAAATCTGGGTCCTCAACGTGGGCGACCTCAAGCCCTACGAACGAGAGACGGAGTTCTTCCTCGCATATGGCTGGGACGCCAGCCTCTGGAACCCCGACAACCTCAACGACTTCGTGGTTGGCTGGGCACAGCGCGAATTCGATCTGTCCGAACAGGACGCGGACACAGTAGCGGGGATTGTGGCGAATGTGACGCGGTTCAATGCGCGGTGCAAACCAGAGCTGCTCAACGCGACGACGTACAGTTTGGTTGCGTATCGCGAGTGCGTGATCGACCTCGCCAGCGAGCCGAAGTGCTGACATCGAGTAGAGCAGAAACGATGCTCGCGGCATGGTCTAAACTCGTCAGCGCATCCACAGCTGTCTACGACAACCTCCCGTCGGCGGCGCAGCCGGCGTACTACGAAACCGTGCACCACACGGTGCTGGCAAGCGCGAACCTCGGGACGATGATGATCAAGGCTGGCCAGAACGTGCTGCGCGCGAGCCAAGCGCGGCTGAGCACGAACCAGCTCGCGGACGAGGTCGAGACGCTGTTCGAGAATGACTTCTCTCTCGAGACGCGCTATCACGCACTGCTAGACGGCAAATGGGAGCATATGATGGATCAGACGCGTAAGCCCTCGTTCTTTGTCGTTTGCGCCAGTGCCGATGATTTGAGTCCCCCCAGATATCGGATATGCATATTGGCAGCAGCCGATGACGAACTCGATGCCGCTGATCTCGCGAGTGCAGAAGAACAAACAGGCGACACCGGGCCCCATGCGACTTTCTCCGGAAGGAACGCTGGCTGCATGGCCCGGCGATAATCAGTTCCAGTGCGCGCAAGGATACAACTGCCCACCACCGTGAGTGTCGACCGGGAGTCCCAAAGCCAAAACGCTGGGCTCACGGAATCACAGGACCATCTCTATCGACCAATTCGACCCGATTTCCGATCGGTACATCGATATCGGCGCGGGGGGACCCACACCGTTCACGTTCACCGTCGTCAGCAACGCGAGCTGGCTGACGCTGAGCCCCAACCACGGCTCGATCTCTCCGTCGTCGAATCAGGAAGTGCGGGTGTTTGCGCGTGTCGATTGGACGAAGCTGGACGAGGGTCTGAGCACGGCGGCTCTCAACTTCACCGCGTTTGGGGCAGACAAAAAGGTGCTGACCGTGAATGCGTTTGGCTCGCCGCGGGATCTGGTGCAGACGTTCATCGTCGCGAACAAGACGACGCCGAGCGCCGGTTTCCAAGGTGCGAAGAGCTGCAGCCGTGACTTGAACGCAGACGCAAACGCTCATTCGCTGCAGGGTTCGTCGAAGCAGGCGGCGCCGTGTCGTTCGAGGCGCAGCATGCGACGCGGAACAACTCCGTCGGCGGCATGGTCTGGCGCACGCTGCCCGGGCTCGGCAAGACGCTCTCGGGCGTGACGCCCTTCCCGCGACTCGGCAACAACGAGAACAACTTCACCGCCGGCGCAGGGCCGTCGCTGGAGTACGACTTTTACACGTTCAGCGGCGGCGCGAACGTGACTGTCGTCACCTACCTGTCGCCGTCGGGCAACGCACTGGGAGCGGACCGCCCGCTGGGCTTCGCGGTGCAGCTCGACGACGCGCCGGCGCAGAGCAACTACTTCTTCCCGTCGGCGGCCCCCGGGTTGGAGCCTGCGCAGTGGAACGGATTCGTCGCTGCGGAGATCATCCAGACGAGGAACGTGTTTGCTGCGCAGCCTGGTGCGCATACGCTCAAGGTGCGTGTCTGTCCGGTGGGGCGTGAGGTTCATGTGACGATACGCGCGCAGTTGTTCATGATCGAGCCGGCTGTGGTGGTCCAGAAGATCGTAGTGGATACTGGAGGGGTCAAGTCGAGTTATCTAGGCCCGCCAGAGAGTCTGGTCGTTGGATGATGTGTGTTTGATCACACCCATGTCCTCTGTTTGCACTATTCGGATAGTCATGCATCATCCATGAAACATATTCCAAAATGTTACACATTTCTCTGGCAAAGGATCTGACTTTCTGATTGTCTACTGTTAGCCGATGGAAAGTGTATGGAAGTGGTTGCACAGCCACTGGAGTGGCAGTTACTGAAATACAAGCCAAACAAGGTTGCCGGCACCTGTTGCAAACCAGGATCAAATACAAAGGGTCTGGATTGAAAGTTTCTTGGGAGTGTTTCTATGCTCTTTTTTTTTTTTTTTGGTGGTACGAGCAGACATGGGACAGAGTAACATTGGTTACCTTCCCACGCGCTATTTGTAAAGTCGAGGGGCTGAGCCTCCCGGGACGGGCGAAGGTCCTAAGGTTCACCGCCCAGGGAAATGTACAAATACACGGAGTGGTATGCAACAGTGTGGGGATGCGAGCTCTTGCCCGCCCCCAGTCCTAAGGGACCAGAGGCGGGGGCAGGGGGTCTGCCAGAGTCACGCGACCCACCAAAACCCTGGGATTCTGAAGCCATTTATCCTTGAGTGTGTCGCCGGAGGTGTCTGTAACAATTTTCCTCCAGGTGTCCTCGACCAGATGCGGTTTCAAGGCCCTGCAGCCAAATTTACTTTTTTTGATGAGCGTTCGCTCGAGTGCGAAGCGGGATTCTATGGCGCTGTTCCATCTCCCTTCTATTTCTCGATCGGATGGTTCTTCTCCATCTTTTGATATTACTCTCTCGTTACGGAGTTTCCAGATTACAAATAGGTCCGCTCAATTCTTGGTTCATGAACCGGGTTCACGAGGTTTTGATGAACCCGACAGGTCCTGACAGTTGCCATCACGCTTAACTAAAATCGGCCGAGGGCCAGCAGAGATGTCTCCGTTTGAGGACAAACATGTATGATCTTGCAGCATTGGACCAAAATGATACTCGAGAGCAAGCCTAGACGTTACTTCAATTTACCTGACTCCCTGGCTGTATGAGCTTGTATTTTTTCCCAAGTAGTGATTCATTCCAATTGTGGTAGGCAGTTGAAAGAAATCCATACATATACTGAAAATGGGCCCTCAAGTATCCTCAGTTATTCTCCCTGTCCTTTCTTGACATGATAGGAACTGCCATGGATAAAGTTGCGTCCTGCAATGTTCTGCCCTCTGCCCTAAAAGGGGTTGTCTCCGTTGGCCATCAGTCTCTTTTAGTTAAGCGTGATGGCAACTGTCAGGACCTGTCGGGTTCATCAAAACCTCGTGAACCCGGTTCATGAACCAAGAATTGAGCGGACCTAATACTGATTCAGAGATAATGATATGGTGGAGTCGGGTGAGTCCCCTGGCTGTTTTTCCATTCCTTTGTTTTATCCGGGTTAGGCCTTCACCTAGGATGCGGCCGAAGGTTGGGGTGTCCCAGGGCTGGCCCGTGGCTGACCAGAGTTTTTCGGCAAGATTCCAGACTTGGTTTTGTCCCGCGCACTGGCATTCAAGGAGGATGTGGCGAAGATCTTCTGTTGTCCCGCAAGATGTACATATCCCCCTGTCTGCGCACTCCGGTATGTGTTTCCAGAACGTGCCTATCCTGTGCGCATCATGTATTGCTTTCCAGAGGAAGTTTCTCACTTGGCATGAGAAGTCTCGTGATCGTATCGAGGTCCAGATTTGATTTGCCGTTGGCTGGGCTTGAGTGCCGCGTGGGCATTCTCTCGCTACTTCTTCTAGATTCCGTTGCGTTGCTGGCCTCACTACTGGTTTTTTCTGGGCTCGGATCATCGCGTATGCTGTCCTCTGTGTGAGGGTGGCTAGTTTCACTCCTTCCGCCAGGAGGTCTGGTCGGGTGGTTGCCAGGAGACGGGAGAGGGGTGGGGTTGCTGTTAGGTGTGCCTGTTTAGCGGCGGCTGTAGCTTTGGAGAGGAGGGTTTCCTCAGGTGAGTGCTTTTCTGGTGTCTTGAACGTGACCTTGCCTATTCGACCACGGATCTCAGCCACTAGTGGCCGAAGAACGTTTTTATTTGGTACGTCTATCCAGCCTGAGTCTTCCCATCTGCTTAGATTTTGGCTGACTCCTTGGATAGTGGTGTCGTCCTCTATTACTATCTTCACATCTGCAGTTCTCGGGATCCTCTTTAGCCCGGTGAGTACTGCTAGGGCTTCCCCTGCTGCCCTCGATGGCCCCAGCTCTTCGGGGGTCTGGAAGGTCGTGTTCCGTGTGTCATCAGGTCCGAACCACGCTGCGATGTTGTGTCCAAGTGTCGGTGCAACTTTGTGGGCTGCAATGAACATGGTTTCGTGTCTATTTGTTGGTTGCTGCCGGAGCGGGACGAGGGAGCTTGGGTGGGAGGTCGTTTTCACACATATTCTGAAACCATCTGTTTTGTTGACCGTTGGGGGGAGGTACAGCTGTTTGGTGCCGCGGCCCGCCTCTTCTTCTGTCTCGCGATCGGGCGAGCTTTCAGCCTCTTTGGGAATCCATCTTGTCCCGAGCTGGGCAATCCTCGATGGTACTGTCCTTGCGCATGCGTCGGGATTCTGGCAACCAAGGGTGTTGCGATCCCTTATACACTGGGGGCAGTCGCAGTCAGTGTTGACGGGGTCGGGTCTAGTACTAGACCTAGACCCCGGGGTCTTGGGTCGGGTCTAGGTCGGGTCTACCCACCGACGATTTTTGGCACGGTCTACTGGGGTCTTGTCCCAATTAGGCAGCTTAGTCATAAAACACTCATTTTTGCGCACGTCCAGCAACGCGCAAGTAAAAAACCACTTATGTCGCAAGGGACACCTGGGACTCATCGTGGAGTTGAGGGCTGGTACTGGGCCGCCTTTGAAAAAGGTCCCATGTTCAAGACAAACAAGACAAAACGTGAGGCGCGCTGCCTCGGGGAGCTTAAGCTCAAGCAGGCTGTGTTACGCACGGAGCAGGAGAAAAACATTCGATTGGGCAAGCTCCTTCCCGAACAGGCTCTTGGTGTAGAAGCACTTCGGAAAGCCGGTAAGTCCTCATGTTGATCTCTCAAGCTTCCAATGTACTTACGGAACTTGTAACCGAAGCAATTGATCAAACACTGGCTTTGTGTGGCAAACCGGGCATCCTGAAGAAGCACATCGAGAGATGCGAACACGTCGAAGCACGGTGGAAACTCAAGCTGAAGAAAGAGGCCCCCGACACGGACGACATCAACTGCGATGACGACGAGGATCTGCAGCAGTCTCCGACTGCAACGGGATCTGTCAGTGTCAAGCGCCAGGGCACGTTTGCGGTAACTCAGGAGCCCGCTCTGAAGCGCTTCAAGGGTGCGCATCAATCAGAATTCGATTCCGATATGGGCAAGCTTCTCACCGTCCTGAACGCGTCATACAATTCCGCCACGCATCCGTTCTTCAAGCACTTCTTTGCGCGGTGGACACCAGGAGTGAAGGTTCCGGGGCGAGAACGTCTGAAACGATTTGTTCGAGCAGGAATCACTCGATGGGGAACACATTCAATGTCGACGCGGCGACTACTTCAATTGCAACCGGCCCTCTTCGATCTCATCAACCATCGTCTCGAAGACCTCCGTTTTGCAGGGGGATCTGATGAAAAGTCGCTCGCTGCTGCAGATGAAGTAATCAGTCTCATAGATAGCGGTCGAACAGGATTGTTCTGGAGCGGAGTTCAACGGTAGGATCGTCCAAAACAGTTGCTCCAATTGTTACTCAAGTGCTACTAGGGTTGACCGCTATCTGCACCCACTAGCCATTGCGTCCAATGTGACCCAGAGTGCGAATACGCGACTTGACCATGTTCTCGTCACCCTCGCACTTCTTGATCACCAGTACCGCGTCGATCCCACCTTTGTTTACACCAGTGACAACGAAGCGATATCGAGCAGCCTGCGTAAACGATGGACGGCACTCAAGCGGGACCAAGACCTCTACATTCTTGCTGTCTTCCTCAATCCCTTCCTTCGAGGGCACTTCTTCAGCTCCAGTGTGCATTCACTGAGCCGAGGTGGCCTCTTCGGTGTTGTTCGCCGGGTGTATATGCGTCTGTTCAAGATCGAAGAACGGAAGGATGTCCCAAGGGAACTCTTCGCAGAGTATCTTGCTTACTACGATGGCGAACAGAGGTTTTCGGCAGATTCAATGACCCTGATTGAGTTTCGAGATGCATTTGGAAACGAGGTAAGCACTTACCTCAACGAGTTCTCGTGCTCACTTGGTCATACTAGGACACGGTTGCATTCATGCACTCCGTGTGGAATGGCCTGAAGAAAACGTTGCTGGCCCACATGGCATTACAAATCTTGGCAATGATCGCCAACTCCGGTGCTAACGAACGGGCATTCAGTGTCATGGGACGTACTTACAGCGACAAAACACGGAACCTACTTGATCCAGAACGCGCACACAAAAGCCTCATTGTTCGTCGCGGAATCAATGAGGCCCACCCATCCCACCTACAACGGAAGAAGCGGCACTCCGGGTATGAGGTCCTCCGTCTCGTGGTCGAGACAAACGACACAAAGGTTCTCGACAAGCCCGATAGTGATGACGAAGAGATGGAGATAGATCGGGAGAACGACAGGGATCTCCCACGAGACAGTGTGGAGCGGCTCATGCGCACACTGCAGTGCTTGCCAGATGACGGCGATGCTCTGGACGACGAGGTTCAGGAGGATGAGATTGCAGAGGCGGCCAGAAACCCGCGCGTGACCCTCCACTTCTCGACCCCAGAGCTCATCCCCCTCGAGAAAATCTTCGACCCAGCTATGTTCAACACCGAATCTCCTTGGGGAGGTTCACTGCAGTCGTACTGTTTGGACAGTACGCAGGAATTCGAGACGGAGATGGAAGCGTTAGACAAGCAAGCGCCCGGGGATCCCTTGACCGTAGTCGTGGAGACTGATTAGTAATGAATGTCGTCAAATTTGTCCCAATTGGGAAAATAAACAAACATGTACACACGAGCTAGACCTTACTAGACCCAAGGTCTTGGTCGGGTCTACTCACTGTTGGAAGACCCAAGACCCTGGACCTTGGGTCTAGACCCCGGGTCTCGTCAACACTGGTCGCAGTGGGTACTCTTCTGGTGGGTTTCATCTTGGAGGCGTTCTGCTACTTGTATAGCGGATTTGATATCTCGCACCCCATGGTTTCGGCGCAAGCACCTGCAGCGTGCTGAGTTGTTACATTGGGCCTGAGTTGCATCTTCGCCCTTGTGGTGGAAGAGGGGCATCTCTCTGAGGAGAGTTTGTGTCGGTTGGACCGGTGCAAAGCTTAGGTTGTATTTCTTCGCGACTCGGAGCATCTCCTGTAGTTCTGCCGTTAGGTTCTTACGTTTCGGGGTCCATGTTTGTAGAAATAGGTTGTCGAAGGACTCGATATCCATCCTGGATGTTTTGGTTACTGCTTGCTCAAGTCTGCTATCTGCAAAATGTCCCCAGTCTGCTCGGGTCTTGGGGTTGAGGTCTAGGAAGGACTGAAGTTTGAGGACGGTGAGGGCATCGTTTCTCGCTTCGAGGTCCAATAGGTTTTTCCCTCCATGATTGACCGGTTGGGACAGGACCGCTCTCTGGACTGGGGAGGATTTTGCCCCGCCCCATATAAATTCTCTCTGGGCCCGGAGGAAGTGTTTTGTTATTGCTGCAGGCATACCATTTACCATAGCGAGGTATTGGGTCATTGAGCCCGTAATGATTTGATCTATATGTCTTCTAGCCTCTAACGTGGGGAATAGCTTCTCCCATCGTTCTTGGGCGGCATCGGTTTTCTCGATTGTTGGGGTCCATAGGGCAAAAGATTCTACATTGTTTCCAATGTAGCCTCCTAGGATTCTCACGGCTTCTCCATCTCTGGCTATATGTGCCTGGTCTATCTTGTCTGAGCTATCGGCAAGAGTTTGTGTCACAACGAGGTGCTCCCGAAATTCTGGGGTCCCGAGCGGGATGATTTCCGTTTTTTCCGAGTTGAACTTGGCACTCGAGGCAGCGCACCACTTGTCAAGAATATATTTTAGGTCTTTGAATTTATCTTCAGCTGAGAGGTATACTGTCGTGTCGTCAGCAAACATTTTTATTATAATACTCCTGTCTGCTCTGGGCACCTTTATGCCTATTAATTTCGAGTTCTGGATTAGATCAGCTAGGGGCTCTATTGCCAGGTTAAAAAGAAGGCAGGAGAGTGGGTCGCCTTGCCGTACTCCCCTCGTGATGCCATACGGGGAGCTCATTTCCCCGTTGATGACCACCACTGTTTCCGCTCCTGTGTAGAGGGCTTTAATAGTGGCTATAAATTTCGCTGGAATGCCTTGTTTTTCCAGGGTTCTCCATAGGTAGCGGTGATTTGTTTTGTCATAAGCTTTTTCTTGGTCAAGAGCAACTATTGCTCCATTCATCATCTGCTCCTCTGAGTACTCCACTATTTGTTGGGCCAGGAAGATTTGGTCTTGTATTTTCCTGCCCTTCATGAAGCCCGCTTGGTCACAGTTTACCAGGTCCGGCGCTACCAGGGCTAGCTTATTTGACAAGGCTTTTGTGAACAGTTTGTAGTCTGTATTTAGTACCGTGATAGGTCTGTAGTTTGCGATATCTTCCTTATCTTTCTTCTTCCAGATGGGGCACATCCAGCCCAATGAGAAATTTGATATCGCATCAACCCCTTTCTGTTCGATGTCATTAAAGATGGACGCTAGGAGTTTGGTGATGTTTACAGCTCTCTTCTGTTGATCTGGGCCTAGCGCCGCATTTTGCTTAGTCACTTCCAGGTGGATCTGGTGGAGGCGTCTCCACAGCTCATATGGGATGCCATCCATTCCGCTAGCTGTGCCTGTGGCCGCTTGTTTCAGGGCTAGTGTGACATCTTCTGATGTGAGTTGTTTTTGCAGCTCTTCGATGTTGTCTGGGTTTCCTCTTGCCTCTGTGAATTCAAGCGCTATCTCTATGTCACGGTCTTTTGTGGTGAGATCTTGTTCTGAGGGGTCTCGCTGGAGGTCTTGGTGGTAGTCCCTGGCAAGCTCTGCCATATCTCTGGAGCGTCTCGCCTCCCTGGGGGGGCAGACATCTGTACGGCATAGCCGGGTGATTGTGTCTCGGGGTGTCTTATCCTTACTGATTGCTACCGTGAATTTAGTTATGTGGTCCAGTTCTGTGAAGCATCTTGCTCTTGTCTCGGTTCTCCGTTGTTCTCTCTGTACATCTGATATTTTGTCGATCTCTCCTTGGATCGTGCAGATCCTTGCTGCTGCCTCAGCTTCTGTGTATGTCTGCAGGTCCGGCAGTTCAGCTCGATCTGGGTTGTTTGGGCTATGGGTAGCTTCAAGTATTTGGGCTCTACTTGTCTTGAGCATCTTTTTCTTCTCTCGTGAAGCACCTATTGCCTCTTTGGCTCGGGTTTGAGCATAGTTGCGGATTTTTGTCTTGAGGCTCGACCATTCGGCCTGGAGGTTTAGGGTGGGGTTGTCTGCATGCCTGTCTTCGAGACTAGCCATCTCGGACTGGACAAAGTCCATAAACTTTTTCTCTCGCAGCAGGAACAGTGGTACGGAATATCTGCCCTTGCCTATCGTGGGTGAGCCGGGCGCCGTTATGGTGACCGATACCATTCTGTGGTCGGAGAGTTTCCCGGTGCAGTCATCGATTGACCACTTCTGAGATCTCCTGAGTTGGGCATTGGAGACGTATATCCTGTCGATTCTAGAGTGGGTGTCCCTCCCACTTGTGTACGTGAAATCTTTTACATTCAGGTTTTCCCCTCGCCATCCATCAACTAGTCCGACAAGTCTTTTAAAGCGGCGGAGTGCAGCGGTGGTACGGGGTGCGTCTTCTCTACTAGGGAGTCTATCTAAGGGTTCCTCTACCATGTTCATGTCGCCTCCCATTAGGTCTGGCACGGGTAGGTCTTGGGTGAGCCAGCAGTCAGATAGGGTGTCCCAGAAGTTTTCGTTTGCCTGCATGGATTCTGCTGGTGCATAGACGCCGAGAATGGTGAGTGTTCGGTCGCTGTGCCAGGGTAGCGTGGCTAGGACTGCTCTGCCTGGGATCAGCTGTATTATTTTAACCCTTTGCGTGTTGGTGATTTCTCGGTTTAGCACGATTGCGATGCCTTTGGTGCTGGGGTCGTCTGGATCTGGTGAGTTGTGTATTGTTAGGCGTTTCCCAATATGGCTGTCCTGAATTTCTTTCGTTTGGTCTGCTGACAGATGGGTCTCTGAGACAATCAGGACTCCTATCTTCTCGTCAAACATCATGCGGTGTAGTGTGTGCCACTTGTGCGCTGGGTGGGAAATTGATGGTTTCTTGCGTCCGTTAACGTTCAGTGCCGAGACTCTTAGCTCTGAACGTGTGTTGCGTTTTATCTTTGGGTTCCCAGTTTGTTGTTTCTCGCGCTTTCTGTTCAGGAAAACTGGTGCCCCTTCTTCGTCTGGGGGTATCCGCGTTTGCACTCGGACTTGTTCTGGTCCCTGGCTGGGCCGGGGTTGTCTGATGTTTGGAGTCCTCTCTGTGGACTGGGAGCGGGTAGCTTGTGTGGCAGAGTTTACGCGCCTTGGGGTGTCAAGGCTCCTAGGGCACTGGCCATCTGCGGAGCCTCTTGCTTGTCTCGCAGCGCGTGCGCTTTCTGCTGCGCTTCCACCTCCGTGATCCCTGGGCCCTTCATCGGGGACGCAGCCGGTGGTTTGGACTGTCGCCTCTCTGGGTCCAGAGATGCTTTGATCCGTTCTACCGAATTGCTCACCGTTTATTGGGGGGGTTAGAGGTCTGTTTGCCGTTGATTTTACGGGTTCCTGGGACTCAACTAGATCTTCCAGGCCGGGCAGAGCTCACCGGCTGCCGCGGGGGGCCTGCAGGAACAAGAGAAGGCGGCTGCGACTGGCCGCATCCACTTCCTCTCGTTGATACTTGAGCCTCTCGGCACGGGTGGCCCTGACTTGGTGCGTCACCGTTTTGTGTGGTTTCCCCTCCTTTGACTTTCCCGTCCCGCAAGCGGTCGGTATATTTGGGTCTAGAGGAGGCAGACTTCGAGGGCGCTTTCCTGGTTCTTGTGCCTTTATTTGTGCTCGCCCCACACGTCCAGTCGCGGGGGATTCGCGCATCAAAAAGTCTGTCTTTGTTGGTCATTTACACATTTGGAATTCATAGCTTTGGGGTTGTGAGTGGCAGGTGGATTTGGATTTGGATTTGATGCGTAGAGGAGATGTACTAGTTGTCTAGAGCTTGGATACTTGTACGAAAGTTGTGCGTATACTAGAACTCGTAGTGGTCTCGGAGATCGCGGTCGCGGCGATTCTGTTTCCCACCTCTACCTCGGCTGTCACGGCCACGCCCTCGGTTGTTTGGTCTCCCTCCTCGGCCTCTGGCCCTGTCCGCAGTGTCGCGGCGGCTGTGGAGGTGCGGCGGGAGGTTGTCGTTGTGGTGGTTTCTGCCGCTTGTTTGGCCTGTGGCGTCGTTCCCGTTTCGGCGCCCGTAGAGGTCGTTTCTCATCCGGGAGGTTGCTTTCCACGAGTAGTCAATGAAAGCTGCGATGGTCTTACTTGTCGGTCCCGGCCAGCCCGCGTTGTTTGGGAGTTGGCAGAGTCCAGTCGGGTGGTCGGTGCCGTAGCAGATTTGGCAGTTCCAGCCGGTTTCCGCTATGTAGATTTGCCCATCAATCTCGTGATTGAAAATGAGCTGCCGGCTGGGGTTAGCCTGTAGTCGTGGTAGTTTGGGTGCTGTCCTTACTTGTTTGACCTTTCCATGGACATGCTTCCATCCCTCGTAGCTCTGGGTCGTCGGCGTACAGTAGATATTCCAGTAGACCCGGTCCAGGCCTCCCTTGTCGCGGACGGTGATGTGTTGGGCGCAGAGCGATGCCTTGACTTCTTCAAGGATCTCGTCGATAGGTACTTCCATGTTGTAGGCTTCGCGGTTCTTGTCGACGCAGATCTTGACCTCCGGATGGTCGAAGAGAGCTCGGCGCAGAAAGGTGAGGAGAGCCGCCTCCCCTTCGCCCGTTGGTGGGAAGGAGTCCAGGTTCGTCATTGCCCCGAGGTATCCCGATATGGGGGGGTTGAAGTCGTAGGTGAAAAGGGTGATGTGCTCGTTCGCGAGGATAGCGTCGTCTACCACTTCGTATGCGACCTCGCCTGGGATGTTGGCCACGAGCCAGGCGGTGGGTTCGGCGTGGGTGCGGTTGCAGTTGGGGTCGGCTATGATGATGGAGTCGGGCGCGACGTTGCAGCAGCCCGCCAGAAGCTCTCGCATGAGTTTCTTCGTCCGGAGTCTGTCGCCGTTACCTCCCGATACTCGGACGTAGAATTTGTATCTGTCCCCTACATCGATCCCTGAGAAGTTCTGTTTGCGTTCCTCGCTCAGGTGTGCGGTGAGTGACTCGATGTTGAGCCCGGCGAGGACTCCTTGGCCCCCAGGTGTTGTGAAGAAGACACCACGGGGGGGCTCACTGTCGGCGGTGGTGTAGTGGGGTTTCTCTGGCTCGGTCTCAGCTGGCTGCGGTTCGGTGGATGGGTCACGTGAGACGGAGAAATCAGATGTGGTTCCCGAGGGGCGTGGTGTGTAGTCTCCGGCAGAGTTGGACCGTGCTCGTTTGGGACTGGGAGATTCGCCGGCGGCGTTTTCTCCTTCCGTGCGGGATGGGGCAGTCATGAGGCTGGCCAGGGGGACGGGCTCTACTCTGGCGGGGAGGGGGAGTTCGTTATCGCTGGCCGGGGGGGTTTCGGCTCTTGTTGCGGCTGTCTCGTCTGTCAGTAGGCGGCTGTGAGGTTTGGTCTGGGGCGTACCGGGGCTAGTTTTCCCTTTGCTCTTCTTCTTCTGCACCACTGGTGTCCAGTTTCCCTCGGCGTCGTTCATGGGGTCTCTGCCCGGGGAAGGGAGGGGGGGGAAGTCTTCTCTCTCTAGATCGCGACCGTGCTGGGTAGGTGACGTGTCGGTTGGGGTTGGCTGGGGCAGGGGGCCAGCTGCGGGTGGGCGTTCGGCAGCTACGTCGGGGCCCACGGTGGCTGGGGTTTGAGGCTCGTTTGCGGGGAGTTCGGCGGGGGTGGTGGCTGGAGTCTCGGCAACAGCAGGGGCCGGGTCGGCGTGCTCGGCGTGGGTAGTGCTGGCGTTTGGCGGATCGGGTACTCCTGCGTGGTTCGCCTCCTTGGGTTCTTCGATCTCCGCAATGGGGGCGTGGATCGAGTCGCGGACTGTTTCTATGCGGCGTGCCGAGCATCGTGTGGTGGGTGGGGTAAGGGAGCGCTCCTTTCCGGTACGGGATGAGGCGCTCGAGCGGCGAGTGGTAGTCATTGTTGGTTTGTGCAACGGGTGTGGGCTCGGGGTGGGGCTTGGGAGATTTGTGGGGGGGAGCCATGCTTTTTCGCGAGCTTATAGCGCGCTTCGTCCTTTGCGGCTCGTTCTTTGTTTCTTTCATGGCGGCGCCAATTCCTCTTTGTTGTGTGGAGGTTCCATTGTCGTTTCATATCCGGAGGGATCTTGTGCCCACGAGTTTTGTTCTCGTCGCCTCGTGGCCCCGTTATGTTTGTGGTGTGGGTAATGTTGGGTGACGTGGCAGCATCACGCAGGTGGAGGGCTGTGCTGATGGTGCCTTTCGTTGCTCGGTGGCAGGCAGAGGTGGAAGGGCATGGGCGGGTTCTACGTGTTATACGGGGCCGTTGGGCTCATTTTCGTAGCGTGTATAGGGTACACAGGGAGGAGTATGGGTATCTAAATGTTCGTTTCTAGGGCGGACCTCAGGTCTTACGCCCTGTAGCGACGTTCCCCGTCCTACTCTCGTAGGTGGCGTGACCATTACATGATGGTTCAGGACAAGGGGCCTCCTTCTATGCTCTTTTCAATGCAGAAGAAACCCAAGCAATGATGGTATCAGATCACATGCACCTGATCATGTGATCTGACACTGCCACTTCTGATACATATATAAGACTGCCCTTATCAATCTTTCCTGATCCTCTTCTTGCTCTTATCCACAACAGTCTCTTCTAGTTGTCTGTCTTTGTCACAGCCTCTTCTGGTCAGCTGGCCTACTGGTGGCTATCTGCTTCACTTATCTTATCCTCCTGTCATCTGACTGTATAGTTGTTTCTTGTGACCTGACTTTGCTATGTGAGTGATGCCATCAACTATACAGTTGATCAGTTGATTAACTGATCATCAGCTTGTCTTTGATATTCTCAGCTACTATCAACATGAACCCCAGAGAATAGGTGTGTGATATGTCACACATTATCCTATATACTTTTCTGACTCAATTTTTTTTGCCCTTTTTTTTTGGTAGTGCTCTCTGTTTTGTCTCTGGCCTGCTTGTTCCTCTGCTCTTCCTTGTTCTGTCTCTCTGCCTTTTTTCTTTTGCTGCTTTCTTATTGCTCTCTTGTTTCACTAACACTGGATTTTCACCAGACTATGTTGTCAACTCTCATAGCTCAGGGCCTTCTTATTTTTCTGTTTTTCCCACTTGCTCTTGATCTTGGCAGTCTCTGAATTCTCACACCATCACAGCTACAGCTGTCATCTTGGTGAGGCAACATCATTGACATTGATCCATCATAACCAAATACTCCAATCAATTTATCAATGCATCTGTGACATCTTGCTATATTTGATGGATTGATTGAAGTGTTTGGTTCTGATGGATGTCTTTGGCTCTGATAATGTTCACTTACCAAAGATGATAGCTGTGGCTGTGAGGGTGTGAGAATTCAGAGACTGCTGAGATCAAGAGCAAGTGAGCGAACAAGAAAAGAAAGTCCTGCTAAGCCTGCTAGACTTACACATTATGTCACATTACAGTCATTTACTAGTCCTTGATACAGTTAAACTGTTTTTATGTAGCTTTTACCACTGAGTGCAGATCATCTCTAATTCTTTCTCATATTCTTAGTTATATTGAAAGTACATGCCCAGGAAGTTTTAGCTTTTGTTCTGTAACAAGAGTCTATGGAACCATGGACTTGTTTGCTGTAAGTCCTTGAGACAATTGTCCAAGGAAACTGATTGGTTGGGTGGCAGCATTATTACAGAATGGACAGAAGCAATGGGATTGGGGTGGGCAAGTTCAGAGACTGTGTAAGGGCAACCTCGAGGCCCAATCTCAGAGTCCTGACAAGGGAGAGTCCAAAGCATTGGATAAGGGGATCAACTAATACAGGAGACTTGGCAAACCTGACAAGAGAGAGTCCAAAGAGAAACCGAGTTGGGGACTCTCCTTGTTAGGGCCCACTATATATAGCCTAAAGAACAATGAATGACCAAGCACAATGGGAAGCACCAGACAATGGGGCCAGGGAACAATGAGGGGCCGAATTGGGAAGAACAATGGGAGCCTGACCATTGAAACAATAAGGGCCCAGGCCTGAGGGTCATGTGGACATGCTTGGCAGGGGAGTCCGGACTGAAGCATGTGACATTTGACAGATGGCACATGCACAGTCACATGCAAGATCCCATGATGATCAGACAAAAGTGGGGATTTCCCTGACACCACATATGAATTGCATTATACCCGTTGCTGACCAGCAGGGGTCTGATTTGATCCATGGAGATAATTTTCCATGGCATGTTGATAGGCTGGCTACCAGGCATGCTCTGCACCAACTCTATAAGGGCGTATTTTTGCGCTTTTACAGAGTTTACTCTTGAACCATTTGGTGTATCATGTCGCAGGTGCCAGTATTGTGCTCAGTAGGACTCAAGGGTTTGCTGCCCAGTCGACGACCATGGATAGTGTTGACAATGGCAAGGCAGTCAGACTACTACTATGGAATTGGTCTTATAAGTCTATACCAGACTCAGGGCTAGTAGCAATGGACACTCATATTGCGCAATTCCTCAAAAAGGGATATTCTTGTCGCGGCAACTCCTTGAAAGGGTCATTCTCTGCAGATGGGAGCTTATGCTGGAGGGCTTAGCAATGCATGATGTGCTCAATATAACAACTACCACTAGACAGGACTTGGCGTTACAAGATTGAACCAATCTTGTTGCACCAACTCCCAGCTTTTTCTACTACAACCCATGACCAGCGTTCCATGCGGTACATAGTCTTATGATTCATTAGTCGTAGATATGACTCAGACTGGATTTGGGTATAAATACTGTAGCTACTTGGTTGTATTCTCCAGTCTTCGAATTCACTTCTCTTTTCGACTTTGGTTTTGGGTTGATTGTCACACACTTGCCAAGACATACTAACTGGCCAATCCAACACTTTGTATTCCAAAAGTATGATGTGGTGGGTTGCTATGCATCAAAACCACTATATAGGCAATAGGGTGGGGTCCTGATCAGTCAAGACCTGTCTGATCATTCAACTTTCAATTACCATAAAAAGCAACTTGTCATAGCTCGGCCACTTCTTCATCTTATCATCGACGATCTTATCTTGGCACGACTTATCTTATCACGGATCACGGCATCGGATGGTCCGGACTAGGGGTTCCAGGGATTATCTTCATCGATTCGAGGCTGCGCGACATATGCTCCGGAAGGTTCTAGTACAACCCATGACCAGCGTTCCATGCGGTACATAGTCTTATGACTCATTAGTTGTAGATATGACTCAGACTGGATTTGGGTATAAATACTGTAGCTACCTGGTTGTATTCTCCAGTCTTCGAATTCACTTCTCTTTTCGACTTGTTTCTGGGTTGATTGTCACATAATTCGAAGACTCCCCTCATACCCTCCTACCTCATACCTCTTACCCTGCATCTTGCACCGCTACGCCCGCTATATCCTCTTAACCCTTATCACCCCACTCACCCTTTTACCGAATCATCTAGTCGTCCTCCACTATCGCAGTGAAGGGTTCATATCAAGCAAACAGCACCAGGCCACGGGTAACGTTGAGCCCGACCCAAGCCTTACGGTAGCTACAAGGAGTGCTGCGGAGACCTTCGGGAAAACGCACCTCGGGATCATCGGGCACGTGAAGAGCTAGGCCCGGGATCCTTTTGCTAGCAAAAGAACCCTCCCTCGAGTGCTTGTACAGCACACGATTCCACCATTTCGTACCGATTCCCATCGTCGTCTGGGAGTCCATCCCCTCCCCCCATCGTACCATCGTCGCCCGATCTGGCGCATCAAAACCAACCCGGGCCCTCCGACCCCTACCTCGCCCTCCCACCGCCTGAAGACGAGATCCCCGACCTCGACGAACTGCCCTCCGAACAACCACCCTCGCCTCCACCTCACACGCCTGCCCCTACCATGTCAGGGCATCACCGCATCACCCTCGCCGCCAACCCCCCCTACTTCGATGGCGACAAGTCCAAATACCTGGGCTTTGTGGACGCGTGCACCACTTACATCGGTGCCTATCGATCGGAGTTCTCACAAGATGAGACCAAAATCCTCTTTGTCCTCTCCTACCTCCGTAACGAGAACGGCACGAGCTGCGCTGCCTCGAGATGGGCGATGAACTGGAAGCAGCACAACTTCGATGGCTTCCAGGGACTGAAGGCAGGAGTCACATCAAAGAACTTCCTGGAGGAGTTTCAGAGGGCGTTCGGGGACTCCAATGCGGAACAAGTCGCCGCTGCTCGGCTTATGGCCCTGCGTCAAAACAAACGGTCCTTCGCGGACTACATCTCCGACTTTGAGATGTTGGCCGCGGATGCAGGCTACAATGTGGTTGACACCACCGACGACAAAGGCGAATACAAGAAGGGGGACCAGGATAATATCCTCATCGAGTTCCTGGAGCGCGGACTCAGCAGCGAGATCGCCAGCCGTCTCTACAACACCGGTGTCCCTCTGCCCAAGGCCTATGGAGCGTTCAAAGCCTGGTGCATCAACATCGAAGCCAATGCTCTGCGTGACCAGCTGCGCAAAGCGTCGTATGGACACCCCACACAACGACCACCTCCCCAGTTCCGTCCCCAAACGGCACCAGTGGCGCCCACACCCGCTCCGGCCCGACCCGCTGCCAACGAACCGGTTCCGATGGAAATCGATCGTACCCATGCCCGCGGCCGCAATATCATCTGCTACAACTGTCAGCAGCCCGGGCACATTGCGCGGAACTGCCCGGAGCCCAAGAAGAAGCGCACGTTCTTCAATCGGGCCACAATGCTGGAAGAAATCGAGAACGGGGACAAGGACAACGAGTTCCTGAAGGAGATTGCCGAGAAGCTGCGCGAGAAGGGTTTTTGAAGCGCTCCACTCCTCTAGCCAAGGAGGTGGAGCGTCCGGACTATGGACGATTTTCTGTACTTGTTTCGATTAAAGATACGGACAATATTTCATCTACATACACGATCTCAGACTCACTACGTACAAATATTCACGATTTTCTTATTGCCGAGATGGAAAAAGAACGCCAGGAAAAGATAGCTCTAAATAGAAAATACTTACAAGATAAAAAAGATCAGAAAGCTGCAGATAAATTATTTTTGGACTCCTACGTATTTATGGCTCGTGGAGAAGGAACCACGTCAACAAAGACCGAAAAGGGGAGCATCGCTCCGAAGGCTCGATCCTTGGAAAAGGAGGAAGCGCCCAAGGAATCTGCCAAAATCGAGGTTCCAGAAGCACCCAAACGCACCAGGGTGCCAGATGCCATCCAGAGGAAATTGGCGGCCGAGAAACAGAAGGGCCCCCAGCCCAGCAGATTGGCGCAGGAATTGCGCAGTTACCAAGCCGAAAGAAAGAGGCATTCGATGGACGTATATGTCCAGATCACGGGCCTGGACTCAGGGAAAACGCGTGGAGTCAAGGCGCTGCTCGATAGTGGCTGCAGTACCTGCTGCATCGACACCGACTACGCACGGGCAGAAAAGCTGGATATCCAAGAGCTTCCGCAACCCATTGTGGCTCGTAACGCCGACAACACCGAGAACATCAGCGGTCGGATCACGCACTACGTCGACTTGAGAATGAGAATCGGTCCTCATGTGGAGACACGCACGTTCCTTCTGACGTGTCTGGGAAAAGCCCGGATCTTCATCGGCCTGGATTGGCTGACGGAACACAACCCCGAGGTGGATTGGCAGGAGCAGACAATGAGATTCAGCCGATGCCCAGAGCAATGTCAAATGAGGGGTCACGAGGAGCACCAAGCGATGATCGACATGGATGCAATTGACCTGGACGCGGGTGCACCGGATCTGGAAGAGGGAGAATCATCTTGTTGATCGACTTTGGAAAGGAGGTAGACCTACGGCTGAAGGAAACGCCGGCGCAGAAATTCGCAGAAGAAGCGGAAAAGGAGAAGGAGAGAATGACCGAGGGAAAGATTCCAGATCAATACCGAGAATTCGTCAAAGTATTCGCCAAGGAATCATTCGACTCGCTACCGGACCGACGGGCATGGGATCATGCGATCGAGCTCAAACCAGGCTCCAAAGCAGTGGACTGCAAGGTGTACCCCTTATCGAGAAACGAGCAGGTCAAACTCGACGAGTTCTTACAAGAGAACCTAGCCAGCGGACGGATCAGGCCATCAAAATCACCCATGGCATCGGCATTCTTCTTTGTCAAGAAGAAGGATGGCTCGCTACGGCCTGTTCAAGATTACCGGAAGCTGAATGAGATGACGATCCGAAATCGGTACCCGCTACCGCTAATTTCCGAACTGGTCCACAACCTGTGCGGCGCCAAGTTCTTCACCAAGCTAGACATCCGGTGGGGATATAACAATGTACGGATCAAAGAGGGCGACGAATGGAAGGCTGCATTCCGCACGAACCGAGGGCTGTACGAGCCCTTAGTTATGTTCTTTGGTCTCACGAATTCTCCGGCAACGTTCCAAAACATGATGAACGACATACTCCGGGAACTGATCAACGAGGGACATGTGGTAGTTTATCTGGACGACATACTAATCTTCACAGAAAATCTGGATGAACATCGACGAATCACCAAACGGGTACTTGAGTTGCTCCAAAAGCACAAATTATACCTGAAGCCGGAAAAGTGCGAGTTCGAACGCACGGAAATCGAATACCTGGGTGTAATCATTGGACACAACTTGATGCGGATGGACCCTGTCAAGATCAAGGGCGTGATGGAATGGCCGGAACCAAAGAGCGTCAAACAAGTCCAAGCCTTCCTCGGATTCACAAACTTCTATCGACGTTTTGTTCGGGGGTATGCGGAGGTCGCCAAGCCGTTGACGCGGCTGACAGGGAAGGCAGGATGGTCATGGGGTCCGGATGAACATGCGGCGTTTGATGGGTTAAAGAAGAGAATCGCGGAGGATGCCGTCTTAGCACTGCCAAATGACACCGGCCAATATCGTCTGGAAGCCGATGCTTCGGAAGGGGCAACAGGATCTGTTTTGAGCCAAAACCAAGACGGCATTTGGCGCCCAATTGCATTTATTTCGCATGCATTAACGGAAACCGAGCGAAATTACGAGATCTACGACAAGGAAATGCTTGCAATCATGTTATCGCTCGACGAATGGAGGCAGCTACTCTTGGGGGCCACAGAAACGTTTGAGATTTTCACTGATCATCAGAACCTCGAATACTTCCGGAAGCCACAAAAGCTCAACCGACGACAAGCACGATGGATCACAGAATTAGCAGAATTCGATTTCACCTTACGACACCGGCCCGGCGCACTCAACCGCAAGGCGGATCTCTTATCTCGACGAGCGGATCACGATCAGGGCAAGAACGACAACAAGGATATCACTCTGCTGAAACCCGAATTCTTCCGGTCACAAGAAGTCACATTCGAGGGGCAAGATCAGCAGCTAATCGATGAGATCAAGGCTACTCGATCAATTGATGGAAGCGTCAAAGCGGCCTTGGAGAAGTCACTCGTCGGATGGAAAAAGGAAGATGGGCTCATCACGTATCATGGGAAGCTCTACGTGCCGAGGAATGAGGAGCTACGAGACAAGATCATCGGACTACACCACGACACACCTTTGGTCGGACACGCTGGGATCAACCGAACGCAGGAGATGGTGGAAAGGAACTACTGGTGGCCAAGGATGGGAAACCAAATTCGGAAATACATCCAGACGTGCGAGGCGTGCCAGCGGACCAAGACCAGAAGAGCCAGGACAGGGAGTTTGCACCCGCATGCAGTTCCAAACGCGCCGTGGGAAATCATCTCCATGGATCAGATCGGACCCCTGCCGGTCAGTAACGGGTATGACGCAATTCATGTGTGGTGTGACACCTTCACCAAAATGATCCATGTCGAACCAATTAGTACTGACATCAGCAGCGAAGGAGTAGCACGGTTAACCAGGGACCGAATCTTCCGCTATCACGGGGTCCCCCGCAAAATCATCACCGACAGGGACTCTCGATACATCAAGGGCTTTATGAAGGAAACGAATCGGATGTTGGGCGTGGAAATGAATCCGGGGACCGCATATCACCCCATCACAGATGGGCAGACGGAGCGTATGAATCAGGAGATCGAACACTATCTCCGCATTTACGTCAACTACCATCAGACGGACTGGTCGGAGTGGCTGGGAATGGCGGAGTTCGCATACAACGACAAAATGAACACGTCTACCAAAATGTCGCCGTTCTATGCTAATCACGGATACCACCCATGGAAGGGAGTGGAGCAGCGGATGGAATCAAGGAACGAGTCGGCGGAGGAATTTGTAAAAAGAATCAGAGAAATACAAGACGAAGCAAAAGCAGCATTGGAAAAAGCAAAAGAAAAAATGAAAAAATACTACGATAAACAAAGAAAAGAAGTTCCGGAGTTGAAGGTGGGGATGAAGGTGTACATAGAGGGGGACAATATCGAGACGGACAGACCTTCGAAGAAGATGAGCGACAAGAGATTGGGGCCATACGAGATACTGGAGAAGGTTGGAGCGGCTGCATGGAAGCTGAATTTGCCGGACACGGACCGAAGACACCCGGTGTTCAACGAGTCACTGTTGACACCCTATCACGAACCACCCCCCCATCGCCGAGAGAAGAGACCCGTGGCCAAGATGATCGGAGGAGCAGAGGAGTGGGAAGTCGAAGAAATCGTGAAAGAGCGAAAAGTCGGCCGAGGAAAACAGTACTTGGTCAAATGGAAGGGATGGCCGCACAGCGAGAACACCTGGGAACCATCACGTCACCTTACCCACGCGAAGAACGTCCTGAGAGACTGGCAGAGGAAACAATCAAATCCAGACACACGCATTCGCCTCCTGCCAACGCTCGAAGCTGGACACTGGGACTATCTCATTCATCGCTACAAGCCCAGGGACGAGCGCCTTCCATATCCCCAACGACAGCTCTTCGACCCTTACGAGAACGTCTTCTTACCCATTGGCCTAGTCGATGAGGACATCGACCCTAGAGAGGGGGTAATGTCATAGCTCGGCCACTTCTTCATCTTATCATCGACGATCTTATCTTGGCACGACTTATCTTATCACGGATCACGGCATCGGATGGTCCGGACTAGGGGTTCCAGGGATTATCTTCATCGATTCGAGGCTGCGCGACATATGCTCCGGAAGGTTCTAGTACAACCCATGACCAGCGTTCCATGCGGTACATAGTCTTATGACTCATTAGTTGTAGATATGACTCAGACTGGATTTGGGTATAAATACTGTAGCTACCTGGTTGTATTCTCCAGTCTTCGAATTCACTTCTCTTTTCGACTTGTTTCTGGGTTGATTGTCACACAACTGATCCCAGATAGCATAGCTACTATGCAGCTGTACAGGACTTTGCTAAGCACTAGCGTACAGAATTAGAGATGATCTGCACTCAGTGGTAAAAGCTACATAAAAACAGTTTAACTGTATCAAGGACTAGTAAATGACTGTAATGTGACATAATGTGTAAGTCTAGCAGGCTTAGCAGGACTTTCTTTTCTTGTTCGCTCACTTGCTCTTGATCTCAGCAGTCTCTGAATTCTCACACCCTCACAGCCACAGCTATCATCTTTGGTAAGTGAACATTATCAGAGCCAAAGACATCCATCAGAACCAAACACTTCAATCAATCCATCAAATATAGCAAGATGTCACAGATGCATTGATAAATTGATTGGAGTATTTGGTTATGATGGATCAATGTCAATGATGTTGCCTCACCAAGATGACAGCTGTAGCTGTGATGGTGTGAGAATTCAGAGACTGCTAAGATCAAGAGCAAGTGGGAAAAATAAGAAGGCCCTGAGCTATCAGAGTTGACAACATAGTCTGGTAAAAATCCAGTGTTAGTGAAACAAGAGAGCAATAAGAAAGCAGCAAAAGAAAAAAGGCAGAGAGACAGAACAAGGAAGAGCAGAGGAACAAGCAGGCCAGAGACAAAACAGAGAGCACTACCAAAAAAAAAGGGCAAAAAAATTGAGTCAGAAAAGTATATAGGATAATGTGTGACATATCACACACCTATTCTCTGGGGTTTATGCTCATAGTAGCTGAGAATATCAAAGACAAGCTGATGATCAGTTAATCAACTGATCAACTGTATAGTTGATGGCATCACTCACATAGCAAAGTCAGGTCACAAGAAACAACTATACAGTCAGATGACAGGAGGATAAGATAAGTGAAGCAGATAGCCACCAGTAGGCCAGCTGACCAGAAGAGGCTGTGACAAAGACAGACAACTAGAAGAGACTGTTGTGGATAAGAGCAAGAAGAGGATCAGGAAAGATTGATAAGGGCAGTCTTATATATGTATCAGAAGTGGCAGTGTCAGATCACATGATCAGGTGCATATGATCTGATACCATCATTGCTCGGGTCTCTTCTGCATTGAAAAGAGCATAGAAACACTCCCAAGAAACTTTCAATCCAGAGCCTTTGTTTCTGATCCTGGTTTGCAACAGGTGCCGGCAACCTTGTTTGGCTTATATTTCAGTAGCTGCCACTCCAGTGGCTGTGCAACCACTTCCATACACTTTCCGTCGGCTAACAGTAGACAATCAGAAAGAGAAATCCTTTGCCGGAGAAATGTGTAACATCTTGGAATATGTTTCATGGATGATACGTGACTATCCGAATAGTGCAAACAGAGGACATGGGTGTGATCAAACGCACATCATCCAACGACCAGACTCTCTGGCGGGCCTAGATAACTCGACTTGACCCCTCCAGTATCCACTACGATCTTCTGGACCACCACAGCCGGCTCGATCATGAACAACTGCGCGCGTATCGTCACATGAACCTCACGCCCCACCGGACAGACACGCACCTTGAGCGTATGCGCACCAGGCTGCGCAGCAAACACGTTCCTCGTCTGGATGATCTCCGCAGCGACGAATCCGTTCCACTGCGCAGGCTCCAACCCGGGGGCCGCCGACGGGAAGAAGTAGTTGCTCTGCGCCGGCGCGTCGTCGAGCTGCACCGCGAAGCCCAGCGGGCGGTCCGCTCCCAGTGCGTTGCCCGACGGCGACAGGTAGGTGACGACAGTCACGTTCGCGCCGCCGCTGAACGTGTAAAAGTCGTACTCCAGCGACGGCCCTGCGCCGGCGGTGAAGTTGTTCTCGTTGTTGCCGAGTCGCGGGAAGGGCGTCACGCCCGAGAGCGTCTTGCCGAGCCCGGGCAGCGTGCGCCAGACCATGCCGCCGACGGAGTTGTTCCGCGTCGCATGCTGCGCCTCGAACGACACGGCGCCGCCTGCTTCGACGAACCCTGCAGCGAATGAGCGTTTGCGCCTGCGTTTCAAGTCACGGCTGCAGCTCTTCGCACCTTTGAAACCGGCGCTCGGCGTCGTCTTGTTCGCGACGATGAACGTCTGCACCAGATCCCGCGGCGAGCCAAACGCATTCACGGTCAGCACCTTTTTGTCTGCCCCAAACGCGGTGAAGTTGAGAGCCGCCGTGCTCAGACCCTCGTCCAGCTTCGTCCAATCGACACGCGCAAACACCCGCACTTCCTGATTCGACGACGGAGAGATCGAGCCGTGGTTGGGGCTCAGCGTCAGCCAGCTCGCGTTGCTGACGACGGTGAACGTGAACGGTGTGGGTCCCCCTGCGCCGATATCGATGTACCGATCGGAAATCGGGTCGAATTGGTCGATGGAGATGGTTCTGTGATACCGTCAGCCAACGTTTTGGCTTTGGGACTCCCGGTCGACACTCACGGTGGTGGGCAGTTGTATCCTTGCGCGCACTGGAACTGATTATCGCCGGGCCATGCAGCCAGCGTTCCTTCCGGAGAAACTCGCATGGGGCCCGGTGTCGCCTGTTTGTTCTTCTGCACTCGCGAGATCAGCGGCATCGAGTTCGTCATCGGCTGCTGCCAATATGCATATCCGATATCTGGGGGGATTCAAATCATCGGCACTGGCGCAAACGACAAAGAACGAGGGCTTACGCGTCTGATCCATCATATGCTCCCATTTGCCGTCTAGCAGCGCGTGATAGCGCGTCTCGAGAGAGAAGTCATTCTCGAACAGCGTCTCGACCTCGTCCGCGAGCTGATTCGTGCTCAGCCGCGCTTGGCTCGCGCGCAGCACGTTCTGGCCAGCCTTGATCATCATCGTCCCGAGGTTCGCGCTTGCCAGCACCGTGTGGTGCACGGTTTCGTAGTACGCCGGCTGCGCCGCCGACGGGAGGTTGTCGTAGACAGCTGTGGATGCGCTGACGAGTTTAGACCATGCCGCGAGCATCGTTTCTGCTCTGCTCGTTGTCAGCACTTCGGCTCGCTGGCGAGGTCGATCACGCACTCGCGATACGCAACCAAACTGTACGTCGTCGCGTTAAGCAGCTCTGGTTTGCACCGCGCATTGAACCGCGTCACGTTCGCCACGATCCCCGCTACTGCGTCCGCGTCCTGTTCGGACAGATCGAATTCGCGCTGTGCCCAGCCAACCACGAAGTCGTTGAGGTTGTCGGGGTTCCAGAGGCTGGCGTCCCAGCCATATGCGAGGAAGAACTCCGTTTCTCGTTCGTAGGGCTTGAGGTCGCCCACGTTGAGGACCCAGATTTGGGTCGCCTGGCGGTCGATGGCGATGGACATTTGTTCGTAGATCTTGGAGATCTGGGAGCTCTGCAAAGAAAAGTGAGCAATGAGACGGGATGCAGGAGGCAGATCATCAGACTCGCCGCTATCCATTTGTAGTCGCGTGGGTCTCCGACCTGGTGGTATGAGAGGGGTTTGCAGCAGCAATGCTCTCACTTACAAAGTCAACCTGCAAGGATGTCAGACAAACAGCAGTACGACGCATTGAGATACTCACATGATAATAGACACCGGCACCTCCAGTTCTGTTCCGCTCGGAGGGGAGCGGGAATCGCCGCACATTACCCCAGCTGCAGAATTCAGTGATAGAGTACGAGAACGAACAGAGACACCCACTTATCGTCCGTCCACAGAATAGTGATGTAGTCCGGTACTTGCAATCCCTGTTCAAAGTAGCCTTCGACCTCGCTGTCTTTACAAGATCGTCAACTCCCGAAAACACTGCCTCGATGCCGAACTTACACATAGCCCACACCTGCGGGATGCTCTCAATCGTGTCATTCAGGGTGTCAGTCAGGATCTGCTTCTGGTCGGCATATATCTTCTCTAGAAGCTCCACAGGCCCAGAGCCAACGATAGGCTCTGTTGTTCGGTGAGTTGAAGGTCAAGGTAAGTCGATGCAGATACAAACCATCCCCGTCGCCCCTCATTCCGACTGTCCATATGTTCTCGAACGGGGCAGCGCGTTTAGCGCCAAGGACCCAAAAGTCGTGGATGGCAGGCGCATTAACACTAATTGTACATCCGATTCAATATGCATCGAAACACATGAGTGCAACTCACTTGTAGTCCCACGGACCATTCTCAAACAGCCCCCATTCGACGGGAATCGAGCGCATCATCGGCTCCTCGTGGCTTGTGCCCATCACAATCCCATAATAGTCCGCCGTGAACTGGTTGAGAGGGTCGTCGACGCCGAACGCGCTGCTCCATTGAGCTGTAGGACAAATTGTTCAGCTACAGCTGATCGTAGACGGGGAAGGCGGGGTGCCCTACCAGGCCAGATGTGGTTCGCCTTCAACCGCAGTAGCAGCTCAAAGCTGAAACAGAGATTGAGTCATTGCTATGCTGCGAGGACAGTTTCTCCTTTAAGACAGACTTACAGCTGGCCGTAAAAGAACCGATTGAACGGCGAGTTGGTCAGTGCAGCCCCGGTCCCATTAGCGGTGAACTTGGCTGCCGCCCAGTTCTGCAGGACCGGCTGTTCATCGTTCAAGAATATGGCTCGATACTTGATGGTCGGCGATCCATGGAAGCAGCCACTTGGCTCGACAAACAGCGAGGCGTGCCGCGTCGTGGGGACGTCGGCCCACCAGTACCATGGCGAGACACCTGTGGGTTTGAGCCGCAATTCCTCACATCGGTAAATCTGTCACAAACAACGCACCGATTTGCTCCGAGTGGTCGTATAAAGCGAAGATCGTGCCTCGCTTGTCGGCTCCGATGATAACGTAGGCCGGGCCCACCCCGGGAACCGTAACCACCTGCGACAGGAACGCCTCCCACTGGTTTTCGATCTTCGACACGTCGATCTTGGTTGTGTTCACGATTTGGTCGATTAGTGAAGATTTACCCAATGTGCCGATTATGATGGGCAGATGTGAAATGTGTGTAGCGGTTCCGTTGGAGACTGCAGGTCTGACACCAGTGACGCGCTGGACATCGTCCGCAAAGTCCTGCGCAGCACGTTGGACGCCAGGCCACTCGTCCGCGGAGAGCATCAGAGGCGCGGCCTTCCCGTTGCTCACGACACTGAATGCAGTTTTCGACGGCTGGAAGGCGACGCATGTGCGCTGCCCGATGGCATGGACGGTGGAAAGCGTTGACGCAAAGAGCAGGAGGATGGAGAGAAGCATCTTGCCCGTCGTTCGACCATCGCGTCCACGTTTTGGATGTAACGAGACCAGGAGTCAGGTGAATGGTCAACGGCGAAAGGTCGGTGGTGCTGGGCTGGGGTTTTCGATATGGAAAGTTCCTGCAAGTTATATGAGAGTCCGTGACGATCTGCTCGTACAAATAGCTGTGGGGTGGGAATGGTCAACGTTGGCCCGCGGATTCGAGGGAGCCACGCACCAAATCATGCGGACATGTCGACCGGCCTGGACGAGCTTTGCTCTGGCACCTGATCCCCGGCAAAACGCTCTGGAAGTGTCTCTGACAAATCTCCTTGAAGCAGCCGAGCTGTCTAGGACCTTCGTGCCTCGAATCTTCGATCGTACATCTGCTTTTGACTGGAGTTCCACTAATAAGTGTGATGCTAATAGCACGTGCTAATAACATGTGCTTATGGCATTGAAGTACTAGAATTGGGGCTGGAATCAACAGATTCTTCCAGTAGTTTTAATCTGTTTTCAATATATATATTTTGTCTGAAAACATAACAGTGAAAATCGTACATCTAGATTGTCACGCATTTTCCACGGAAAAAAAAAAGTCCCCCCGCAGTGTTATGGATGACGGGTATGAGTATTACTGCACTATTCTGACTGAAATTCATGTCACTGATCATTTGCCATTCTGAATTGAATTAGGTTTAAATATGTCACTGGTCAGTGTGAATTTTGAAGCTGGTGACAATTCAGACTTTGACATTGCCCCGAAGCCTACTTTTTTCGATTTTGAGCGCCCATAGGCCTCATTTTTGCTCAGACTTGTTCCCGGCCCGCGTTCCGAGAAATCCTGTTGAACATACAAATCTGATACATATTTAGGCACATGAATTATCAAGTAAATGTGCACCGGTGATTACCCATTTTGAAGCCAAAGTCGGATGAATAAGAGGTGTCACCGGCACCGCGGATGAATTTAAGGTCGAAATGGTACAGTATAGATCCTTGATAGCACATATTCAGTCGTCCTGTAGCTCGTCCTCGCCGTCATTATCCCCACCCATCATATCACCCACGACCATGTTTGCTACCATGTCTGTCATCGCCTTGGACATTTTAGGCATCGCGCCCGCCCTCATCAGCGGATGATGTTCTGGCGAGAGCTCCTCCTCTTCCTGCTCTTCCTCTTCTCCGTCACCGTCGTTCTCGTTTTCGTCTCCACTCTCTTGTGCTTCCTCGGTGCCATCTTCATCACCATCCTCCTCCGATTCTTCTGAATCACTTGACGCAGACCCCCCGTCACTCTCCGAATCCGCCTCAAAGTCGCTGTCCTCCTCGTCCGAATCATCCTGGACTGTGACAGCGCCGACACCGGGTCTCTTCTCCACACCGAAGAGCGACCGATGCTCTCTGACCCATTTGTTGATTGCATCCTGCTCCCTGCCATCCACCATCGAAAATGCCGTCTCGATCCCGGGATCCTCCTCGCCTTCACCGAGCTCCGCCGCTCCTTCTCCTTCTCTCGGGGTCTTGCGTGTGAGCAAGACCGTACAAGTGCGTCCAGTAGCAGATATCATGCGCAGGCCATCATCTTTGCTGAGCAGGTCCTCAAGCGCCCAGAACTCGCAGGGCTTGCTCTCGCCCCACAGAATCCCCTCACTCATGAACCACAGCGTGCCCACCTTCGCAGCGCGGTAGGCCTCGACGCCTGGGACACCGCCCCCGGACGCATTGGCGGACAGCCCAGGGCACGCGCTCTTGAACACATCCGGTGAGGGTTGGAAGACAGGAACGCGGAGGCTGGCCGCGAGCGTGAGCAACACGTCGCGCGTGTGCTCCCCGGGTTTGTACGTCGTTATCATAGTCCCGGCGTCTGTGCCGTGTGTCGTGCATTTGATGGCGCTGGAGGCGATGGCGTCGAGACCTAATATGATCTGCGGCGCGGCCGGAGCTTTGGCCGATTTACGTGTGTCGGCTGTGTCGGCGGAGAGCACTACGAGCGTCCAATGCGCCTTCGTTTTGCCTCGTGTCGGGAGAATGAATGCGCGCTTGAGATCAGCAAGGGGCACGCTCGCCTCAGCTGCTCCTGTCGTGGGATTGACAAACTCCACCCCGCGCTCGCACACCGTTAGGTCGACTTTCTTGCGCACGGGAGACGTCACGGAGACGGCGTGCAGGACGAATCGAGCGTCTCCGTTGTCCACAGCGGAGGCAGGAGTGCCGAGTTTCGTGCGCTTGGCTTCCGGTGCAGCTGGCTCGTTATCCCCCTCTCTCGAACGCTTCGCTGTCCCGCTCCCCGATGCACTACCGCTCGGGGACGATCCTCCCATCCCCTGTAGAGCCAGCAAAGCCGCATCCTGCCGCTCCTTCCATCCCTCTTGGTCATCGCCCGGTGCAGCGCTCCCCGAGACGAATCGTATCAGCGTGTCGATCGTGGCGTCCGCGTCCGGCCGCAGCTGTGTCAGCGCGGAGGACAATTGAGGAGGTAGGAGGGGCGCAACGACGCTCAAGTACGGGTTTACAGTCTCGGCTTCGTTGCTTCCCGTCATTGGCAGGGAGGTGCACTCGGTAGATGAACGAGTGAACGCGTCGTGGTCGTGACTGACTTGAAGTCGGGGGTGTATCGGTCACGCGTCTGTGACGATGTGACGGCTCCTCACCAGTTGGTTCTGCTCCGTGCCGGTGTTGATGAATTCCGACCTATTGACCCAATTGAATTCGAATCCTCATGAATGTCGCACCGATCGTCCCTTCAGTATCTCCCTTCACTCAAACAGCTGAACCGAGTCGGCGGATCACGATCCTACCCTGACTTCCTGAGGACCTCATCCGCATCATAGCTGAATTCATTGTCGCCAGCGAACCCCATCGTGGATATTTGGTGTGGGGCGAAGAATAGAATGTGTATTGGCCACTTTTTCCACTCTCCAGGACCTGCAAGCGGTTGCGGCCTTCCATGAATTCCCTCATCTTTAAAGCCGTGCACAACTGGAACGTGAATGGGGAGCCTGTGTGGCCGGGGGCCCTATGGCCGCATGTGGTGTGTGTCGCCGTATCTTAGTATCGGGTCCTCCTAGACTCATGGTCTACAGCATTGTCAACCTCAGGGACCATGTCGTGCGGGATCAAGCCGTCCTGAAAGTTACCCAAGACTTGTACACCACGCTGACACACATGCCGCTGTTGACGAATGCGATCCTACCGTACAACTCGGCGGTGCTGCCAGCTGCTCTGCAATGTCTCGGTGCAGTGGCCGACTTGAAGACCCTCGAGATACACCAGGCACGCCTTGACGGTCCGATTCTGTCCTCCCTGTCCCTTCCATTGCTCGAAGAGCTAGTCGTGGCAATCACTGGTTTCAGAAAGATCGTGCGAGCAAACGACATTGACGTGCGGCCGAACGAGCCAACGTCAGCCGCATTCTTCGTTCTGTTTCACACAACATGAGATTTCTCCGTCTCTCGGGTGACCTGATGCCCGTCGACTTTGGAGCGATTCACTGGCCAAAACTCCAGAGCCTCACTGTCTCGGAGCACACTGCATCGAGGCAGTTGTTGGTCCCTGCGCTTACCGCGTACATGCCGCGTTGCGTCACATCTTGCCTCTTCTCGCCGCTCTTTCTTTGTCCCATGTCAGTGTCGACGATCCGATCTTCTCACAGCTTCCCGAGTCCTTGAACGCTCTGCACATCCACGCTCGTTGCCACCCGCATTACGGAGCCGACCATGCCGACTTGGCCAAGCCGGCTGTGACAGCATTATCCAACGCCTCGGCCATAGGGCTTGTCAAGCGCCCTTCACATTTGGCGAATCTGATCGAATTCACCATCTCTGGGGACGAATTCCCGACGGCGCCCCTGCTGGAGACGATTGCAAGCCAGTTCCCTAATCTGATCTACCTAGAGGCGTCTCGCGCAAACTATCAGCGGCGTCGCGATGGACTGGACTTCACCGGTCGAGAGACACGAAATGTGCGTTCGCATCTCTGTCTCAACATTCCTATCACCCCAGGGTCATCATTCTTTAGGACACCGTGCTCACGGCGATGCCTCGATTTCGCCGACTTGAAACCCTGAAGATCACATTACATGTGGCAAGACTTTCCCTCGTGAGCAGTCTGGAGCAGGCCGAGACCTTCGATCGGCTTTTTGGTGGCATTCCATCTGTAGAAACGGTCCATCTCCCCTGGTTTTCTAAATCTCCCTGGGTGCCTGGGGAAAGCTCTGATTCTGTGGCTTGGCTTCTCACCGATAGAGAGGAGATGGAACGCTCATCTTCTGAAAATAAGCAACCAGAACCTGTGGAGATCATCCTCTGCATGACGCAACGGGACTCTCCACTCGGCGCAGCTTGCCGTCCGCGTAAATGCCGTCACGAACGACGGTGATCGATAGCAGAGAAGTGGCCTTGGGTACCAGCAGTCAAGATCGGGACTTCGAACTCCTCAAGCCAAACACCACTACTATATTAAGATCTAGGGAGGAGCAGGACCTAGGTATGTGAAGTCATGCACCGGGCTGGCAAATCGTGATGATACTCGAGCTTCACCGCTGGAAGTCATCAGATACTGATAGTATGATTCGCAGACATCTGTGTATGTATCCCTCGCCGAAGCACTGGCTCGTCAGCGCTCATCAATCATTCCTCGACCAAAGAGACACACGAGTAGCCCGATTAAACGCGGGAGATGGTTCTTACGACTGGCTCATCCTCCCTCTTGTGGCCCGTGGGCATCCAGAGACGTGTATGCATGTGCACGGCTTACATGGCTAACTCCATTATCCAATCCATACGACCAGCCGCTTGTTCCGATATGCAGCACGGAATAAAAGACCTCTGCTCCGGACGAACTTATCATCTATCAGCCATACATAAGAGTCTCCCTATCTACATCCGAGACTATCATCGCGTCTGGGATGGGGAGGTACGCTGCACGCGGCTTGGATCTCCAGGAGATACAGCGTGATTTGGATGATGCACACTTGAAGACAAGCTGCATGCTCATGAGAGCGGACTGGAAACATGACATTATGAAGCCCGTTAAGAACGTGAGTCCGGCACACACCAATCCCAACTCGAGAGCGATATGCACTGTGTCACTGACGCAGGCCACCAGTCTCTCTGAAGGGAAGAATGGGAGAGTAAGGACAGAGACAGTCGTCGTCTGCTTCTGATGCCATTCCGAGATCGCGCGATTCATGCGATGAGACCCGTTACTTATTGCAGCCAGCGGGTCAGGCAGCTGGTACCGGAAGAAAGCATGTGGTTCGAGCCTTCTCGGCGGGTTCGTGAATGCATAGAAAGTTGATAAATGATCTGACGAGGCTATGTCGTGGCGATAACACTGTGACCCCATGTACAAGCCTGTACAAGCTGGCATGAGACACTCTGGACAAGGAAGGTGTCCACAAAAGCGGCCGCCTGACAGTATTGCCGGCTAGATACCATGTGCATCGTGTGCATCAAGGTACGGTATACATGTTCTAGTCTTGCGTGGCACATGCGCCCACCCCTGTTTAGGGAGTCGCAAGCAGATTCTTGCGAGGGATAGGCGGGTCGTAGCAATGAAAGGCAGCTGCACAGGTAGTCGCGGATCATGTTCCTTACTCATACAACACCGAAAAAAGTGCGTACATGCGGCTACAAGGGACACTCGTGGCCGACACTGCTCTGGGGGCCCATGCCAATGCATATCCCGGCGCTAAGCTCAGAGCACCGGATACGTGAACGTCATGGATATATCGATCGTGGGACACCCTTTGGCCAACTCCAAACTGCGCTGGGTTTCACCTGGCAAACGTTCTGTTGGGCGATAGCGCGGCCACTGTAACTCGAGCATTGCAGTCGGCGGACATGGGAAACAACCCATCGCGGAAGGCCAGACAGTCCGGGTCGGTTTGCTTAGTTCCCTGACGCATGATGGGGACACGTCTTGTCGAAACTGGTGTGGAGGGTCATGACGATGCATCCGCGTCTCGGGGCTGTAGACCAGACCGGACCTAAACATACGGGAGAGAGCTCGAAATCTCGATCGTCACTGAATCAACGTTCTGTCATCAAATACAACCGGTGAGATGGCATCTACAGGAACGACAAACGGCGTCGGTAGAAAAGTCCCATGGCAAGATTCAGAGGATGATCTTCACGGGTGCTGGTTGAGTATTTCGGGAAGCTGAGCGTTCCATCCTTTCTCTATCGTATGAAAGCCAGGTCACAGGATCGGGACTCTCCCAGGGAGCCCAGGGAGATTCAGAAAACCAGGGAAGATGAACAGTTTCCAGGGATGGAATGCCGCCGAACAACCGCTCATAGGTCTCCGATTGCTCCCGGCTGCTTCTGGGGGAAAGCCTAACCGTGTGCATTGTGAGCTTCAGAGTTTGAAGTCGGCGGAAACGAGTCAGCGCCGTGAGCACGGCGTCCTGTAGAATGATGACCCTGGGGTGATAGGAATGTTGAGACAGAGATGCGAACGCACATTTCGTGTCTCTCGACCGGTGAAGTCCTGTCCATCGCGACGCCGCTGATAGTTTGCGCGAGACGTCTCGAGGTAGATCAGATTAGGGAAATGGCTTGCAATCGTCTCCAACAGGGGCGCCGTCGGGAATATGTCCCCAGAGATGGTGAATTCGGCCAGATTCGTCAAATGTGAAAGGCGCTTGACAAGCCATATGGCTGAGCCGTTGGATAATGCTGCCACAGCCGGTTTAGGCAGGTCGGCATGGTCCAGTCCATAATGCGGGTCGCAACGAGCATGGATGTGCAGAGCGTTCAAGGACTCGGGAAGCTGTGAGAAGATCGGGTCGTCGTCGCTGACATTGGACAGAGAAAGAGCAGTGAGGCGAGGTAAGATGTGACACAACGATCCACGAGTCGGATCGCCATAAGCGAAGGGCGGGCGCAGCTCTTCCGGTCCTCGGGACATGTCAGCTGTGTACAGAAATTGCAAATCACGAAGGCTCGGCGTATGGGCCGTAAGCACAGGGACCAACAGGTGCCTCGATGGAGTGTGCTCCGATACAGCGAGGCTCTGCAATCTTGGCCAGCGAATCTCGTCAAAGTCGACAGGCATCAGGTCACCCGAGAGATGGAGGAACGTGAGGTTGCGGGACACACAACGAAGAAGACGGCCGACGTTGGCTCGCTCGGCCGCACGGTCAATATCGTTTGCTCGCGAGATCCCTCTGAAACCGGTGATAGTCACGACGAGCTTCTCAAGCAATGGGAAGGACAGGGACGACAGAAGCAGGCCGTCGAGGCGTGCTTGGTGTATCTCAAGGGTCTTGAGGTTTGTGACAGCACCGAGACTTTGCAGAGCAGCTGGTGGCACGACCGAGTTGTACCGTAGGATCGCATTCGTCAACAGAGGCATCTGGGTGAGGGCGGTGTACACGTCCTGGGTAACTTTCAGGACAGCTTGATCCTGAGCCACATGGTCCCTGAGCTTGACAGTGCTGTGTAATATATGAGTCAATAGGGACCCGTAACATCTACACGGGGACGCACACCACATGCGACCATATGTCCTTTGGCCAGACCGACTCCCCATCTATATTCCAATTGTGCAGAGTTTTAAAGATCAGTGGTTTCATGTACGCTCGCAGCGGCTTGCAGGACTCGGAAAGTGGGAGGAGAAGCCGGTATGCGTTCTGTTCTTCGCCCCACACTAAACATCCGCGATCGAGGTCGTCGCACACAATCCATTCGGCAATGAGTCGGATAAGATCCTCGGGGAGTGAAGGTAGGGTCGCCATTGGCAGGCTTGAGTCAGAAGGGTGTTCTGAAAGGATGATACCCGTAGCGCTCATGAGAGTTCGAATGCGGTCTGGTCGTATGAGTCGAATTGATCAACATCCGGGGTATGAGCAGAATCAGCTTGTGACTTAAGATCCGTCACCAACGCGTGACCTTTGCCATCCCCGCTGTTGCTTCCCAGTGAAAATTTTCAATCGCTTTCCAGTGAAAAGCAACCTCTGAGAGAGTTCATAGAAGAAAAAATCTTATTTCAATCTGCAGAGAGAACATTAAACATCTAACTTCTAGAAATGTCGCGTATCTTCTGCGGAAAAAAGTAAGACGTATTTGGGATTGGCAGATTCGGCACTGATTTAAAGTTAGATGACTGGAAGCTGTTAGGCCGACATAGCACACTCGGCGAATGCCCTAGAGTCTGGCGGCGGCGGCCTCCTCCGTTTATTTCTTCGTTTGGGGTATTTGAACTCTCATGAGAACTCTCATGAGCGCTACGGGTATCGCCCTTTCAGAACACCCTTCTGACTCAAGCCTGCCAATGGCGACCCTACCTTCACTCCCCGAGGATCTTATCCGACTCATTGCCGAATGGATTGTGTGCGACGACCTCGATCGCGGATGTTTAGTGTGGGGCGAAGAACAGAACGCATACCGGCTTCTCCTCCCACTTTCCGAGTCCTGCAAGCCGCTGCGAGCGTACATGAAACCACTGATCTTCAAAACTCTGCACAATTGGAATATAGATGGGGAGTCGGTTTGGCCACAGGACCTTTGGCCGCATGTGGTGTGCGTCCCCGTGTAGATGTTACGGGTCCCTATTGACTCATATATTACACAGCACTGTCAAGCTCAGGGACCATGTGGCTCAGGATCAAGCTGTCCTGAAAGTTACCCAGGACGTGTACACCGCCCTCACCCAGATGCCTCTGTTGACGAATGCGATCCTACGGTACAACTCGGTCGTGCCACCAGCTGCTCTGCAAAGTCTCGGTGCTGTCACAAACCTCAAGACCCTTGAGATACACCAAGCACGCCTCGACGGCCTGCTTCTGTCGTCCCTGTCCTTCCCATTGCTTGAGAAGCTCGTCGTGACTATCACCGGTTTCAGAGGGATCTCGCGAGCAAACGATATTGACCGTGCGGCCGAGCGAGCCAACGTCGGCCGTCTTCTTCGTTGTGTGTCCCGCAACCTCACGTTCCTCCATCTCTCGGGTGACCTGATGCCTGTCGACTTTGACAAGATTCGCTGGCCAAGATTGCAGAGCCTCGCTGTATCGGAGCACACTCCATCGAGGCAGTTGTTGGTCCCTGCGCTTACGGCCCATATGCCGAGCCTTTGTGATTTGCAACTTCTGTATGCAGCTGACATGTCCCGTACTTCGGAAGGGCTGCGCCCGCCCTTCGCTTACGGCGATCCAGCTGGCAGATCGTTGCGTCACATCTTACCTCGCCTCACCGCTCTTTCTCTGTCCAATGTCAGCGACGACGATCCGATCTTCTCACAGCTTCCCGAGTCCTTGAACGCTCTGCACATCCACGCTCGTTGCGATCCGCATTACGGAGCCGACCATGCCGACCTGCCTAAACCGGCCGTGGCAGCATTATCCAACGCCTCGGCAATAGTGCTTGTCAAGCGTCTATCCTTTCTATCAGACCTAATCGAATTTACTATTTCCGTGAACGAGTTTCCGACAGCACCATTGTTTGACACGATCGCAAGCCGATTCCCGAGATTGACTTATCTTGAAGCGTCTCGCGCAAACTATCAGCAGCGTCGTGATGGATGGGACTGCACAGGTCGAGTGACACGCAATGTGCGTTCGCATCTCTACCTTCTCGGCTTATGCAGGGTCACCATTCTTTAGGACACCGTGCTCAATGCCATGTCTCGTTTCCCTCGGCTTCGCACCCTCAAGCTGACCCTGCATACGGTCGAGAGTTCTCGCAGAAGTAACATGGAGCTCGGCGAGACGTTGCGCCGGCTCTTCGGTGGCATCGCATCTCTCCAAACGGTGTATTTTCCGTGGTTCTTCGAGCCTCCCTGGCTCCCGTGGCAAACCCCCGATCCCGAAACTTGGGATTCGTACGACAGAGGCGTTCTGGATCAGTGGCCCTGCCGCGAATCGCCGCAACCAGTCGGGGTCCCCATCGTGCTCTGAGGTCCATAGTGATCGCGAACGACCGCAAAAAGGAGCTCGACAGGTCGGTCTCTAGTTTCACGCAATCCACAGCGAGTAATGGAGTAGTCGCTAAGAATGGATATTTCATATGACTACTTTTGCTCGCTCCGATCCGGTCTGGTCACGGGCTCCCACTCCAGTGGGTCCAGTCAGCTGTAAGCACCTGTCGAATACATGCAGACGCCCTGCTCGTTTTCTGGTTCCCGATAGTGTTTCAATCACTCGACTGAACGACGGAAAAGGCCATTTTCTCGCTCACATCGTGGATTTCGGCAGTCTCTGAATAACGGGGGAAGGTCCGGACGATTTTAGAGTCAACTACCTAGCATACATTGATTACCAGCAGCTTCCTTTCCCTTCATGAGGCGACGATTTTTGCTCGATCTCCCTTGATTTCATCGAGGATAGCACCGGCGCCGTTCTCTATGAGCGAGCGAGCCAGACTTTCGCCCACTCGTTGTGCGTCTTTGAGATTTGCAACAGGTCCTTTAAAGGAACGCTGCACGTGTCTCAGCCCATCCAGAGCGGTAACGCATCCAGTCAGCTCCAACTCGCCCTTCTCAAGGTCCAGCTGCGTGTAGACACCGACGGGGACACTGCAGCCGCCCTCGAGCAGCCGCAGACACGCGCGCTCCGCGTACACAGCCCACTGGGTGTGCCGGTCCGTGATCTGCTCGCACAGCCGCCGCGCGGCGGAGTCGGTGTCCCGGATCTCGACGGCGATGGCGCCCTGCGCGACGGCGGGGAAGAGCGTTGGCGGGCCGACGTCGCAGGTCAGGCGGTGACCCATGTTGACACGCAGCATCCCGGCTTTGGCGAGGATGAGCGCGTCGTACGGGCCGTCCGGCGCGTCGAGTTTCGCCACGCGCGTGTCTCTGTGAGAGGGATCAGCGATGCTGGCGGGGAGAGCAGGCTAGGGATACGCACAAGTTGCCACGCTAGCACAGGGGATCAGAGTGTGCAGTTGTGGCGGGAGACAGCGGGGGTACACACCACGTCTAGGAACTGAAGATCGGGAAACTTTCTCCTCAGCTGGGCGACGCGGCGCACACTGCTCGTCCCCACAACGCTCCCGGGGGGCAGGTCCTCCAGCGTCTTCCAGTCCTTCCCCGCCTTGACGACCAGACTGTCCACAGGAGCCTCACGCTGCAGCACCGCGCCGATGATGCAGCCCTGCGGAAGCGTCGTCGGGACGTCCTTGCACGCATGCACGATCATGTCGATCGCACCCTCGAGCAGCGCGACCTCGAGGTCCTTCGTCCACGCGTCCTTCCCGCCCAGCAGGTACACCACCTGCGAGGCGTCTCTGTCGCCCGCGGTCGTCATGAAAGACGTCGCAAACTCCGGGGTGGCGCCGGGCAGCGCGCGCAGCAGGCTCAGCACGATGTGCGTCTGCGCCCGCGCCAGCTGTGAGCCCCGCGATCCGATAACGAATTTTCCTGGCGGCGGCACGGTGGCCATGGTAGTCGATTTGGAGAGATTTTGGGGCGCCCGCGCATGATTGCGGCTGAAAGATCTATGCAAGTCGACGCTGACTCACCACGCTGACGCCACGCGATCACTGAGACTTGATTTCTTGAACTCGACAGACATCTTATTGAGAGCCTCATCACCAAATCCAATGCTTCTGGTCTTGAGGGACATCTCTCTCCGCATTCAAGTGAGACTTTGAAAGCTATGCGTGTAGGCGGACTCGCAATCCAACTGCCAGAATCGTTCTGGTCATGACGCATCACTCAGCACCTGCCCTTCCCCTCCTCCATCACATCAACCCTAGCCTCCAACTCAACGTGAAGCATGTGAGGATCCAGCCTTGTTTATCGGTGTACATACAGACAATCTACAGATTCTCATCACCCTCTAACACTACGCCTTCACATTCCTGCGCCGAATCCGCATCGTCGCCTTGACCGGCACAACCGAAATGTCCCCAATCGACATGTTCGGCGGCCGCGCAGCAAACGGCTCGATCTCGTAGTGCAGGAGGATGTGCGCGAGGATGAGCTTGATGTTGTTCGCCGCAAAGAAGCGGCCGGGGCACGCGTGGATGCCGTGCGAGAAGGGCAGCCAGTGCACAGAGGTGGTGACGAGATCCTCGTTCACCCGCGGCTTCTCCGCGCCCTGTGCCTGCTCCTTCGCACGGGAGAACCGGAACGGATCGAACTCGTGCACGCGCTCGTAGTACGCCTCGTCAAAGTGCAGCCCGTCCATCGCGATCCCGACCGTCGCGTTCTTCGGGAGGACGAGCCCGTTCGGCAGCGTGATGCCGTTCTCCGCGCGCACGCGCCGCGCCATCGCCGTCCCGCCCACGCCCGACAGGCGCGAGCTCTCGCGGATGGCGCTGTCGAGCCGCACGAGCTTGGCGACGGCGGCCTTGGTCCATTCGCCGTTGTGTTCGTTGAGGACGCGCTGCGCCTCCTCGCGCAGCGATGCGACGATCTCGTCCGCGTTGGGGGCGCTCCAGATGTCGAGCAGGGCGTTCGTGGACATGATCGTCGTGGTTCTGGCTCGGTGTGAGCGACAGACGCGTTGAATCGGGAGAATGCATCGACTCACGTGATCGCAGCAAAGTTGAGCAGGACTATCCGGTAGGAGAGCGAATAGACGGAAGTTTCGTCTTCGGTGGTGCGTTTGAGGGATTCGCGGACCATCCATGTGATAAAGTCGTTCTGCAGTAGTTTGTCATTCACCCATTGCTCCGGATTCGTGAGCGAGACATACCGGCTCTTCCCAGTCATATTCGGGGTCCTCCGCTTTGCGCTTCATGTTCTCGACTCGCTGGAATGATGTCAGTCGGTCGTCTTGGCCGATGAATCAAACAAACCTCACCTCTTTGATCAGCGGCTGCAGATATTTCATCGCGATTCCAGAGTGGCGGCGATTGGGAATGGTAGCGAACTTGGCAACCAAACTTTTGGGCAGAGTAAGATGCAGAGCTCGCCCAACAGAAGGTAGTACGCACGGCTTCAAGAACTTTGGGAACATGTGGAGGATGTAGCTGCTGACCGAGATGTCGCGCGCAAAGTCTGTTCCGGCCATCACGAACTCCATGTTCTTGCCTATGCGCGAGATCGAGTCAGTAATACTGCTCCAATAACCGCCCAGGATGGGATCGCATACTCACAAAGCTCCTTGCCGACAAAGACACGGTTCGCGACTCGGCCCACGGTGCGGGTCAGGCTGTCGAACACGCCCAGCTCCCTCCACTCGCCGTCGACGCCAAACAGAGTCTCCATCGAGCCCTCGATCTCCTCGACCAGCTCCGGGTTGAGCGCCCCGATCGTCTTCGTGAGCGGGCCTTTGATGAGGAGGTCGATCATGTCGTTCGATGTGATCTCTGGGTGTCCGACGGTGTACTTGAACTGGGCTGGATGCACAATCAATCAGTTGGGCGAGCCGGCCGAGAGAATGTGGCGGTGCTGACCGGTTTCAAAGGTGCAGTCCTTGGCATTCAAGATCGCATCGGGACGCGAGGCCAGCCAGCCGCCCATGGACGGGGGCAGGATGACCTGTGGACCCTTTGTCCATGTCGGGACGACGTAGATCTCGTTCTGCTTGGAGTGCTGCAGGTGGGGTCGGTCAGAGGTTGCAGCTGTCCCCGTTGAAATCACTACTGCTGCTTACCTTGCGATACCCGGTCCGGAAGAGCGTGACAGAGTCGACCAAGCCCCGCCAATTGCTGCGAACAGCCGAGAATATCTCGTTGGTCTTGCCGACCCAGGGCAGGGATCCGGGGACGAGCGCGTGCTCCTTGCGAGCCTTGAGGTTGATGACGAAGAAAAGAAATGCAGTAAGGAGAGACAGTGGTCCGAAGACCACCACAGAAAAGAGCGTCAGGTTAGAAGACATCGTCGAAGGGAGGATGTCGAGCATGTTCGGGGGGAAAGAAGGTGATTTGCTTCACCTCGTTACTCCTTGGTCAGTTTTATTTCTGGCAAGGGAGGACGCCTGCCTGTCCAGATCTGCGAGCCCGATCTGGCGTAGTCCCAACAGACCTTATCTCCACATACACTGCCCGTTTGTTCTCTCGTAACGTGGTGAATCAGAGCCTTTCAGCTATTGATATCCATCCCGCACTCTGAGCAATTGGTGGCCCACCCAGGCTCTCAGCGTCCCCCGTTTCCGATCTGTGTCAATCCTTGATTGCTTGGGGAGGCAGACAGCCATTGAAAGTCCACGTTTGACTTCGAGTTCCCTGGAGACAGGTACTGGTGCTCGCGGCATGGAGCGCGTCTTGTCTACCAAGCCATCTCAGAAAGGCAAGATACTTGCCTAATCGGGTAGTCGGATCAACATCGGCGGTCGGGACGCCCGATTGATGGAGTGCACAGGATCAGTGATCTTCAATTGCAATACGATTGCAGCTCCCATCTCGTTGGCACGTTTCGATAATTAGTTCGTTTCCAGTGTCTGCGCCTTGGATCCCGATGCTTAGCAGCTCCAAGATGGTAACGCGGGCGATAGTCAGATATGGGGCGAAGTGAGCTCGCAAAAACTGCATACATCCGCACCCCATCTCTCCAACCGTTTTTCTTTCTGCTCTGGAACAGCGCCATGCCCAACAGTCTATCTCTTCTTGCGGCCTTCGTCGTTGTGTACACAGCGTATCGCTTCTCGAAACGCACGCCGCGCGCCCTTCTCCCACGCGTGGGGCGAGCTGGTCCTGTGGGATACGCGTGGACGGTGCTGCGCTCGGTGCTTGACAGCGAGGGCTTGGTGGAGGAGGGCTGGGACCAGTTCGGCGGGAAGGCCTTCATCCTCCCCTCCATGAGCGGGGAGTGGATTGTGTTGGGTCCGGACAACGTGGAGCTGCTGCGGCGCTCAGACGACACCGTAGTGCGTACATCTCACTGACACCCCAGTGCTCCTCGAGGTTGATATATTTTGGAAGTTCAACGCCCCGGAGCGCGCGAAACAGCTCTTTCTGCCGGACATCATGTTCGGGGACATCACGAGCAACCCGTACCACCTAGAGACCATCATCCGGTCGGACCTCACCAAGTCGCTGCGCTCTCTCGTGCCGGAGATGCTCGAGGAGGCGCAGCTGGCGATTCCAGAGCATCTACCTCTGAAGGACGGAGCGTCTTCGGTCACGGTGCCGCTCTTCCCCACCATGGTACACCTCATCGCGCGCGTCAGCAACCGCGCTATGATCGGCGCGCCTGGGTGTCGCGACGAGGCGTTTCTGAAAAACCAAGTCAGCGTCGCGGAGGAGGTTATCCCCATGTCGCAGGTGCTGAACTGGTTCCCCGCGTCCACCCGCAGGTGCGCTGTGTGATTTGGATCTCCTCCGAATCATGGGTGTTGAATTCTTGGCAGACTTGTCTGGAAGGCGTTCTGCGCCACGCTTGGTGCCAAGGACAGTGCCGTGCGCCGCGTCAGCCCCTACGTGCAGGCCCGGATCGACTACGCTCAGCAGGACAATCCGGGCACGATCACCGATCTACTGCTACGCTATGCGCCGGAGGAGGATATCGCGGACGTCAAGAAGCTGGCTGCGCGTGTCATTCATCTCAATATGGCTGCGACACATACTTCGTACGTTCTAGTGGCACCTTGAATTGAATTACTGAATTGAATTCTTACCCGCCCAGCGGTATCTTTACCACCCACTCGCTGTTTGAGCTCGCGCGGATGGAGCCAGCGATGGTCCAGCGGATCCGAGACGAGATCGTCGCTGCCATTAATTCCGAGGGTGGCGTCTGCAACAAGGCGGCTGTCGACAAGTTTTACCTGCTTGACTCGCTCCTAAAAGAAATCGGGCGGTTTCACTCTCTCTTTGCCGGTGCGTTGTGATCTCCAATAGGCATGATTGATTGATTGATCTCAGTGGGGTCATCCCGCGTCGTACTCCGCGAGGCTGTTATCTCCGACGGCACCGTCCTCCCGGCCGGCAGTGTTGTGGCCCTCGCGCCGCGGCCGTTGCACCACAATTCGGCGGCGTTCGCGGACCCGGAGACGTTCGACCCCTTCCGCTTCGCGCGTCTGCGCACGGGCGACAGCGCGCTCCGCGACAACCAGCAGAATTTCACAAATCTAAGTAATGATTACATTGTGTTTGGGGTCGGGAAGCATGGGTGTCCGGGTCGCTTTTTGTATGTTGCTTCTCTTTTTTTGGTGTCATGAATTTGCGGCGATTCTGATGTTTGCTTGGCAGCGCGGCGCTAAAGATCAAGGTCATTCTCGCTGAGCTGCTGCTCAACTACGACTTTTCGTTTCCCGACGGGGCGTCCCACTCGCCCAAGCCGTTTGCGTTCAATATCTTCACGGTTCCGAATCCAACGGCGAAGCTGGTCTTTACCAAGCGTACATCTGAGATTCAATTGTGATATCCAATATAGTGTATAGTGGACGGGTTTTTCTTGGATGTGCAGACATCTCCGCCGTCGACGATCGCTCAATTCAGAGGTCCGTTCTTGCTGGATCTAGGATTTGAATGTTCAAAAGAATCCCGGTCTTAGCTGTCTCGGCTTTGATACGCTCGATATTGGGGTCTCTTCTACAGTATATGCCGATCGTCCAATGGCAAGGCCTGAAGTCTACAATGCTCAAATCCAGGTCCCATCCAGGATTCGATGTTTTTGTTTTAGTGCATCACTGGGAGCACACACTGTCTATTTCTAACCCCACCTATTTTTTGCATACTTTCGACTCATATTTCGGCCCATGTTGAGACAGACAGGAGTATTCATTCGTCACAATTTATTCACACCCCCGGGCTGATTAGATAGCGGATGTTCAGTCCTGAGTTCTTGGTCAAGTGCACATGCCAATGAACTCGGGGCTCTCGATTATAATTCTGCAACGCTGGCACCGTCCAACCCCCAATATCGATGCCGATAGGGAAAGCTTCGTTGCGTTTCAGAACGTTGGCAGGTTTCAGAGGTATCAGCACTGCGCATGGGAGTCAATGGCAACATGTAGCCAGGATGAGCGAAGATTGTTTGATGTGCGCAGTGCGCAATCGTCCTGGGCCAACCAATCACTGGCCGCGGGAGGATTGTGATGTATGTGCAGCAGCATCAACTGTCGGTGGCACCGCATCAGAGCGATGCGGCTGTTACCGACACGTTTCTCTTCATCACATATGGCCCATACGATAATCGGGAGATCTGGTGTTCGAGCACCGTCAACACAGCCTAGCTACTGGGACTCCAACATCGAATCCTCTCCCCGAATCCACCATGCCAGCAGACACCTACCCCACCCTGCCGCAGACCCAGAAAGCATGGACGTTCGCGACGCAGGGGCTGCCACCCGACATCCTCGTCCTCGATGAACAGTACCCCGTCCCAGATCCCCCGACCGCAGCGAACCTGCTCATTCGCGTCTCGCACGTCAGTCTCAATCCGGGATGCTACGTGACGATGGCCGAGCTCCCCCCGATCGTCCGCCGGGTGTTGTCCGGGGGTCGCTCCACGTTCGTCGCGGAGGGCGAGTTCGCCGGGGTCGTGCATCTCGCCGGTCAGTCTCTCTCTCGCACTGTCTGTCTCCGCTGTATGAAGACTGACTTATTTTGTACGACAGGCCCATCAGCGCCTGCGCACCTCCTCCCCGGCGCGCGAGTGTTCGGGTGCCTCCCGGTACCGAGCCTCCTCGCCGGCGGCGGGACGCTCGCGGAATACCTCGTCATCCCGGCTGCCTGCGTCGCGCTAGCTCCCGCGGGCATGAGCTGGCCTGTCGCGGCGTCGCTGGCGGGCGGCGGGCAAACGGCGGGAAGCATGGTGCTGGAGGCGACGATTCAGCCGGGGACGCGTGTGTTCGTGAACGGTGGCTCGGGGGGCGTGGGATCGATGGTCATCCAGCTCGCCAAGGCACAGGGCGCGTATGTCGTTGCGACGTGCTCGGCGCGGACCAGGGCGATGGTGGAGGGTCTAGGGACTGACGAGGTGCACTTTGAATTTGTTCTTGGCGGCTGGTTTCCTCATCGTTTGCTTGTCAGGTCGTTGACTACCGCGCAAACGCACCTCTACCCGCCTTCTTAGCTCGAGAATACCACTCGCGGCCTTTCGAGTACATCTTCGACACGATCGGCACCCAAGCCCTCTTCGATCATTCGCCGGAATATCTTAGGGCGGACGGGCTCTTCGTCAACGTCGGAAACTTCGAGGGCCTCTTCCTCACCGTTTGGCGAGCCATGCTGAACACCTATCTCCCAACGGTCCTGGGCGGCGTCCCGAGGCGGTACCATATGATCAGCACGACTCCCAATGGGGAGAAGGCAGCTGCACTGGCGGAGATGGTTGAGCGAGGAGAGCTGCGCGTGGTAATTGACGAGGTCTTTGAGTTCCACGATGCCTTGAAGGTAGGATCTGCTGTGATTTGTCGTTGAGAGGGCCCTGGCTGACTTGGTCTCTTCGTGCAGGCTTATGATCGGATGTTGGCACGGAATGCGATGGGAAAAATAGTCGTGAAAGTACAAGAGTTGTGATTTGGACTACTGACTGGGAAGAATGAAGTGTGTGCTACTTTCTTCTGCGAGTGAAAATATGGAAGCAGAGCTAGAAATGCGCCACGCGGCTGGAAATCTCGCCGATCGAAAATTTTGCCTCCAGTATCCTCTCAAATGTTGCTTAAATCAGACTTTCCAAGTCTTCTTTGGACTATGGGGCATGCTTCAACTAGCCGGAGGGCAATGGCATTATAAAATAATACTCTCATGACCAAGTTTTCATTTTCATTTGCACTGTCATAACATATGATTTGAGAGGATTGAAGACAAGTACTACATGCCAAATGTAATTATGTTAATGATGGAGCTTGTCTGCTTCATGCTGAAGCTCTATATAACCCAAAGTACGATCAACCCATGAGTTCTCAAGGACATAGTATTTTTGGGGATTCTCCTGTTTGAGGGCAGTTCTGACAGCATGGATGGCAACCTGCATGGGCAGAGAATGACTGTGTTCATCACCCAAGTCAGCCAGCAGTGTCTTGGCCATTTCAGTAAAACCCCAAAACATTGCCCAATTCAATGGGCTGTATAAAACTGCAACCAACTCAGCAGCTGATCGCCCAGTCATTGCTTCATAGTCAGTTGGATTTTTTGAGCCTGCCCGAATGAATCCAAGTCCGTCCAATAATTGTGGCAGCAGCCCATCCAGCGGATTAAAGAGTCAAGAGACCAGAGGCTTCACATCTGCCTCAGGAACACTGGCATAGAAGTAATACCAATTTGAGCTGTCCTTTGGGTGAGCTAGCCCTAGCAATGCCACAGTTGTGAATGCTGTGACATAAGTGGCCAAGGCTTGATTCTTTTCAAAACCATCCAGGGCCATCACATATTCCTGGGCTGTGAAGTGGACAAATTCAACCTGCAAATTTTGGTTGATCTGAAGGAATGCTGAGCCACGTCGGCGGATCACATCCTGGGCATCAAACAGATCAAGTGGCTGTGGTGTTCCACTCCCATCCACCCAGTCCAAGTCAACCATCACAATAGCTGCTGCTGTTGTCACCCTGAGCCGGTGTGGAGCTATGGCAATAGCATCAAGTAGACGCTGAGAGCGGTGAAAGGATGACTTGTTGGCTTGGAGACGCTCCATCATCTGATCATATGTTCCTTTTAGATCCAGAGGCAGGTCTGCCAGCTGTGATTCGATGTCCCCTGTCTCACATGTCAAGAGATGTGACATCTGCAATGACACCCAAAGAAACCTATTACCATCAGCTGGTTTGTCACATGCATCAGAACAATTACCTACATTCCATTGGCTCTTTGGGTCAATGTCTCCTCCACTTTTCTCTGAACACCAGCTGACCAGTTTGGATGATGCTTCCAAATCTGAGCCCTGACAAAGCTCAAGATGTCTTCTTCACGGCTGTCTGTCTTCTCCTGAAGGTCCAGTACATGAGTTGCCACTAGTCCCAGAACACCTGCAATGTCCTGCTCTGGCCGGCTTGCCAACAAGAGACGCAAGTTACTGATCTTGGCCTCATGCAGCTTTTGCAAGAGTGGTAAAAGTTCTTGAGTGCGCCTGGGGTGAGGATACTCATCCAGCCCATCAATCACAAGGATCACCCGCTTCGATGCACTAGTCACTATATCCACCAGACATCGTAGTAGTGTGGATGGTGAGGCAGAGAGAGTTGGCCCACGCTGGTTGTATGCTGTCTGGAGGAGATTATGGAAACCCCTTGTCTGTGTAGCAAGCTGGTACACCAATGCTGACAGGATGCTTGGTAAGAGCTGGGATGCAGGTTCATGATAAGAAATGAATGCAAAGGCAAATAGCTCCCTCTGCATTTGCAGATGCTCAACCACTGCAGAGCTGGAATGCAAAATCATCAATAAATGAGCAAGAGAACAGGCTGGATGACAAACATTGACACACTTTTCCCTGCACCGGCTGTAATACAGTCAGCTTGACACCATTTCAGGAACATCAGCATACTCACGCTTGCCATGAACCCAATACATTGAGTTACTCAACCCTATCCACTTCTCGAATTGCTCATCAAAGAACCAGTCACATGTCCCATCATGTTTGGACAGGGAAAGGTCGTCAAAACGCTTGCCCGTGTTATACGGACTGAGCCAGGTTCTGACATCTTGGTCAACTAATGCAAGCAGGGTAAGTGCTGGTGTCAAACACAGAATCAACACACACCAATCAATTTTTGTGTATCCACTGCCACCAGGAGGTTCTCAAGTGACATGGCAAGGTCCTCCTCGTTTGTGAGCTGATCAAGCTCATTCAGGGACCCTTGAACATCTTCATCTTGCAGCAGCTGATGTGCCCAATCCCCTGTCAAATGCAAGTCACTATTGTGAGCCTGTGAACAAGACAGGTCCTACTCATGCGCGTCTTTGCTTGCCAGAGCCGATAGGTCCTGGGTTTGGGGTTGTCTCGGAGATACAATGTAAGGAGCCCAAATGTCTTCATCATGAGGCCAAGAATCCTCAGCAGCACGTTGTGTAGCAGCTGACGGCAAGACGGAGGAAGCTTGACGAGATAGATGTCCAGTCGAGTCAAGCATGGCTCGAAGCGATTGAGGATGAGCTCCAGTGTGTCGTATTTGTTGCTGACTCGATTGGCAGCCTGTTGTAACACACGCACTTTTTCAGTTTCTGTGCCGAAGGAACAGGTCGGATAGCACCGACCTCGAGAAAGGCCGCAAAAGCAACGAGTATCCCTTTCCCCCCCGGAACCTGAATCTGAATGAGCTTGATTGCCCGCGATGCGTCAGATCCCTACTCACGAAACCGGATGTCCCTTCTGCCACGGGGTTGACAACAAACTGCAGGACGGACGCGAGGGATTTCAGAACGCCCCTGATCTTGCGGTCCTGAGAGCGGAAGTCTCCAAAAGACTTCTTGTGCTGAGCCAGTACACCACAGAAATCGTCCACAGTGTGGCATTGCTTCACCTCTCGAGCAAACGGAAGTTCATCCAGCGGCTTTCCAGTGATCCGCTCGTAGTTTGCGATGGAGTCTGTCAGCAGCGTCTTCCAAGCATCGTCCGACGGAGGACCAGGAGTTTCGGGCGTGGTCGGAATGGGCTGAGGATCCGTCATGGGCGAGGAGAGCAGGGCAGTTGTGTGGCGATGCCGCGTCATCGAGTCAGTGCCTCACCGCATGTGCGTTGACAGCGGGAGCTTACTTCGTATAGTTCATTCATCAGAGGGAGGAGCTGATACGATCAGGGGTGCAAGGCTTGGAATTGAGTGAGACCCGCAGGATCACAGCGCCAATCTTGCATGCCGGTCAAACCAGAACTCCGGGAACAGCATCGTGGGAGAACCGAGCCAGTGTCCGATGCAAAACAGCCCCCTTGTTGGCTGAATGTGACAGGAAGGAATGTTGGAGTACTGGCTGTAGATGCGTCTCGAAAAAGTGACGCCGCAGCGCCAGCCGCCAGCAGATGTCATGCGGCCAGCAGATGCCATGCTCTCGTTTGCGAGATCCCTAACAATCGCATTCCGCACGCGGATGGTTTCTGCGTACTGCGACCGGGGAAAGGTGCGTATGGGACACAGGACCTCGTGGCATCGATCTGTCGCTCTGCATTGCAACACCGGGTTCTTTCATCTGAAGCTAGTGCGATCAGACAGCAGGCGGTCGAGCTCATTGAGAGAATGACGGGCCAACTGCACGATCGAGACGAGATCCGGGCAAGCTGCCATGCAATTCGGCGGTGCCGTGTGTACGACTTTTTGTGCGCGAAGCCGAGCTGATAGCACCTGAGTGCCAATTCCTGCATTGTAGGACCATACAGATTGAAGTATATACAAATCTGACGTTGCATTGAGCTGCATTCCAAAGAAATCCGGGCAATGATGAAACGCACCGGTACCACGAACTCTCTTGCCCACACGCACCGCGGTACCACGAACCTTCTCGCCCATGCTCTCGTCGCGAGACAACAGCTGTGACGAATATCGCGCCCGTACTTCTAGACCCTGTCCGCCAGCTCAGAGATATACTCTAGCACAGAAGAGGACTCGAGCTTTGGACTCTTCCGCAAATCGCTGTCAGTCGGGACTCGGGACGGCCGCCTTTGATGGAAGGTGGAAAACAGTTGAGGGACGTCAGTGACAGATCATGATATCTGTGATCGGCAACGCCCGGACTCATTCTCACAATCATCGATGCAGGCCAGACAGACTTAGTTTGGGATGCTGTTCTTCTCTGAGCGTCCGCACTGACATCAGATTGCTCATCACCCGGACCGTTGGTTGAAGTCAATGGTGCTTTTGGTGGTTCGCTGACTCGCATGCAGTCCGAGTAATCGCAGTCAGTCGTGTATCCCATCAGTCCAAGTATCAACTCCATGTAGGATATCCAAGCCGTCAGTGAGGCGTAGCGTGTCTTCAGTGCTATTTTATACGTTATCGGCCCGGATGCGCAGGATATTCGCCCCCGAAAGGTTACTCGACTACTTGAACCTGGTCCATGCCCAAAATACGGTCGTAGGGGGCTGTAAATACGCGCAGCTGTTAAGCGAGTGAATACTAAAACAGCCAAGAGCCACAGGGCACCGACCGTATTAAGCCGATGTGCGATACGCAGCAACACTGAGTTCGCAAACTCTGTCCGGATCGTCCGCTGTAACTTCCCATCCATCTCTACGCCGACGCTGCTCGCCGCCTCGTCCAGAACCCTGATTGGGCTGCTTTTCATCAATGCTCGACAGAGAGTCAGCAGCTGCTTCTTCCTGGCGCTGTAGTTGGATCCCTCGTCGTCGATGGTGGAGTTCAGACTTAACTTGGCTTTGGCTATGGGGTCAGTCGGTTCTTTGGGTCGTGGCAGTGACCATTCGCGCCGAAGCACGAATAGCAGCTCAGTGTCCGTTCTCGAGTTTGGGGGGTTCCTGCAGAATCCACCTCAGTTTCAGCGGCCAGAGTCCGAGACCAATGGATGACGCACAGGTTCTCCCGCAGAGCGCCCAGGAACAGCACGCCGTCCTGCGGGACCAGCGTCAGCCAATCTCTCAACACATCCAGACCAAGCCCTGCGATATTCGCTCCGTCAATGTCGACTTGACCCAGCTGCAACTCGACTATGCGGAATAAGCACTGCTGCAGAGAGCTCTTGCCCGTCCCCGTCCGACCGACAATCCCGATATTCTCTCCAGCCTTGACGTCCAACCTGACCCCCTTGAGCACCGGCGGCAGACCTTCCCGATACGGCATCTGGATGTCCTTGAAGGTGATCGGGCCATGGTCGGGCCACGAGGCGGGTGGGTCATTGGGTGTCGTTGACGCTCCTTCTGCTGGAAGTTCCGCGTACACGATGAGGCGTTCGACGGATTTCATGTTCTGCTCGTTCCGGGCGGACATGTTGATCATTTGCGCTGCGATATGTAAGCTGAGGGCCATTGACACCCGCGGCGACCCTGCAGAAGATTTGGGTGACTGTCAAGAAATCAGCTTCGCGAGAAGTCGTTTACTAGTAGATAGAGACGTACTGCTTAGGGTGTAAGAGAGTACCACACCAATCTTGCTGAAATCAACGGACTTTCGACTGCATGGGTCACATTAGTAGCAGACCCGGAGAAAGCGATCGAAAAGATGGACACACAATGCAGCGGCAGAGATGGCAATGTCAAATATGATGATGTTCCCAAAGACATTGAGGCGGGGGCCAAGCCAGGTTTGCACTGGTCAGAAGCGCGTGAGCCAGCATGGATCAACACTTCAACGACGCTGACAGCTCACAGGCAATGGTCATCAGATACGCTCTGTTCTCCAGACCCAAGCCATGCTCAGCATGCCGGATAGCGTCATCCTGTCCCCGATAGGCCCGGATAGTCGAGCGGACTGTGAGCGCTTCTGTGTACGACGCGTAGAGCGTCGACCGCAAGAGGGAGTCTAGTCGCTTGGTCTCGACCGGACGCCCAGCGGGTTTTCCAGCAGCACGATGTCTAAGGACGAGCACGCGACAGGGGCCAGGGCCACACGATCTTTCTGGCCTCCAGACAGTCTGATTCCTCGCTCACCAATCTAACATCATCAGAACGGAAATCAAGAGACGAGTCTACCCCACGAACCTCGGTCTGACCGTCTCTGCACCATGAGGCAAGATGTTGAGGTCGTGTTCCAGATTGCAAGCTCTGACAACGTCTTCGAAACGGTCGAGTTTGAGTTCCTGACCGAGGGTGATGTTGTCTCCCGGGGTCGGATTCCGGATCCAAGCTGATTGTGTGACGTAGCCAATAGATCCTCCAAAGGCAACGGCACCCTCTGTCCAGCGCACCTCTCCAATCATGGCCTGGAGCAGGGAACTCTGGTGATTACATCTCATGAGAAATGGGGGACGAATCCGGCCAGCGAGTGCCCGATATTCAAAATGAGGTGAATGGGAGACTTGCTGAGGAGACAGTAGCTTGAGGATGCCCCCGCCCGCGAAACACCAGAAGACACGTAGAAGAGCTCTAGACAGCGATGCGTCGAATTAGGGTTTTGCCTTTTTCTTCTTCGACTTTGTCTGCGTCTGCGCCTCCCGCTTACTTCAGATCCGCCTTGCCCTCCTTGGTGCCCAAATCCACCGAAACCGTCTCCGCGCCATTCAGTCTATCGACATTCTCTAGATCGCGGGAAGCCTCTGGGCGCTGTTCAGGCGGACAGCGAGGTTAGAACTTGGCCTCGAATTGGACCGTCGTTGCGCTGGTCAAGTGATCGGGCGGCTGCTCGTGCACATCTGCATTACGTCAAATCGATGAGATTCTGATCCCTGAATGCCAATGACGATCGCACCTGCTTTCTCCTGCGGGCGCAAGAATCCTACGTCGAGTAAGGGCCCGAGCCAGTGAACCGCGAGCTTTTGTAGGAACCTGCGCGTCGCGTATGCTGTGTTCGTTCGCTGCAGCCTAAGAGCGTAGGATCCCAGATGACAATGACGCAAGGCGCGTTTTCCTTCTTGGCGTGTCGAATCCAGGCTGTGATCGGGTTGTGGAAGAAACGCATGAGTAGCGAGCGTGCAGCACACGTAGGACTCGGTGTCGCATGGATCGACTACGTCCAGTGGTTCGTCCAGTGGGCCGCATGCCCGAGGGCGATAACCACACGAATCTGGGCCATACCACTCCGCGAGTTGACGCAGCGCGCTTGAAATTATCGTGAACGTCTGGCCCATATGCAACAGCGGCCAGACTGACCAAACACTCTCGACGTGATCTTGAGAAGCTCGAGAAGCGTGGGAAATATCCATAAGTCGGGGGTGGGCAGGCGGGCGTCACGCGTGCATGAACACCAGCATTGCGGGGTCGATGGGTCCCACAGAGAGGGCAAACAAAGCCGCCCTGGCTTTGCTGGAAGTGTCTCCCCATTAGTGCGGCTGGGGGTCGGGTTCAGACTGACAGACCTGGGCGGGGTGGCGACTGACCTGGTCGCGGGTTCAGCCTCGCATACGGGTGCACGCACGCACACACAGGCACACACCCTCAGCACGACACTTGTGCTTCCAAGGATACCGCCGAGATCGTGCCCGTCCTTTCGGTCCAAATCCATCACCCGGCACCTGCGCATCGATCTCTGGAGGCATTCCAGAGCCGAGCTTCAGATCCCGACTCCCGTTTTTGTGAGTGTCGTGTCTCGTACGGTCCCTCACAGATCTCAAACCATTCGTCAACCTCTTACGCATCAACACAGCCCAACCTATGCACACACTCGAACTCCCGATTCGGCGTTGCAGGAAGAGGAGAGTTCAAAGAGTCCACTGCCCAAGCCAAAGAACCCAGCATGGAGGCGGGCGTGTTAATTTTCTCGGCAAGCAGAATGGGAACCATGGATGTTTCATCATTTCTGGGAGTCGTCGATTGACACGAGTCCAGCACAGGCTCGATCGGGATCTCTGCATGGTTTCAGATGGGCAGGTAGATCGGGCTTCAGCTCTGAGACAATGTCAGTGACCACATAGGACATTGAGAAAGTCCAAACAGACTTTCGATCCTCTCAGACTCAGTTATAGTAGCTCGGTGATGCTCGCGTCGTCGGACGAGAGCGAGCCACACGGTAGAACGTGCCAAGGCTAAATTGACCAAATCCCAGATTGGATCATTCGTTGCGGAGATCATACTTTCCAGCTCGATGTCTCAAGTGAGGATCGTCACTTTGCCCATGGAGTAGGCCCCATGCTGGAGAAATCGTCGCGCGAGATCCTGGTGGAACGGTTCGTGCGCACGCTTAGACACAGAGTGCGCACCTCCAGGACATTCCCAAGTGCGATCTCCTCAAGAACCTGGAGGTTTTCGTAGCGTTTCTGTCGCCAGCCCGTGAGACACGAGTAGCGCCCGAGGGATTCTTCGGCTTGGTCGTACTATGATTGCGCAGCACCGAGGTGTATTCGCTTCTGAGCCGTACGCGCATTTTCTTCCCAAGATCGCCAGCAGCAGGTTGCGATATTCTGTCATGACGGGAGGGTCAGGCACGGTTCGTCCACTGGCTCGAGCATGAGAGTTCCAAGACAGCTCCGATGCCGATGACTGATGATGCACTGTCATCGCCGAGACCTCTGCCGGCTCACCGGACCGCACGTATGTGGCTACGCTGATCCACGGAAACAATTTGATCTCGTAGACTCGTACGGCGCGTCGCCAAAATACTCAAAGATATACCGTGTACCACCGAGCCTTATCGACTCGTCATTAATCTCTATGAATATGTTTCCTGACTGGGCGCTGATGTGACCTGTTGTGCTCGTGAGTGAATTGAGTCTGGTGATCCAGTCGAGGAGTGCCGCGCGCTTCGAAACGCCTAGGGCAGGCATGCACAGGTCGCAGGACAACACGTGCAAGAGAAAAAAAGCGCGGCATGCCAAAGCACAGGGTAACCGCGCATGCAACAACCCCGGTTCCATTGGCACGGCCTCAGGTACAGCCTCGCATTCCGGTAGTCGAGCGCGCTGGCTGATATCGAGATTAATCCAATCCAGCGGCGTCTCCCGAGTTGGCCCGTCGTTCTTATGATAGTTCTCGTTGTTACTGTCGACCGTGTGTACACCCAACACCTCCGTGACAAGGACTGGTGGATCTCCTCCTCGATTGCGACCGGTCAACAGTGAGAACACGTCCACTCGAAGACTGAATCAAGACATGAACAAGCGGGCAAGGACAAGCGGAAAGCACAACGCACCAGTGTCTCCAGGTCCAACGCCCGTTTCTTGTTGCCCAGCGCGGTCTTGATGACCCTCAAGTAACGCGATCTCGGCACCCTCTCCATTGCTCGCATCTCAAGGTTGCTATGTAACGATAGATCCATTCGGGCGGCCGGAGTCATCGACGCAACAAAGGAGTCGGGCGCTGCGTGGGCGTGGATTGACTAGATGCGATGAGCTACAGAGGACAAGTCCACAACGACCCCCGCACGGTGCAGGTCACGTGCACCAGCTGGTTCGAACCCGGCTAAAACGTCAAATAATTCCAAGTTTGCGTTCAGACGAGAGAGAGAGTTTGCGTTACTCAGTGAACATCGTGTACTTATTAGAGTCTTTATAAGTTCTCTGGCTCTTCCTTTTCCGCTTATGCGCCTGGATATGTCCACCTACATCCTCAACCATCTGAAGAGCGGGCTGCAGAGCTTCCGCCAGTTGAGGTGCCATTCCACTCGGCCGGGAGATGGTTTCCATCAAAGCCTCGAAGCTTCGCTTGAGGTTCTCCCTCTGAGCTTCGGAAATATATACCTATGACATGAACATTGAGCTTTAATAGCTGACAAATAAATTGAACATGCCCTTTCACCCGGGCTCACTGAAAGTGCCGCGGAGTGCCGCAGGAGCAATCCTGCGGCACTCCTGCGGCACTCCTGCGGCACTCCAAATTCTCCACATGATTGATCTCAACGGCAACGATGACGATCAACATGCTGTCCACGTCGGCTGAGACGTTGATGGACGTGGGAATGATCCGCGCAGGCAGCGGGACTATTCCAGACGTCATTGTCGTTGGCGGCAGCGATGGAGATCTCACCCCTGCGGCACTCCAGAACAGTGTGCCGCAGACTCCACAGCACACCGCGGCACTCCTGCGGGGCCTCTGGCGACACTCCAAACAAGTCTGCGGCACTCCAGAAGAGTCTGCGGCGCTCCAGTGTGACGCATGTGACATCTCTGCGGCACTCCAAAGCACAGCCACCCTCTGGAGACCGCCGCAAGCACATCCAACGCTGTCTGCGCTGGTCAATCCCTGATATTTTGAGATGGATTAGTTGTATTTCAATAGAATTGGATATCTAGACGTCCTGAAAGCTTGTTTTTGGATCATAGGCCTCTATGATGCCTGGAAGGTGATTGTCTCGAGCTCGTTGACCACTGGAAGGGTGGACTTGACTTAAAATTACAGAGAGCATTTTTCATCACAAAAACACTCTCAAGGGTTTTTAATACCACCTATTGGGTATGATTTACGTTCGAAATGGATAAAAAATGAGTTATACACATTCTAGTGAAGCTGAATCCATGAGGTATTGTATTGTTTCGACATTTGGGCAATGGTGAATGCCTCTAACTATTATAGAAACCAATAAATCAGCTGTATAGATTGTTCTCGACTTCGTTCTGGGCTCTGCAACGAAGTGGACTCACAAGAGTGAGCAAAAACGGCCGCTCAGAAAGCCATCAAACCATATTGATGGGACATCAGCGCCGCGAGGACCATTGCTCAGAAATACGGTGACAATGCCTTGGCCTGCCGATTGCTTTCTTGAGTACTTTCAATGAAATTGTACAAACATAGATATGTAAATATCCTGCCCCGTAGGTCGCTGCGGCACTCCAGCGTGACGTCTGCGGCGCGTGACAGAAATCCTGCGGCACTCCAGGCTCGAACATGCGGCACTCCAAATGTTTTGTGGCACTCCAACAGCACTCCGCGGCACTTTCATGTAGCCCCTTTCACCCGCTGTACCTTCGTCATCGGAGGCAAAAGCCCGGATATTGTCATCTTCGTCACGGCCATCATCTCCGCTCGGATCAATGCTCTCAAGGTCATCGAGCCCAGGCCCAGTCACCGGCCTGGGACTGCGTGCCCGATCATTGTCGGAGTCGGAGTCGGAGTCGTCAGGTTCGGGTGTCTGCATCCGGGAACTCGAAGTCGATTGAGAACGGGAGTGGCCTCGGTGGAGAACCATGATTTCGACGTCGTGTTCAGGCTCGGGTTCGTTGTCTTCAATATCGTGGATCCCGGGAATCACGTAGTAAGGAGGGAAGTGATTGCGCCGCAAATTCGCAAACAGAGCCAGATCTCGAAGAGGACTATTGCTCAAAGTTTGATTAACTTCCCGGACGAGGTGCTTGCAGAGTAAAAAACGGCTCATCAAGAAAGCGGAACAACTACAGACCCATTTGTCCACATATGTGAAATATGTGCCATGAGTGCGCTCACTCTCTTGATCCAACTGGGCGAGCCTCTCATCCCGATTCTTGGTATTTTTTGGCTTCCTAAGCCAGCACAGTTGTTTTTCGGTGAGGCGATGATCGTCCGACTTGCTGAGATTGACCCACGAAGTTCGGAAGTCCTTCTGCCACCCAACGAGAGTCGGACCACGTCCAGCACGGCGCATTTTGCGAATGTTGTCCAGATTTCGCTTGATTCGAGGAAGAAGGTTAAGGATTATGACGTGGGTAACCAAATCAAGTCGCGGGCGATTAAAGTCTGCAAGATCCCGATGCTTCACATGTTTCCAGAGGCTCTCGACAATCATTGTGGTATTGATCCGTGGGATTGCCGGCTCTGACGCTCGAGCCCAGAGTTTCCACTGAGCGGGGCAGTACCACCGGTTCCACATATACGCCCAGAGCTGCGAGAGATCCAAATCCACCTCAGTTACCACCGCCATCACGCGGTTCTCCCCCCGCGGGGTACCTACTGGGTACCCTCAGACGTCTTGCTGAGGGTACCCAGTAGGTACCCCCTGGCGGGGGGTGGGGGGGCCATTTAGTCGATTTAGTAGCAGGGGCATATGCGGGGGTCAGGAGGAGGGGGGGTGTATGTAGCATGTGACTTGTCCATAAGAGCGGGTAGCTGGGCGGGAAAAAAAAATCCAATCACATGACGCGCTGCATGGGCGGGATGGCGGGATAAAAAAATCACGTGATGCGCTGCACCAAATATTACCAAAATGCTGGCAGGGGTTGGCGGCGTCATTGGCGGGGTCACTACCACCCCCCGCACACCATGGCGGGCAGTGGGCGCATTATCACGTGACTTTTTGGGCACCTTTTTTGCAGCATTTGGCATGATTTTGGAAATGCTGTGGCAGACAATGGGCGCAAAATCACGTGATTTTCCGCCAAAAAAATGGAAGACTCCCCAAATCATCCCAGTATAATTTCCATAGGTAAATAGGCTAGTTAAACATGAACTTGAGCTTAGAAAAACCAAAATGCACCCTGCACAATGGGATTGGTGACACACTTGATCCCATCATTTGGCAGGGCCTGCCGCAGGGGGTGCCGCGGGGGGTGCCGCGGGGGGTGCCGCAGGGGGTGCCGCAGGGGGTGCTGCGGGGGGGTGCTGCAGGGGCTGCCCCAGGGTTGGTCTGTTATGATCCATTTTTGTTCATTGAAGATCTTGTAGAGGTGAGCAGGGCAACAGGCCAACTGGGAATTTATAGGAAGACATTGAAATTGATGCAGGGGTCAGATGCGGGGCCCACTGCAAGGTCTACTGCAGGGGCAGGGGTGCATTATATCAAATTTCGATGTATCTATTCTGGCCATGGCCATAGAATGTCACATAATTATCCTTCAATTTGGCAGGGGTTTCTTGGTATGGTCTGCAGCTAAAGATATTTGATTCCCTTGTGCTTTAGCAGAGCCTGGGATATTGAAAACATGCAATAGCACCTGTATAATCTGTTTATGTAGGGTCAAATACAAGTTATGATTTGTTCATGTGTTGACCGGCAGGGTGGGTAGGTTGGCTGCACTGGGTCCACTGTCATCTCATTGATTTTTTGGTGCGCTCATTCTACATACATGGCTATTAGTCAATTGTTCACACTGTTAGCACAGTGTAATCTTACCCTGCGGCACATTGTACCACATGTCAAGTACACATTGAATGTCTCACTTCCTGACTGGGACTCATTGAAAATCAGAAGTTCTGTGATGCTTTGCAAATGATTTTCTCAAGCTGCAACATGAACAGATGGAACATAGCGGATTTGACATGCCCTCAATTCATTCCTGGGTCGTATATAAGAGGATGAACTAACTCACTAATAAGTTGTCTCACAATAGCCAGAGATTGAGCATGAATTCAGATTTCATATACAAAATTCTTTCCACTTAGAGCTTGGATACTTGCAAGACAAACTGCAGAAACATACATGATTGCTTTTGCTACTGGGACTGTATACGTTCTTGCCATAACTCACTGCCTGCAACTCTACCTGCACCCCCACTGGCACCCCTGCAGGCACCCCCTGCCAAACTGGCACCCTCCACTGCACCCCCGCATGCACCCCCGCCAGGCTGACACCCCCTGCCACACCCCCCGCTGCACCGGTGCCTTGCCCCTGCCATCTTCTCATATGTAAGATTACATAATCTGACAGTTCGGAACACGTCAAGTCACCAGCCAATCAGAACCTGTATAAACGTCGTACCTAAGTGTTTCCTGCTCTTCTGACACTGTTTCTACAGTTATGCAGCTGAAAACCATCGGAATAAGGTCTCCCTATGCTGTTCTTATTGAATATGTAGGTATTTCATATCATTTGTCCCTCCAAAATTCGAAACATGAAAACAGTTCACAGTTGCTCAAGGTTCCTACATAGATAATGGTTCAACATAGTTCACTTTGGGTATTGCAAAAAATATATTTTCTACAAATGAACAACTCAATACAGCTGAATGATATACCCCTTGGCAGTGTCTGAAACAAATTCTGAGAGCCCTGGACCCTGGAACCATTCAAAAACTTGAAATGGGTCCGAAAAATAGGGTCTTGATAAACATGAGATAGGGGCCAGTTTGAAGAGATGTAAGCCACTGGTCATGTTCAATGTGGTATTTGACAATGTTTCGGCGCCCTGCCCCTCACCAAATGGCCTCCTTTCCCACCAAAAAGTGCACATACACACTCAAGCTTATAAAATCAATTGTCGGCCAGAAACAAGAGCAGGCAAGTTGTGTCACTGGAATTGGGTAAAGGTAACCTGGAAGTCACTCGGGTTGCAGTACAGAAGCTTTGGAAAGTGATCCTGTAGTTGATCCACATTGGGTAGGCTGGCAGAGGTTGGGCACCCCCCGCGGCACCCCCCGCAGCAGCCCCCGCGGCAGCCCCCACCATCAACCCTGCCCCAGCCCCTGCAAGGATTGGATGGACAAAAGTGCTGCCTAATCAATTGTTAGTGTTCACA